CTGCAGCCACTGGACCAAGCAGGTTTCAAGTAAGTTTAATAGATTATTATAATTTATTTTTGTCATAATTCTTTCAAAATGTAAAATACATTTTTTCACATATGTCCAAAACTTTCCACACTTGCTTGAACTCCACATTAAGTAAGCAGGAGAATAGTCTACAGCTTTGAATGAATGTGTAGTAAATAGTGCTTAACTGTAATGTTTTATATAGCATCTACTGCTACTTTGTCGTCGTCATAATTTACTGACCTATTCATACAAGTTGGTGTGTACATTTAAAAAAAGGTATAGAAAGCAGTTTGATGCTGAGGAGCTACAGAATCATAAGCGGCCACTGGATGTCAGTGTTGGTCTATTATTCTCCTTTGAATTCAGGGAAAATTCTACTGCTGTTGCTGGATGGTGGTCCCTCTAACTGCTCTGAGTTTAAATAAATGTGTAAACATATTACTAAATCATGGGCTTTGGATATACAAAGTAAACACCCATGCTGATGAAATGTTACCCAATCAGAGTTTCTAAATTCAGAGACCATTCTGTCTACAGCATCTAATCCAGGGGTATCCAGTTTTATCCGCAGAGGGCCGGTATGGCTGCAGGTTTTCACTCCAACAAAGCAGGAGGTCACCTCATGAAATGTTTGAAGAGCAACTGATTAAACAAGTTATTAAACGTGTGCTTCAGCTTGTTTGGAGTGAAAACCTGCAAGCTGACCCTTTGCGGGTGAAGACTGGACACCCCTGAAAAACCCTGCTGAAAAAACCCAGAGGAACCATTAAGTGTTTCTGTTGTTTCAGGAGATATTGTGATAAATTACAGCAGGATATACTTTATTTAGTATGTCAGTATACTGACCAGGCGCGACCCAGAAGGATAAGCGGTTTAGATGTGTGTGTGTGAGTATACTGACCAGTATTTCTAGGACACTAAACAACTGCATGCATTGTAAAAAGACAGATTTAGACCACTTATAGAGACCCTGTGAACAACAACAAAGTGTATGGTAACTAAATAAACAGCATAGTAAGAGTTTAACAGCTTCTCTTATATCCTCTTATTGTCTTATTTAATCATGTATTTTTTATAAAATGAATAACAATAATAATAAGTAAACTGCAGTTGTGCTGTCTGTTTTACCTCGGTGTTCTAACCCCTCCCCTTTCACCCCTCGTTGCTCGCTAACAGCTCACAGAATCACAATAACCACAGAGAAAAGAAATATAGCTGCTTTTCCAACGCATGGTACAGAACGACTCGACTCTACTTGCTTTTTTTACCAGCTACTTTGTTTTCCACTGCAGATTAGTACTCCCTCAATGTAGCTGGTCATCATAGCGATGCTGCATGAAACTGCCACGGCTTGAAGGCCAAGTTCAGAAGAGGCTGATGGCAGCAAGACAAAAGACTGCTGAAAAACCAGGGGAGTTTGGGAAATACAACATCAGAGCTCAGATGATGAGACTCTGGTTGCTCAAAGGCAAAGCAAGAGGGTACACTAACCTGGTAGCTAGCGTTAGCATATGTGTTTAGCGATTCTCTCTGACCAATCAGTGGTCTGCAGTGTTTATATGTCAGGTATCAACTCAGCTCACTTGGAACCTCAATGGATGTGATACCAAAGTACCCAGTACCAGAAACCTAATTTGCCTAATGGAAAACTAAAAAAGGCGAGTAGAGTCGAGTCAAGTCAAGTCAAGCTGGTACCATGTATCTCCATATATTTGTTTTTCTTATGGGCATTTTACACAAGGAACAGTCAACAGTGCCCTAGTAAATCTGACAACAGATTTACTAGGACACATTTAGTAGATGCTACAAAATCACTGTACTCATTGTTTTCAATGGCCTGTTTAAAATGTGGTATGACTGTTTAACTGGTGAATTCTGTCCATTCCAACTCAAAACGGTGAAATTCAATGATACATGTAGTGTTTCATGAAAATGTATTTATATACTATGGTGTTATACAGTACTTTTTGCCATATTGCCCATCCATCATTGGTGTAGCTCATAGATCAGTGTACCAGCATGTCTCAGACAGTATGTCAGATCATCAATAGAAACTACAGTTCCTACCAGTCCAGTTCTTATTTTCACTTAACTCATTCTTCTCTCTACTCTCAGCTGTTTCACTATGGGCGCGTTGAGTCATCTAGCTGTTCTGATAGACGCAGGTTGTAGCATGTACCATAACGTAATACCTGCAATCATAGCACGTTCAGGTTACACAGGCTCCACCGGCTTTCCAGCTTAGCTTCTTCAGGGGCCAACTATGAGCTCTCTGCTGCCTCCTCTCTGTTTTGAATCATGGCTAATCTGTTTAAAAGAAAATAGTATTTTTTATCTGTTCCCAGTTTTATCTGCAGAACAGGTGGTGTCTGGCTGATTGCTGACCTTTAAACTGAGCTGTACCTGAACTCAAAACTGATGTTGCACAAATGCAGACTGATATTTCATGATACTTCATCAAACCATTTACCCAACAGTTGGATCTGAGCGTGCTGTCTGCATGGCAGGTCAGTGTGGACTCAGGTCAAGGTTGATTGCAGTTTACTAAATAATCTTATTCCAGTGAGTGACATTAGCCTTGCATGAAAGATGTTGTCAGTAAAAGGTTAGAAATGTCATTTCATAAGTTGCATATTCATTAACCCTTTAAAATCCCAGGCTTATTGTATACTAAGGCTTATTTTTCAGTAAGGGACTTCAATGCAAACTAACTAAGCTATTCTTAGGATGTAGAAATACGTAATAAAACTTTGGGCCTGCGGGCAGGGCCTGGACATTGAAGGGGTTAAAGAAATTTGTATCTGGATGTCTGAAAAACAATGTATCTAAGGTATTTAAGGGAGTTGTTAAGAAATGTATCTGCCATGTAGCTCGATTAAAGAGAAAACACAATCTGTGGGCTAATTTAAAGGAAAAACTAATGTTAACGATGAATACAAATGAGTAGCAACTTCATGCTAATTGGTGCCTACTACCCTCCATTCATTGTTAGCCATGTTAGCATGCTGGGTGTGTCTGTTGTGTTAAAGATGCGCTGTTCACAATTAAATGGCTGATGTGCATCTTCATTATTATCTCAATGCTCAATACTATTACTCAATTCTGAATGTAGGAATGTTTAAACTAACTTGTTTGATCACTCTGAGTAAATTCCTCATCACAGCCAAAAGCTCCACAAGAACAAAATCATCTTAAAACTCAGCTAACAATACTGTGCAAAAATCAGAGACCACTTTTTATTTATTTAATTTCCAAAATGGCCATTATGTACAAGTTATTTATTTTCCAGCTACAGGAAAAAGCAGAAACAACATTTAACAGATCTCTACACAGAAACTGCAACAACTAAATATAAGCATTTTTTTCAGTATTTATCCAGCCATGGTCTTTATAACAGCTTCCATTCTTCACAAGATTCTTGCTCTCAGTTTTTTCTAAGAAATCTGCAGGGATATTCTTCCACAGCTCCAAAGTTCAGTCTTAGAAGTTCTGCTTCTCACAATCCAAGTAATCTTAGACACATTCATGGACTCTGGGTTGGCCAGTCCATTGTCGTCTATGTCCTTTTCTCAGTAAGGGCTTCTTGACAGCTACACAACTTTCAGACCCATAGTGTTGAGTTGTCTTGTCACAGTGGAAGGATGGACAGAAACACCTGTTTCAGATCTGGAGCAAGAGAGGAGCTTGATATTCTTTCCAAAGACAGAAGCTTTAAGTGCTGTTTATCTGATGGGGACAGTTTTGGTGGTCTGCTCTACCAGGTCTTGCGTGGTTATTAGAAGTCCCATTTTTTCTGTATATTTTACTAATATTTATATAATTAATAAACTCCAGTTTTGGAAACTCGTGTTTTTTAAATAAATGAGGGGTGGTCTCGGACTTTTGCACGTCTGCAATGAGTGAATATCCATTTGAAAAGATGTATCAATCTGGTTTTCACAAAACTATGAACTTCCAGACCCATCTCAGTATTCATAGCTGTCCAGTCAGATGGAGGAACTGTAAAACTGGAATTATATTATATTATGTGTCACATAATAACTGCAAAGCTGTGTGTTGTTATCAACTAGCACCCATGTGTCAAACACGAAGCCCGCGGGCCAAGTCAGCCTCATGGCACAATCCTTTCTGGCCCGCAAAATAATTTTAATGTTCTATTAATAATAGCCCTTTTCACAATGAGCTGCACTACAACCCCCAGCATGCACTGCTACATAATGTGTGCTCTGACACCACTCCCCCAATAAAAATGTATAGGAAAGTGGTTACATCACCAAAGGAAAGATGGCAGGTGTGTAGTTCATGCAAATAGGCAGTTTTAAAAACCCTACCTCCTTTAAAGATGTTTAACCTTTATCTGTAGCTAATGTAGCCTATTGTTTTATATAAACTGCTTCTTTATATTTTTAAATGATTTTTAAATAGTTCAGGTATTCATGTAATATTTTTAACATGACCCTTTTAGTGGTTGAGTTTGACACCCCTAAACTAGCGGATACTTTTTTAGAGAAATAATGATACAGCTACCCATGTTAAAAAGGAAATGATCCAGATTTTATGTTAAGTTTATTAAAAGTGTACTGACATGTTGGTAAATGTAGCCGTTAGCAAAAGTGGTGTCAAATCACTGAATAAGAGACTTCTGAACATTTAGGGCTAGCGAGTTAATTACCTGTGTCTCCTTAAAAAAAGTTCGTAAAAAAACATTATGTGCTTCTGTGACACATTTAGGTCAGTAGTTTCGTGTTTGCATCTCTTTTACGACTTTTTTAAAGATAACGTGATGTACCTTTAATGCAAAACGCTTCTGCTGGGATCAGACCATACTGGGCATGAGCACGTGGACCCGGCGACTCCTCTATTCATTGGTCACACCTTCTTTCGTAATTTGCATGGATAAACCCGCCCCCCCCGACCGAGGCGTGCGATCTGATTGGCTCCCTCATGCGGCGTGAGTCCGTGCGGCCAAGGTCAGAGGTAGACGTCCAGAAGTAACCCCGCTTCTGTCTCGGCATCACGCCACCGTGATGTTGCTGTCAAAGGGGGCTGCGGAGTGAACGTCTCGGCCGACTGTGACAGACTAGTCGCCGTCGGAGGATTAGATATGCTATTAGCGCTTTAACCACATAGAAGAGAACCCCGTCGGGATCAGCACATCAGAATTGCTTGCCGACTCTTTTTGCACGGTAAGTGGATGAGGGGGCTGCGTTCCAATATGTGTACTTGTGTTCTAAGTAGATCACTAAGCCGGTGCCTGGAATTCGGTCCGGTCATTCGACCACTGGGTCCAGAAATGCGTACTGGTGTTCTAACTAGTGCTTAGCTATGGCGTAAACTATGGTTCCCATTGGGTCTTATTGGCTTCATACTAGTAATGCTATAATGCTCGTGCTGTAGTCGCGATTACGCTTCAACAAAGTGCTCTAATTAGAACACTAGCACGCATATTGGGACGCGCCCCAAGCGTATTACCGGTGCTAGCATGCTAGCTGGATGGTGGCTTTCCTCGCCCATCACCGGCGTTATGCGGCAGTGTTTAACACATGTAACTACAGAATGTCCGCCCACTGTGGCTTCTTTCATGTGTAGCAGTGGCTAGAAAGCAGGTTTTGGAGTGACCATGAAAGCTATGTGCTCCTTTAGTATCTCAGGAACGACATAAACGTGATTTCTAAACGTTTGACAGTGAACTCGCGCTTCTTTAAGACACATATCTGAATGTGCTGCCGTTGTCAGAGGCGCCAGATTGTAACTGCTGTACGAATTAAGGTGGAACGGGAAAATTCAGACAAGAGTCTGGTGAATAGGAAGCTGACATCGGCCTGGTCCGTAGCGAGGACACGCGTGTGTTCCTGCTGTGTCTGTGTGGACGAGTTTGTCAGGTTGAGCGAGCTGGTTTTAAGGTGTGTCCGGCGGTAAAGCAATTGTGTGTGCAGTGAGTTGGGAATACTGGTATCGGTAAGCAAGCAGAGGAGACTTTACTCAAAACTTAGCGCGGACACTGAGTTTGAACTGTCACCTCATCTGCTGTGATGTAGCAAAGAGCCAGGTGAGTTAGTGTTAGCTTAGTTAGTTAGTTAGCTGTGTTTGTTGTAGTGCTGGTAAGCAGAGTTGGCATAAACAACCCTGAGGTAAAAAGTGTTGTCAGTGCTGTGGAAAAATGTCTACCTGTAGAGCAAAAGTAGGTCCAAATAAGTGAAAACAAATGGAAATTAACAAATAAATAAATGAAAACTTTTTTCACTCAAGTATCAAGTAAGAAGACACTCCTGAAGTAGTTAGTTACTGAGTTCCCAGTAGAACTGCACTGGGATTTCTGAATCCATCCATCATCTGTTAGCATAGCAACTGAAGTTTGTCAGGCCTTAATCTTGTCTGTTTTGGATCTATAATAAAATGATAAAGCTCTAAAAGTGAGCAGTCTGAGCAACAGCAAAGCTGCTGAACCAACAGAACAATAAAATTAAACAAGAAAATTAAAAAAAGAAATTGGGAATTTAAAGTGAATGACTGACTAAAATGGAACTGAGGTAAAAGTACACGTAAAAGAAGGTTCTTCAAGGGTTCTTTAGTAAAGGCAATGGTTATATTTTGATCCATTAACTCTATATAGAACCATTTCATGCTTAAATCGTTCTTTGCGTGGTGAAATGGTTCCAGGTTGATGGACAATGTGTTGTATATGGTTCTGTAGAGCACTATTTTAAAAAAGGTTCTTCTGCTGTTGCAAGCTTAATATCGTAACAGTAGCAGAACCCTTTCTGGTGATATATAGAACCATTTTCAAAAAGGTTCCATATAGAACCATATACAGCACAGTCTCCATCCATCTGAAGAAGCATTTCACCAGGCAGAGAACCATTTAAGCATGAAATAGTTAAACATAAAACTCATGGATCCGAATAGAACCATTGCTGTTATCAGAGAACCCTTGAAGAACCATCTTTTTTAAGTGTGTGGAATTTATTCTGCTTAAACGCACTGCAGTTTAAATAAGTACTGTTATTTGAAAATAACCATGAAAATGAAATTTCTTTATAAATAATAAATAAACTGTACAGCCTGAGCAAAACTGGTGAAGTATAAAAATAGGTTAAAATAACACTCTCTTTTTCTCTCTCTCTCTCTCTTTCTCTCTCTCTCTCTCTTTCTCTCTCTCTCTCTCTCTCTCTTTCTCTCTTTCTCTCTCCGTCTTTCCAGTATTTGGAGCCTGCCAGTGTCGTCCGGCCATGGCAGAGCAGGACCCAGCTGTAGATAAGCCTCCGGCCTCTTTGGCCTCTCACTTCACCATCGGCTCCGTGTCGGAGGATAACTCTGAGGATGAGGCTCTGGGCAAGTCAGGGCTGCCCACGGAGGAGAAAGAGCGTTCCCTCTCTCCGTCCTCTATGAGCTCAGACAGCACTTACGAGATGGGATTTGAAAGCCTTGATGGACCGTTGCACAACATGAGGTCAGTGAAGTTTCAGATTTTGTGGCATGTTGCAAAATGGGGGCCAGATTACCAGAAAAAAACCCAAAACGTTCTTAAACTACGTTTTAGGATTACACTTACATGAATTTGGGTGGATTCAGATGTTTTGGGACACACGTCAAAGGCCTTGGATCATAGAGCTATTCTTACAGATGGAGATACAGATAGATATAGTGGCCCCGAAAAATATTTGGACACTAGTAAACTTTAATGAAGTTCAACAGATTGCCTAATCAAATGTTTAAGAAACTGATGGTAGATTGTTTGTGTGGAAGGAGCCTGGAGTACAGTTCAGACCAGACTGCATTAGGGATTCTGTAAAGCACAGAGGTGGAAACGTTAAAGTCTGGGACTGTTTATCTCACAGTGGTTTCACTGATGGCATCAAAGCATCAGTTGAAACTGTAATTAAAAAAAGAATTTCTTAAACGTTGGCCTCTTAGCTGATGGGACCGAATACATGAAGTCGACCCATAGAACGTGCATCAGAATGTTCCTAAATTATAAAATTTTTCCAGTTTTTTAGTATGAAAATATACATAACTGTTAAATGCACCAATGTGGGAATCGTGGGCCGTTACTGATATCCGATATTTGGCATGTACCCATCTGCCAATGCCGATACGTAAACAATTACAAAATGCAGGAATTGGGATCAGCTCCACCTGGATTACCATTATGGAGAAATGTAATATTTATTTGAGGGTTACAAATACGGTAAAATGAACAGCCCAGCGTTCACAGTCTGCCTAAACATGCTACTCAGGATAGAGTAATTATGTCATCAAAAATCGGTTTGAAATATCAGTCACACACTGATATTCACACACTGATATTCACACACTGATATTTCCACTGATGCTGGAAATATAAGCAAATATCTGATATCTAGTACCGATACAAGTATATTTCTGATATCGTTGTGCATGTCTTGTTAAATATCATTTGTTTTTGCAATGTTGGCCTTTTGTTTTTTCTCAAATGTGCTCTTAAGAACATTCCCAAGAAAAAAGAGCAACCTTCAGAACATTTTTCAGGAATAACAAACATTCTCAACTTTTATTCCTAATTTTAACTCAAAACATAAGAAGAGAACAGTGAAGAAAAAGCAGAGCATTGTTTTAAAAAATACTCTGTCCTTAGATGCCTGTCTGCATGTCATCACTGTTCTTGGCCGTCTGATTCAGATTCATTTAGATAACTTGCTTGGAATTTGGATTGGCATATCTGTGGTGTTTCATCAGGTTTAAATTGCATCGTAAAAGTTCACTGTAAAAGTTCACTGTAATTCAGTGCATAGTGAATAAGTGTAAGTCTCAATTCTGTTACGTTGTGTTGTTGATTTAAGCTGATCGGAGTCTCTGGAGCAGCACACAACCTGTCCTCTTTTGAAATGATTGATTTTCCTTGTATAGTATGGAAAAAATACCTGCAAATATGTCATTAGCTGATCTTATTATGAAGAGCGTAAATAATGACTGGATAGTTTTCTTCTCCACTTATTGATACCCTTTTGATCTAAATGCGGTTTAAACAAATGGCTGAAAGTTGAATTGTTTTTATATTAAAATTGCAATTTGAAATTGCAAGGGTTGCACTCTTAATTATAGCCTACATTATCAAGAAGTTTGTCTTAACAAGTTTGAATTGGGGCAATACAACCAAGACTTAACTAGCAGTCTGGCCCAGTATTGTTCAGCGTTCCTAAAAAAATGGCTGTTCTGGCCTTCTTGGCAATTTTGGGATTTTTCCCCAAATTTTCTCCCTAATTTAGTTGTATCCAGTTTCACCCACCAGCCTGAATCTATAATGTACCAAAAATGATCACATTTAAAATCACTATAACGATATTTCTCAGAAAAATCACAGTTACGTGTTTTCCTCACATCATTTAGCCTCGTTTAAACACTTAGAAAACACAAAGTTTGAGTGCTGACACCACAACAAGTGGTATAAAATAAATGGGCTTTAGTTTTTCTCCCTGGGTAACAGTCGTTACATTAGTTTTTTAATTTTACTAGCTTTCTGTTTAACACTATTTTAATTAATTTGCTTTATTTTAGACCGTAAAAGAAAACATGCTCCTTTATATTGAAAGCAGTTTGAAAATCTAGGTGTCCCTTAACATTTGCTGGGCACTGTATATGTCCAAGTGGAAACGTGGAGGGCGGCAGTGTAAAATGGAGGATTGAGAGTGGTGAGTTCATGGAGGTGAAGTCTCCCTCGTTAGCCCCCTCTCTGGTTCGCTGGTGTGTGTGAAAAGCCTTGGCTCAATGTTTCCGCCCACAATCACACAGGGCTTTTCTGTATGAGCAGAACTGCTGCAGCTGCAGCACCGCTCTTCCCCTCCCATTCACTACCATTCATCAGAGTTGAGCACAGTACAGTGCTCAACTCTGAGGAAACTGTGTACAGTGCCAGTCAAAGGTTTGTGTTTTTTAAAAATTCTTCACATTAAAACCGATCGTTCCGTTTAGCCCACCTTTGAGTTGATGCACTTTTGCACACTTGTTGTCTTCTCAGAACTGCTATATATAAAAATATAATACTGCGCACTATATTTAATATCAAGTCAAAATAGCCATTATGTACATGTTATTTACTTTAGGGAAGAAAGCAAAAAAAAAAAGCCTAACAGAAAATTCATTAGAAGCCTCAACAACTAAATGTGCTTTTCATTTTTCAGTAGTGTGTCCACCCTTTGTTTTATTACAGCTTCTGTCCTTTTCAGCAGACTTGCTCTCAGTTTTTCAAAGAAATCTGCAGGGATGTTTTTCAACACCTTCAAAGTTCAGTCTTAGAAGTTGGTTGTTTTTTCTGCTTCTCATGATCCAAATAAACCCAAACACATTCACTATGTTGAGATCTGGACTCTGGGGTGGTCAGTTGATTATTCTGAGAACACCAGCAGCTTTTTGTTTGATTTGCAAGTTTTTTTTTTTTCCTTTTCCTTTTCTTAGTAAGAGCTTCTTGACAGCTACACGTCCTTTCAGACCCATAGTGCTTGAGTTGCCTCACAGTGAAAGGATGGACAGAAACACCTGGGGATTTTTTTCATGTCTGATGAAAGAGTAGAACTCGATTTTCTCCTCTGTCTCACAAATAAAAGCTTTAGGTTTATCTGATAGTGATCGTTTTGTTGGCCTGCCAAGGTCTTGTGTGGTTGTTAGGAATCCCCCTTTTTTTGTTTTTTTTTGGACACACCTTCTTTTTTTCACTTATTTTTTTGCGTTTTCTCTTCTTTATGAAAGTGGATCTAATCTCTAATCTAAAAATTGAATTTTTACTGGAAGTTAAATAAACAAACCATAGTCTGTTGACTTTTGCACAGTACTCTACATTCCCCTATTGCAGTAGCTGTGATAAAGCTGATGGAACTTAAATCTTTATTTGTTGATAATCATTCGTGTTGTTTGTTATGTACTGACATTTCATCTTGTAAATATAATAGAAATTTTAGTCTGTGTGGCTCATAACAGATGGTTGTGCTGAGTGAAGAGAGACGAATGTATACATTGTGGGGGGCCAGCAAATGGTGCTGAAACTGCCACTGAGAGACAATAGGATCCGCCTCTCTCATGTGTTGCTTTCCTATTGGTTGGGAGGAGGAGCTGCTGTGAGGGATTGGAGGAAATATGTGGAGTTTTTTCCAAAAAGCGTGGTGGTGTGTATGGTGGGGGGAAGGCGTGTGCTAGTGGGCTGGTGATGATGTAACCACGCAGTGTCAGGCCATACAGAATTCAGCCAAACACACACATGCACACCACAGCGCCAGCTCACATTCCTAGCGGATCGGGAAGATTTTTCTGCCTCCTCTTCCCCTTCCTTGCTACGTGTGTGGTACAGGCTCCCCAACCACCCTGTAAAATGGTTTCTAGGAAGTGGCACTTTAGCGGCTATAATCAGAGCTGGGGTTAAAAATCATAGCGGCAGGCAAACGGATGCATTGGACCAGCAGAAGTGCTGCAATATTTGCTATGATGTGTAATATGCTGGATGGTTTGCACCAGTATAGACTAGTTTTTAAAACAATAGTTTGGAGAAAAATCTAATGTATACAGTTTTGTCCTACCCCAAATGTAGTCGTTTAACACTACATATAGCATCTGAGGTTTGCTGCTTTAGTGAAGCTGTGCAGCTAGCGTAGCTAAGAAGTAGAGCTGTAATACCAACATGCAGTGGTTAATGCCAAAACAAATTTACATCAATCAATATACCTGATATCATAACACTCCTTTTAACAAATTAATTAATTAGCACTGTGCAAACTACATGCCTAAATCAAAGTACAAAACTGACCACTCATTAAACTAAGCAGCAAAAACAGCCTGTTGTGAGTTCAGCCAACGCATTTACAGACAGTCATATGCAAAGATTTGAATACACCTGTTCAAATTACATGGTTTATTGATTTTCACTCACACTGGAGTTATAAAGAGTGTGACTGCTTTCTTAAAGAGGCATGATAAGGGGCAGCCAATCTGAACAGCTCATTTGCAGTCTTAAAGGCAGAGTAACAGCAACAGCCTGTTTAATTATAAGGAAAGAGGTTGAAAATGGCAGTGTAAAAATCTGTTATGCCTATCTTTCACACATAGACTCGCACAAACATCATAAGTGGACCTCAGGGGGGAAAAATGACATAAAACAAGAGAGGTGTAGGATATGAGCCTATGAACTAATCTCAGATAGACTTGTTTGTGTAGTTTCTGAGAACATTACTTTATAACTCGTGGCTTGACGCAAGTATGTGATGATGAAGGCAGTCAAGTTGCACAATACTAATTGGTGCAGTACAAGATTCCATCACTTGTTATCTACAGTATCGTAGCTCCAGTGAGTAGGTTAAGAAACACACTTCAGACACTCTTGGCTTGGTGTCATGACTGAGAGTTACCTGTTCAGCAGCGTTGGGCAGGAGTCCTTTTACAGTATCAGAACTCCATTAAATGCTATCTATAGCCCTCTGTATTGATTGTAACATTCTCATGGGGTAAAAAACAGGCCTACAGTAATGAAGTCTGTAGAAGTCTGTACAAGTGTTCCCAGCTGTGATGGATGTTGCCTTAATTATCACTCCGCTACATCTGAAGCCCTTATTGGAGTGGTCATCATTGAATCCTGCTGCACTGTAGCCCTGAAGTTATGAAATATATCGCTGCTGTTGGAACAAAACCTTACATCTCCAAAATGATAACTTTACAGGAGAAGGAAAAAACATACTTTTCTCTTAATGTAACTCAGTGGAGCCAGAATTGTTTCCAAGTCATTTTGGGCCGTTTTCTGCGGTCTATTCATCATGAAATTTCAACACAATGTGAAGGACAACAGGCATTTTCAAATTATGTCAAAAACTGAAAAACAACAAAAATGGAGATGTTTTGTTCTGACAGCAGCGATATACATATTTAATATGCACATGCTGCTTCCTCTATACAATGGAAAACATGGTTCCAGTTGTCTTGCTTCAATGGCAGGTCAGATCTTCTTGTCTAGTGGCCCTGCTGTAAATGTAAAGTAATGAAAATCAGTGTCTGACACCATGATTGGCTAGCTATGGACAAATAATGGATTTTTTGTTTTGCGTGACCTACCATGGAGCATCTAATAGAGAGCTTTGATTACGTCTGCAGGGCGTCGGTGTAAAGGGGTCACCACATTGCAGAAATCTCATGATAATAGCACAGTGTTAAGTTTTGTGAAATATACATTTGCAATTATTTATCATTATTTTATTTGACCAGTGCTTAGGGCCTAGAGGCAAATTTACTCTACATTATGTAAGAATGAGATTTTTCAGTGTTTTTAGAAAGCTTCATCTTTTAAATAACCCATGCTTTCTGTAGGTCATAGTTTTATTTAGAGTTACATAGAGTTTATTTTTTGAGTTTTACAAGGGAGAGTTAAGCTAAAAACTAAAAGATCAGGTTTCTGTCAGTGCTAACTAGGATAATTTTATGAAGACAATATCATTTTCTCAAATGAAGGCCTTCTGAACAGTTCAAATTTTTTGCTGTATTCCAACTCATGATATAGAATTATGGAGAAAAAAGGGGGCTTATAGCGAGTCCAGGACTGGTTTTAGAACCACTGTGCTAGGCTAAAGTAAATTGTGTTGAATTTCCTTTCTTCAAGGCCTAGTATGTCAGGGCTGCACCTGGTGAAGCAGGGCAGAGAGCGCAGACGTATAGACTTACAAAGGGACTTCACCGTGGCCTCCCCTGCTGAGTTTGTCACACGCTTTGGAGGAACTAAAGTCATCGAGAAGGTAAATCAGGCCACCACGTGTGTCCAATGAGCTTTCAGCATAAAAATCTGATGTTTACTTTTTCATTTTGCCCTGGACCTGTGTCGTTAATGTACAGGAAAAATGTGGGCTTTACAATTTCTGCCTCCAGAAGCAATCTCGAGACACTAAATATGTTTAGACTTATTGACTACATTGTAGGCATATTTTGTTACCTTTGAAATTGATATTTATTTATTTATGTAGTTAGTAAGTGAAACTATTCCTTTAAAGGAAGATGTGAACTAAAGGTGTTGTTGTGGCCAACAAATATAAAAGCTAATGGCGGCCAGTTGGTATAATCTTGGTTTAATTATGCTGACTGGCATCTGTTATCTTTTATTTTATTGTTAGCCATGTTAGTTCAGTAATACATAGTCCAGTTTTACAGATCTGAGGCCAGCTACATCCTGCTAAAGTGACATTGCTCAAAACTGGCTGTAAATTAGCACTTTTACTCTCAATAGATAATTAACATATCTGCATTTTTAACACCCTTAATTTAAACACGTATTTTGACATTGTAGGTGCTCATTGCCAACAATGGCATTGCTGCCGTCAAGTGTATGCGCTCTATCAGGCGCTGGGCTTATGAGATGTTCCGAAATGAGCGGGCCATCCGCTTCGTCGTCATGGTCACCCCCGAGGACCTAAAGGCCAATGCAGGTGATTTAAAAATTGGAACTGAAATATTTTGCCGTTCATAACACCATGATAAAGGATGTGGTTAAACAGGCAGCACTTCAGTGGAGACTGGCTTTGTTGTCGGCCTAATTAATAGAGAAAGGCTCTGCTCAGTGAGGTGGAAGCTGGATAAGTGCTTCCATGGATGAAAAGACGTTCAAATGTGTATAATTCTGTCACTGTTGTATAATCATCCTTAAAAAACAAAAAAAATCATCATTTGCACTTTATGCTCATTTCAAGTTAACCAATAGAAAGTGATGCTGATTACTTTGCATTAATGTACTACACATTTTAGAGCATTTCATTTTTCTCTTTCTCCTAATAAGTTACCGTTTTGGAGATATGAGATTTTGTTATGATAGAAGCAGCATATTACTGTTATAGAGAATATGAATTTTTGCCTTTAAAATGTTTTGAAATGTGGTGAAGTTATTTCATTTGTGATGTCCACAGAATACATTAAAATGGCTGATCATTATGTACCCGTTCCTGGAGGAACCAACAATAACAACTACGCCAATGTGGAGCTTATTTTAGACATTGCCAAGAGAATTCCAGTTCAGGTACTTAAGACATTTTTATTCAGTAAGACTGATTAGATACAAGCTCATTTACAGTACATTTACTTTTACTGTAAAATGCTGTGGAGTTGAAGTAACATGGCTGAAATATGTCAAGATTGATGAGATTTGATGTCTGCTTTGCTTGCAGATGTGTATTGCATGGTTAACATGTTTTAGTTCAATTCTCTTTTTAACCTTTTCTTCACTTTAGGCCGTGTGGGCTGGTTGGGGTCATGCATCGGAGAACCCAAAACTTCCTGAGCTGCTTCACAAGAACGGCATCGCCTTCATGGGTTCGGCTCCTCAAAATATAATTGTTTCACCTGTAGATGAGGTTTTTGTGTTATGTTGGTGTTAAAACATCCATTCTGGCTATTCTTAAATCTCAGGTCCTCCCAGCCAAGCAATGTGGGCTCTAGGAGACAAGATTGCATCTTCCATTGTGGCGCAAACTGCTGGCATCCCAACTTTACCATGGAGCGGAACAGGTCTGTCCAAGCTCCCCCTTACACACCCTGAATAAAAGCAAATGCCAGTCCACTTAATGGGGCTGCATGATATAGACAAAAATATTTGTGCTGTGATGCTTCTTTTAATCTATTTAAACCCAGTGGGGAATAATAATTATATAATGAATTAAAGATTGTTCAGCATTATTTTGACCAAAATGAAGACACTTAACATGAAGACATGTACAGAAACACTCATTTGGAGCTGTCACTGGTAAAACTCCTCACATCACAATGTACATAAGACACTGGTTAGAGGGCTCGTTTGCATACTGCAGCCCTCTTTAATATTAGTGTTCTTAAGGCCAGTATCATGATTATGATTAAATATCGATATATTGTTCTGCCCCATCACTTGCCCGAAAGTGCTTATGTAGCTAACAGACAAATAGAAGTGAGTGGAGAACTGTTAGCAAAATTAGCTATTTAAGCAATAGAACACGAGAGGGAGTGTGTTATCGCGAAATAACATCACGGCTGTGATTTGGTCGCAGAGATTATCACAGCCGTGATGTTATAGCGATAACGCACAACTTCGAGTGTTCTATTGCTTTTATACAACAGTTAAATAAATTAAGTAAGAAATACGATAAGATAAGAAATAAGATAAGAAATGTCATTTAATATGTTTTAATGTCAGCAGTTCCTTCCGCCTAATTATAGTTCCTTAACAAGCAGTTCGTTGCTACGTCAGAGTAACGAGCTCTGCTCTCTCGCTGAACATCTGGCAGGTCATTCTTCAACTCCATACACAGACCAACTGACAGTTTGGAAATTTAGTGTAGTCTCATCTTCAGAGTCTGACCAAATCGTCTGTCGGTCAAATGTGATCTTAAAAGTATCCGTTTTCTGTTTGTGGCAAAGTAACAAGTAAAAACGTTCAGATGGCTTGAGCGTCTCCTACAGCTGTCAAAGTCATTGCTTAGCAACAGCGTCTCAGCGGAGTGATACAGTGTTTGTGAAAAACCCATGATGTTATGGCGAAATAACAGCATGGTTAGAACAATTCTCAACCAATCAGCTTGCGTGGCTGGAACTAACTGTAATTAAGGCTAGTACTGATGAAAAACACTGCTGTCTAGTTCAGATCTAGCCATAATTGGATGTCCATAGGATGAATGCTGATGAGTGAATAGGTATTCATGTCTCCATGTGTTCTCCTACAGGGCTAACTGTGGAGTGGTCGGAAAATGACCAGAAGAAGCATATCATCAATGTTCCACATGAGCTCTATGAGCAGGGCTGCATCCAGGATGTGGAGGCTGGTCTCAAGGTAATAAACATTGTCACCAGCAGTGACCACTGCACAAGTAATTTACATCTTTGTGGTGTTCTACTCTTAGCCATTAGCTGCTAGCATATCTCAGTAGTTTGATCTTCCTGGCAGGCTGCAGAAAAGGTGGGCTACCCCGTGATGATCAAAGCCTCAGAAGGCGGAGGAGGAAAGGGCATCCGCAAGGTCAACAGTGCTGATGACTTCCCCAACCTCTTTAGACAGGTCAGTGGGCATCTGAAATCGAGATCTAATCAGGACAACAATGTTTGCATGAACCCAGCTGCTGTAATACCATATGCAATAAATCTTAAAATCTAATGTTTTCTTGGCTAATTGTCACATTCCAGGTGCAAACGGAAGTTCCCGGCTCCCCCATCTTCGTCATGCGTCTAGCTAAGCATGCGCGCCATCTGGAAGTGCAGATCCTGGCTGATCAGTACGGCAACGCCATCTCCCTGTTTGGCAGGGACTGCTCCGTACAGCGCCGACACCAGAAGATCATAGAGGAGGCACCTGCCACCATCGCCACCTCTGATGTGTTTGAGAATATGGAGAGGGTATGTGGCCACAAATCTTACCACAGTATATTTTTGTCTGTATGATTTTAATATTACGTTATCAATAAATATCCACACAGTAGCGGATACATAACCTTTTTTAGCTGTCTCGCTGGTTTATACTGTTGTAGGCGAATGGCTATTTACACGAGTAAAAGAAACGTCACCATCAACTGTACTGAAGTGGCATAAAAGTTATGGAATGTTTTGTATTTTATTTGTTAAAATACAGGTTTTCACTTAAAATCAACAAAACGTGCATTTTTGCAAACAACTGTATGTATCCATTGTAGCAAAATGAGTTTCTTTTAAATGGAAGGAAATGGTTTTAAATGAAAGGAAGTGGTCTTTATGGTTTGCTCCTACATTACTAGTTGATCATACTGCAAAGTACTTAAAGCAGCCAACAGGAATAAATGCCTTACTATTGTACCTTTATGCTGTTTTGTGTTTCTCTTAGTGTGCAGTGAAGCTGGCTAAGATGGTGGGCTATGTGAGTGCAGGCACAGTGGAGTATCTGTACAGTCAGGACGGCAGTTTCTACTTCCTGGAGCTGAACCCACGTCTGCAGGTGGAACATCCCTGCACCGAGATGGTGGCTGACGTCAACCTTCCTGCTGCCCAGCTGCAGGTGTGTGTGTGTCTGTTCTCTGTTCTGATCTGTTTTTTGGATGTTTTGTATGTTTAAGGTGTGTGTGTGTGTATGTGTATGTGTTATCGTGAAAAGTGACGCATACACAGCACTCAGACTTGCCACCTCATTTTTCAAGACACCTAGCATTAGCCTTAAATACCGCTGTCTCCACAGCAGCCATCAGAGCAGAAGCTTTCCCCATACACTCATACAGTCTGTGTAGTATGTAGGTCACTCGGGCCGCTGCTGAGGACAGTGGGCTACAGGGCCAGTCTGTGTGGGGGAAGGGTTAATGCTCTTATGCAACACACTTGGAGACTGCTGCAGTGCAGCAGAGGCAGAGAGAAAGGAATGATTGCATAATACAGTGAATGAGTAAGAAGGAAAAAAATACATGAGAGGAGTAGCCCATTGCATTTTATGTGTACACTACCATAAAATGTTTGAAGTCACTTATTGTATTAAAAACTATTTTATTGAGTAAGAGCTTTTACAGAGGTATTATAAACTAGAAAACAGAAGGTATTTTAAAGTACTTTAACATTTTAGGAGGTATTAAGTGATATATATTATACTGCAGTCGAGAATTTATGCTCATTACTGTCACATTTTCTGCCTTGAGATGTAATCACCATGTTTGAAGTATGAGGCGTTCTGGATAATCATTTTATTATAACTTAATTCTTGATGTTATACAGCTTTCTCAGTCATTTAGCATCATTCTGAATGCCTTTAAAATCTCTCAATTTTTACAGCTTCCTACTTATTATTATTATTATTATTATTATTATTATTATTATTTTAGATAAAAGAAATGCATTTCTGCATATTTACCCCACTTGGCAAGTGTTATCTAAAGCTTCTGTTTATGTTAATGTATATCAGATTGCCATGGGCATCCCTCTGCACCGCATCAAGGACATCCGCATGCTGTACGGTGTGCAGCCATGGGGAGACTCCCCCATTGACTTTGAAGCACTCTCTACCACCCCCTCCCCACGAGGACATGTCATTGCAGCACGCATCACCAGTGAAAACCCAGATGAGGTATGTTAGCGACAAGTCTTGGTCACACAAATTTGGCACTGAACACGCTATATAGTTTCTATAAGTATTTTGTGCATCCCGTAAGTAAAAAGCTGGATGTGGGAAATGATTCAAAGATTGAAGAGCTGTGTAATAATGTATATGTTGTTCTTCCTTGACTTCTTGTCCTCTGCTACAGGGATTCAAGCCCAGTTCAGGGACGGTGCAGGAGCTGAACTTCCGCAGCAACAAAAACGTGTGGGGCTACTTTAGCGTGGCAGCCGCTGGCGGACTGCACGAGTTTGCCGACTCTCAGTTCGGACACTGCTTCTCGTGGGGCGAGAATCGTGAGGAGGCCATCTCGTGAGTACACGCACACCTTCCAGCAACACCCTGGCGTCCAGAAACTTTTCTTACTGCTTCTGTCCTACCCCTCCCTTCCTACTGCTCCCCTCCTACCCTGGATAAACACAGAGGAATTAAGGAGAGGAAATTACATTCTAAATTCTAGTGCCATATTCTTTACTCTGTACACTGCAGTGTTACAGTGAATCCTTTAATTGTATCTCAAATAGATAATTACAAGCCTATGTGGATTTGTGGGATCCTGCTGGTGTGGCTTTCTTATTTCAGTGATGCACATAAAAGTGATCTGAGTTTTCATAGTTCTCTTTGTAGAGAATCAGCAAAAGACAGCTTTATAATGACCAGCAGAAACCCTGTTTATGATTTACATTGCGAACTAAGAACTTATTTATTTATTCATTCATTCATTCACTTATTCATTCATTCTCAGGAACATGGTGGTAGCTTTGAAAGAGCTGTCTATCAGAGGAGACTTCAGAACGACAGTGGAGTATCTGATCAAACTGCTGGAGACTGAGAGCTTTCAGCACAACAGCATTGACACAGGCTGGCTGGACAGACTCATCTCAGAGAAAAATGCAGGTGCAGATGGACTGGACAGTCCAGCACTTATTCTAAAATAACATTTGTCGTGTCATGGAGAGTCGTATTAAAAAAAAAAAAAAGTTTTTTTGAATTTGTGGTTTTTAATTATGAAATGTTGCTTCTTTGAATGTGGCATGTGAAGTAAAAGTCATGCACCATGATTGGTGCAGTAGGATGGCAGAGTAGGTTAATTTCTTTCTCTCTTTTCGCCAGTCTCACTCACTTCATTCCTTTTTTTTTTCCCTGTATCACTACAAGGCTGAGCGGCCGGACACTATGCTGGGCATAGTGAGTGGAGCACTGCATGTGGCGGATGTAAACTTCAGGAACAGCGTGTCTAATTTCCTCCATTCTCTGGAGAGGTGATTTATATACCTCTCACTATGAGGTTTACATCCCAAATAATATTTGCATCCCAAAAATTTATACAATCCCTTTTTAGAATCATGTTCCAACCCAGCAAAGCTTCCAAATTCATTCCTCCCCTTCTTTCTTACTGTAGGGGTCAAGTGTTACCTGCTAACACACTGTTGAACACAGTGGATGTGGAGTTGATCTATGAGGGAACTAAATACGTTCTGAAAGTGGCCCGTCAGTCTCCCACCTCTTACGTGGTCATCATGAACAACTCTTCATCGGAGGTGGATGTCCACCGACTGAGCGACGGCGGCCTGCTTCTGTCCTACGACGGTAGCAGCTACACCACATACATGAAGGAGGAAGTGGACAGGTATAGCAAATGTCCTGTAGTTATTTTTGCTTGATTATCCGGGATAGACAATTGGCAACGTTACCAACTATTGACAGGTGATAATTGATTAGTTATTAATACTTGTTAAACAATTTAAGATAAGCTGCCTGCATTACAAGTCACATGCATCTTTTCTCCTCTAACACTTGGTTAAGTGTTCAGCTTTGTACTTCCGAGCAGAACACAGCACGGACATTTCCACATTCCAGGTTAACAAATGCAATGTATCTGTATGTGACATGTTCAACAGACATGATGGAGCACTGAGACAGTTTGGCTGGCCAGTAAAATTACCAGACCTTAATCTCAGTTCACAGGAGCAGAAAGTGAAATGCAGGAATAGACACACATGCAAGCTCAGGCTGGAATATGTGGACAGTTAGTAGAAGAGTGGAGAGGGACTTTCTAGAGTCTAATCCTTTCCTGACAAAATTGATGCAGTCATTAAGGCAAGGGAACACATAACCAAATTTTAGAAAATAAATCATGCTTGTGACTAATTTTTGGTCTTATGAGCTAACTGTAATTAGTAATAATGCATAAATTGTCTCAGTGGTTTTCTGTGAAGTTTAGATGAGTGTTTTCAAGCCTGTACTTTCTGTTTCTTTAGGTACCGTATCACTATCGGTAATAAGACCTGTGTGTTCGAGAAGGAGAACGACCCATCCCTGCTGCGCTCGCCCTCTGCTGGCAAACTTATCCAGTACACCGTGGAGGATGGAGGCCATGTGTTCGCAGGACAGTGTTATGCTGAAATTGAGGTATGTGTGTGTATGTATGAGATATTTGTGGATACCTGCAATTTCTTGGAATTCCATATGACAGTTCTGGCAGTGAATTTGTGTGTGTATGTATTACAGGTGATGAAGATGGTGATGACACTGACTGCAGTGGAGTCTGGCTGCATCCACTATGTAAAGAGAGCAGGAGCCGTGCTGGAGCCTGGCTGTGTTATTGCTAAACTGCAGCTGGACGACCCCAGCAGAGTCCAACAGGTAGGCCAGTGTTTGTGAAGGAGACAGAAAAAGATTTGTGGCCCTATGAATTTAACTAGGGTCTTTGAACTTCCTGTTGAAAAATATATGATACTAAAATTAAGTAGAATTAAAACTAATCATGCACCAAAATAAAAGTCCTTGGCTGAAACTGAAATTCAGGATGTTGTGAGTCAGAAACCAAATCCCAAAACAGTGGGACCTTTCCTTTTATTCTGTATATCAAGCCATGCAAATGATCATGTTTTCAAGTGATCTCAGATCTGTAGTAGTGAACTTCTTGGGTGTTGTATCCCTGCTTGCCATGCACAGTGATTATAAAGCAAGTTGCTGCTGCTCAAATAGTTTAAACGTGTGTGCTGACTGGCACAGGAAAGTGAAGGGAACAGTGTTTATAATCGCTGTTTCCCCCCCCTTTTTTAATATTACAATTATTTGTGAAGTCTTAGATTTTGACCTTTCGTTGTAGATTATTTAGTCTTTGTTAATTTTGGTCAAATTTTTTTGTCCATTTTTCTTTTGGCTGAAAACCCAAAGTACTATTTTTAAAAACATCTTCAGGTGAAAGTTTTCAGTGACTAGAATGTCTGTGTATCCCCAGTTATAGTGACACACATTTTTTAGATGTATATGATTTTTGATTCTGTGGTCAAGATTTGTTTCGATTTCCATCTTTTTATGTTTAGACAATGTCTTGATTCTACAGAGCTCTACTTATGAACTACACAGACTGGTTTGGCTTATAAAACTTCACATTTTATTCTAAAACAAAAGATTGTAAAATATCGTTTTATAAAACTGAGCTTAACCAATAAAAACTAGTTAGGATGCAGTAGGAGTGGGTAACTACTGTTACACCCTTAACGTTAAGGACGTAATGTTTGACTCTTGGCCTCTTTCTGTAATCTGTTTATGAGGACAAGAATTTATATTACTGTCTATGAAGAAACATTAATTAATATATTGTGAATTCAAAATTGGCCATGACTGGCAACAGGAGAAAAACAAAGTCTACACTCGGTGATATGGGCATAAAGTCATAAAACGCTGTTGGATCATTGTGACAATGTGAGATGTGATTCCAAAAGTTACAAAAGAACCATTCAATGTTGTGCAAAAGAAAAGTAATAAAATACTAATAGCTAATTACATCACATCTACAAGCACATATTGTACACTGTAAGGCTGAAAATAGTCACTGTACTTAACTCCTTAAAAAGATCATTAAGGTAATGCAAGTTCATCGTAACAGTAGCCATTACTGCTTTGTACATTTTATACAAAACACAGAGAGTAAGAATAGTCATCACATTTAAAGCATTGTTTACAGGTTAGCAGCTCAAGCTGTGCTACCTTTCTGGCAATTTATGTATGTCATTGTGGTGCTGCACCTGCAGAAACTGCACCTGGTAATTTCATCTGTCATCACAGCCTTAATGATGTGTTTATCATTAAAACGCAAATAAAGATTTGATTTTTCATGCATCCCTAGTCTGTGCTTACTTTGTGTGTATGTTCCAGGCGGAGTTACACACAGGAGCTTTGCCCAGTGTCCAGGCTGTGGCTCTTAGAGGAGAGAAGCTACACAGAGTCTTTCACAACACTCTTCACCACCTGGTCCACATCATGAGTGGCTTCTGCCTGCCCGAACACTTCTTTAATGCCAGGGTAAAATACTCACACATCCCTGTAGACACACACATAATGACTGGCCATGAGAAGATTTACTCAGACTACAACTTCAGAGTCTCAATATAGTCTGCCTTCACACTTGCCTTCATGTTTACCTGTGCTAGTCTTAACAGTGAGCATTATTACTTACTGGGAAATAAAAAAGGCATTTTCCAAAAAACAAGCGATTTTTAGTACTGTGCCTTTACAACTGGTTTAAGATAAATGAATTCTGTTTGATAGGCTGCTCTGTATTGTGCCTCATTCTTAAAGCACTTTATTACTTCAGTATGAATGGGTGAGATTAAACTGCTGTAGGCAGAGTAGGTGGATGTATGTAAATGGGTTCGTTTTTGTGACATCACAAACAATAATTTCAAATTAATTCAAAATGTTTGCATTTTATTTTATTTTATTTTGCTACTGTGAAACATGAGTGCTATAATGTGCTATGAACATGACTGAGTGGTCTGAAGTAGGGCAGCTAGTCTATATACAACAGCAGAAGTTAGAAAAGATGTTTCTCCTTTTTCACTGTTACTAAGACAAGCCAGCATGTTTCCACATCATCCACTGAGCAGAAAAGAATTTACCTTGAGTATAAGACGAAGACCGCCTGTCATCTGAGGTTACTATGCTTTTAAATGCCTGAGGCGGGTTTTTTTTTATTTATTTTTTTTTGCATAAAAAAATATTTTTAAAATGTACCTCATTTACTACAGTTTTTTTCTATGGCACTATTCTATTAAAATAGATGACGGACAAAGTAATGTTACATCACTTCTCAAATAAAAAAAAATGAATCTTGGTGGTGGCAATTCAGAATGTAAACTACATGTAAAGCAGAGGTTCTCAAGGACTCCCAGACGGTCCGTACTGAGCTAAAACGTAGAACATGTGAATGTCCGATTTGGGCATCGCTGATCTAAAGAACTGAAGACTTACGAGGTTTCCTTTGACTGTGATATGATTCCGTGTGTATTCCCTCAGCTGAAGGAGTGGGTTGAGCGGCTGATGAAGACTCTGCGGGACCCCTCTCTGCCCCTGCTGGAGCTGCAGGACATCATGACCAGTGTGTCCGGCCGAATCCCCCCTGCAGTGGAGAAGGCCATTAAGAAAGAGATGGCTCAGTATGCCAGCAACATCACGTCTGTGCTTTGCCAATTCCCCAGCCAACAGGTACACACACATACACATTTTCATGTTGAAAACTCTTTGGCTGTGTTCACTACAATTGGCGTATTAGTATCAGTGAGTATCGATAATGGACAGATGTCAACAGAAAATGCTGTATTGGATATCAAAGGGGAAAAATGACTTATGAAAGTGGCACAAAACAGATCAGATTAGATTACAGATCAAACAGATCAAAATTAGATCTGTGTTGTGTGTTTTGTGCCACTTCAACACTGTAATGTGAACATAGCATTTCTCCTCTCGGCCAGTCGTTGACTGTAGGATGTTAACCTGAATTATGGAATTATCTATGAATTTTCCTGCTTACCTTTTTTAAATTGAGAAGAACATCATTTAAATTGCACACAGTTTATTATATTGTGTATATTTAGAGTCCGTAGTTGGTCTGTTGACGCACAGTTTGAGTTACCCATCCTCTAACCCAGTATTTCCCACCCCTTGTCCTGGAGGTAGCCTGCTCTGCACATTTTAGTGCTTTCCCTGCTTTAAAGGGAAAAGCTATGTTAAGGTAAGGGATTGTTAAAGAGCTATTTAGTGTCCTGGGACCAGGGAAACCATTAACATGTGCAGGGCAATGTGCCTCCCGGTCTTGGATTGGGAAACACTGCTTTAGCTCTTCATCAATGTTTAATTTCTGACCACTAAAAAAGAAGCAATCTGACCAATGATGAACTACTGATGGTTCAAAGGGTCAAAGTAGGAAAATGTGTTGATGCAAAAAAATAGAGGCATTAATCATTTGTAATAAAATGTTCAAGTGGCATCTTCAAAGGAGACACATGCTTGAATTGGACAGGCTCCCACAGCATTTGCCTCACTCAGTTGGTGCCAATGGAAAAAGAATAACATCTCTATGATCACCGAGACCCACCTCTTCCGAACGCTGGTCCTACCAATCCTTCTGTATTGATTGTGCTCTAGTGACTGACATTCTTCTGTTCTCTCTATTCATTGTCAGATTGCCAACATTCTGGACAGCCACGCTGCTACACTGAACAGGAAGTCAGAGCGTGAGGTTTTCTTTATGAACACCCAGAGCATCGTGCAGCTCGTCCAAAAGTCAGTGCACACACATACTCTTTTATTCCAACACATATTGATTAGCCATTTTCTTGAACCGATATTTAATGTTAGCACCATAATTTATTTAATATTGTGCACCATTCCTTTTTGGATATATTTGGATTTGTGTGTATGTCTGCACCTGTGACGACTTATGACTTATCTCTTCTCTTAAGGTATCGCAGTGGTATTCGGGGTCATATGAGGGCAGTGGTGATGGACTTGCTGAGGCAGTACTTGAAGGTGGAGGTGCAGTTCCAGCATGGTGAGATCACCTTCTTCAGTGGTTTTTAGTAGGCTTTCTTATCTGGGGAGATTTTAGGAATTTATCCTTGGGGGTGCTCAGCCCCCAAAGAAAGTGTGAGATTTGCACGATCAGAAATACTTCCACAACTGAATGCAACAGAGCACTAATATTGTGCACATTTGTGTGTGTGAGTCTATGCATGCATGTGCAGTACATCAACTGTCTTATAAAAGCATGTATTGTTTTCATGGTAGTTTGTAAATCCAATATATGAGAATTGATCAATCAGTTACTTGATCACCAATACTTCTGATTTGAACAACACAGGACAAATTCTGTGTGAACTTTATTCCCACTGACAATAAGAAAAGTTTTAGTTTTTTTTTTTTTTTTTTTCTATTCAGAAGTCAATTTTCCCTGACTGTCAAGGCCATTAAGGGTTATTTAGCATTAGAATGCTGTGGACTGTAATATCTTGCTATTGCCCATTATGAGCGATGAAGCAGTGTAACGAGCGATTTGCACAAACTAAACATTAGACTTATTGTCTTTAACAATGTAAATTTGAAATGTAAAGGCTACATGTCATCTAATATCAGCATCTGTAGGTTTATTCTTGGTTAAATGTCCTTTAAAACATCAGAATGCATAAATGCACACTCTTGACTTTTCGGCTTTACCTTTACCTTTTTGAATAATGCACATGCCATTCACGTGATTTGTATAGATTTTAAGTGTTTTGGAAATGGGGGAGCCTACTGCTAGTATGTTATCCTGCCTCTTCCCCAGACACAGCACAGCAGCAGATTATGGTCATTATTTGGCAATCCTATAGTTATCAATATCATTATGTAACAATCATTACCAATCAGGCTTTCATTTAGTTCATTTTGTCAGTAAAACACGTTGATTTCTGTGAACGTCAGTAACTGCTATGAGAGCTTAGCAACATTTACAAATTACATCAAAAGTGGCAATCATTGGGGCCCAAGAATGACACACAACACAAATGATGAGCAAAGTTTTTAGAATGGCCTCTATTTTTAATAGATGTGTGATCTTAAAAGAAGATTTATACTAAACATTTGTTGCATACCATACCGAGGCCAAATGGTCGTGTGTGCAAAATTTAACACAAAAGTCAAAATACCTAGAAAACTGTACAATTTTTTGACATGAATTGTATTTGTGTGGTTGTTGAACTCAAATGAACTAAATATCTCCATGGCAGTTACTCTGTTTTAGGCTAGGAATGAACAAGAATTTTCGTGTTAAAATGCCCAAAATTTTCTTCTAGTGATGATGGTACTAGGCCCCACTACAGGGGATTGGTTTTTGAGCCGGTCATCCTCAGACATGAGTTTATTGTCTGAGAATGAGTGGAGAACTGTAGCGCTCTGAGAACCTGATCAGTGCTGAGAGTCGGTGTGCGGCAGCTTCAGTGTTTGACAAGTCTGGTAGTTCACATTGTTGCATTTTCTTATTCTTATACGTTTTGTCCTCTGCTTTTGTACTTGATTATACATGCTGCAGAGCTCCAAGAGGTCTGAGCCAAAACAACTTATGTTCTTTAGCAGGCAGAGTGTTGTATTTTGAAGAATATTTCAAGACAGTTACTTTGTTGGTTGTTTCGAACAGTGCTGCAATAAAAGCAAAAAGCAACAGATCACAAAATGTATAATTTTGGGAAGGAATGACAATTCTGGGGGGCCTGTGATGAAAAAAGGGGGCTGATACTCCCCTAAATAGAGTCTAGAATCACCCTTCTGACTCTCTTTTACTTTGGTTTTGAGGTGCATTTCCTAATCTCTCCACTTGAGGGCACCCCAGCATCATAATTTCGTTGCAAGTTCTTTTCCACTTACTGTGCATGTTTTGTAATATTTCTCAAGGGTATTTTTTTGTGTGTGTGTGTGTGTGTGTGTGTGTGCGTTTCCTCAGGACACTATGACAAGTGTGTATTTGCGTTACGTGAAGAGAACAAAGGGGACATGGCCAACGTGCTCAACTACATTTTCTCCCATGCTCAGGTCACTAAGAAGAATTCTCTGGTCACTATGCTAATTGTGAGTACCCATTATTAACCTCACACATAGAAGTGCATAGAGAAAGGTGTAGGTATTTCCTGTTAAATGCAGTACATCTCACTATCCACTTAATTTCATATCAGACGAGACAGATGTTAATACCAGGTATAAACAGGGCCCAAGATTCTCAAGATTCTTAGCCCAGCAATTTAGATCATTTTGTAAATGTCTTGGATTGAGAGTATTAGGAAAGTGTTTCTTTGGTTTAGGAACTTGCCTTAAAGTAGCTATTGCTGACCTACACACTCTCTCTCTCTCTCTCTCTCTCTCTCTCTCTCTCTCTCTCTCTCTCTCTCTCTCTCTCTCTCTCTCTCTTCAGGATCAGTTGTGTGGGCGAGACCCTACATTGACAGATGAGCTCATGTCTATCCTTACTGAGCTCACACAGCTCAGCAAGACCACCAATGCCAAAGTGGCATTGCGTGCCCGCCAGGTACACACAAAAACATACTCAATAAACATTTCAGAGACTTTTAAATAAAACAACTGTAAAACATGCAAACACTCTTTCTTTATATAGCAGGACTATCAATTCAGACAGTTCTCTAGGATTACCCCAAAAATGTGGGTACATGATGTACGGCTAGCTTAGTTGCTCATGCCTGATCTTGACTCTGTTCAGGTGCTGATAGCGTCTCACCTGCCGTCATACGAGCTGCGGCACAACCAGGTGGAGTCCATCTTCCTTTCAGCCATTGACATGTACGGACACCAGTTCTGCATCGAGAACCTGCAGGTAGGTCTAACGCAGGGGCATCCAGTTCCAGTTGTAGAGGGCCAGTGTCCAGCACAGGTTACTGATTCTTCTTCTGTAACACACCTGCTAAACCTGGTAACAAACTGCTGAGCTGAATCAGTTGTATTTAAATAGGGAAATCACCAAATTGTGCTGAATAACGGAAACTCTTTAATATAGGGGTGGTGAACTGAGGCCCAAAAAACAGCTTTTGGCGATCTCCCTGCTCAAACGTTCCCACTAAACTTGCCAATTAACTGTTGAGTTAAATCAGATGTATTTAGGCAGGAAAATCACCAAACAGTGCAGGAATTTAGCCCTCCAGGACCAGAGTTCCCCACCCCTGCTTTAATCTAAAGCATTCGGCTACCTTGTTTTGAGTGAATACTAAGGTGCCCACCTGCTGGTCTCTTTCGGAATTTTGCCAGGTGTAATTGTGAAATTTAAAGGTCCCTTAATTAAGTCATTGATTAATTTCACGAGCAGATTGTTCAGGCTTGATTAATGTAATGTCAAAAACCACCCCCCTTTAATTTTATTTCTGTCCAGAAACTGATTCTGTCCGAGACATCCATCTTTGACGTGCTGCCCAATTTCTTCTACCACAGCAACCAGGTGGTCCGAATGGCTGCTCTAGAGGTAAGAGGAGATTCTGACATAATTTGCATGCAACAGGACCATCAAGAGATTAGAAATGGGTGTGGTTATTTGAACACTCAGATATCCAAACTTGTCTTAGTGTTTGATAACCTTAAGTATTTGAAAAAGGCATAATGAAATAAATTGTGAGCTAAATTTAAATTCTGTTTTATTTAAAAATGCATAAAAAGGCAAAAAATATTAAAATGCCTGTATCTACTAGCATTCTGGAAAAAGCACCTCTGCTTCACTCAAAGTGCAAGGGTCTGTATGTAGGTCCACATTTCAGTTCCTCAGTCTCATTACAATACATAAAATTAATGTAGTTTTGGATAAAGCCTGCTGTTTATGCAGTTAAAACCTTCCTTTGCACTCTGTCAGGTGTACGTTCGGAGAGCCTACATTGCGTATGAGCTTAATAGCGTCCAGCACCGGCAGCTGAAGGACAACACTTGCATCGTGGAATTCCAGTTCATGCTGCCCACCTCGCATCCCAACAGGTGCCCCAAGACCACCTTTCTTCCCTAAAGCTCTACCCACATCCCATCCCATCCCATCCTGTCTCATTCCATACTTGGCTATTGGCACTGTGGAGGAGGATTAAAATAAAAATGGAGGCCCTGTGAATTTAATAATATACATCACCAGTTCTGTATACACAGAAGCCAGTCTCCAATAGAAATCTCCTCCACTGTTCTGGGTCCTCTGCACCATCAACTGCTCTACCTGTGCAACATCTATACAATATATGTAGAATATTTTCTCTATCTCTGTTTTGTAAAAGGGTGTTTAAAAAGAAGAGTGGTGTTCAATACTGAAGTTTCTATTTCAGAAAGGCTCTAGACTAGCCTTGCATCTACATCTGGTAGACTTTGCATCAGAACTTTAACAGCACTTAAAAAAAAAAAAGGTAACCAGTAGGATTTGTGCCTGCTTAACATATTGACTCTGATTGGTCGCTTAAGCACTTCCCTTCCTTGCATTGCCTCTGCTAAGCACAGCTGAAAGAAATTGTTCAGCGAAAAATCAAATTTATCAGCCAAAATGTTTTTTGTGTCTGAACTTTTGCTTCTTTAGTTTTGCACTGAAGCTACAAGGCTAATGTGGCTAACATGCAATGAAAGCTTATGAATGGGAGGAATTAGCATCATGCAGACTGTATGTCTACCTCACACATTTATCTACGTTACACATCGTTTTTGAGCAACCTCAAGTAGACTTTTTTCAGTGTATGACACTTTTGTTTTTACAGTGTCTGAGAAAATATATAGACTAACATAAAGATTAAATGCTGATCTGATTTTTATGTTTTTTGTTTTTTATGTTTTAACTGTAAAATGTGTCAGGTTTGCTTGTTTTCGCGAGCAAATAAGTGTATTATCTTAAACTTTACTACTACAAAATACAAAGGGTAACATGCACTCATTGCCAAAGACATTTTAGTAAGAATGTGACTGCACTTTTTTCTCTTTTCACTAACTAGACTAATAAACCAAAGACTGGAATATCAACCACTCAGGAGAAAATGAGTGTGTAGAAGATGATGAGTCCTCATGAGTGTCTAACATTGCTGTAGTGCTAACATTAGCTTATCTGAAGAGGTAGCCTCCATCACTGATCCAGGACATGAACCTACTGATTTTTATTGCTACTGTTGAATAATAAAACATGTTTTTAAATGTGTTCTTCCACAAGCTACTATACTCATAATACCATGCTGTAACCTAAAAAAGTAAGACCACAGGCCTTTGTTAATTTCTTTAAAAATTTTTTTTTCCTTTTTCTTCCCTGTGATCAACCAAATATCCGTTCATTAGCTCTGAAAGATACTCGGATATCAAAATTAGTCATAATTCTATATGGTATGCCATTTATACAATGCTAATTGATGGTATATAAGCTTAATTACTTGTTGGCTACATTAGTCTTGTAGCTCCAGTGCAAAACTAAAGAAGCAGACTTCAGACACCACACGTATTGGCTGATCTACTACATTTAAGGTAACGGGGACAAACTGCAAATTTGATTTTTCGCAAAACTCTTCCTTTTTTCCAAATGATTTAGTTCATGACATGAAATACCAGGCAAAGCCCGCCTTCAAACCAGTGTCATTTTTGCATGCCTCACTGTGGACCTCTTGAATCCCGTTTTGTGTTTTGCCTCCTCACTCTTTGTAAGCAGGAGAGTGAACGAGGTTCTGATTCTGTCATGTCGTCTTAAAATACTGTGAATGACGCCATGCATTTACTGCATGCATGTGTGGGAGGAAGCAGTCTTTACTGAAGCTTGTGTGTGGCATAGAAATATGTAATAGAGCTCAGTTGACCTGATCAGTTAGGTCACATGGTTTTGAACTGTTGGAACATTGTAACGATTGACAAATTTAATGTTTAGCATAAAATGTAGGTGATTTTTATACATTACAGCCACACAGAACCTGACACTCAGGACTGCTTCTTGCCACTTTTGGCCTGACACTAACCGATCAGTAATCAATGTTATTTGATTGCAGAGGGAACATCCCCACTCTAAACAGGTATAGTACACATTCTTTATACTGTCAACCAATGTCTAGCTTTCTGTACAGAGTAGTGTAGATATTTAGAGATACTAGATTAGAAGAGGCAGCATGGGCAAGCACTGCTCTTGGAAGAAACTTGAATGTCTACTTTATATCTAGTTTCACTGAAGCTTGTCTGGGTGTTAAAGCTTTCTACAATGTAATAGTGTCTATGCACCATGCAAATATATGGTGGCTGCACAATATACCAATTTTCAGTGTTATCACAATATTGGCTTTTGCAGTAGTAATACTGCAGTTTTCTGGAATATGCAAATGAGCCTTTAGCTAATCCCTGAATATATTCGCATGCTGTGAGTATCCTGACCAACCTCAGAAGTTTCATATGAGTTTTTTAGGTGTTTGCAGAATTAATCAAAAATAGAGCTGTCAAATGATTAAAGTACTTAATCACAATTAATCATATTGTTTTATGGTGTTAAATTTGTCTAAAAGCAGCACATTTTCTTTTAGATATAAGAGTGGACAAAAACACCAAAATATTATTAATATTTATTACTTTCAGTCATTCAGTAACATTATTTTCATATTATGAGTGCAGGGTTCACTTGAACCTGAACTTGAAACTCATATGACTTCCGTAGAATGAATTCAGTTTCCAGTTTTCATCACAGGCATCCAGTGAGAGCAACAGTGGCTGCATGTTCCAACCAATGAGTGTATATATCATAGGTAGACTCAATAGTTCCAACTCGATTTTAGCCTCTCGACTCTTGCTGACATTGCTTGTGTTGTTACAGTGGAGACTCCTGACAGGAACTATTTCTTTCCACTTTGCTGTTCGTTTTGTTAGTTTGCTGCTTGTTCAGTTATCCTTAGGTTTCCCGCAAGCACTGTCCAGCGATAGTCTGCCGAAGGTGATGAAGGTTTTGCCTTAAAAGTTGTTTAAAATCTGTATTTAAATGAGATGACTACAGCTGCAGATTCTGTCATACATGCAAAACATACGTTTTATCAAAAAATATTTAATGAAATTTCAATTTTAAATTAAATTTCAATTTAATATTAAATATTTTTAAAAATGAACTTGCTTAAACATATAGCATGTGAGCAACTGGGCTTCACCTTAGGCTACTAGGGATGATTTGAATTGTCAAAAGAGAAATGCATTAAAAACGTTTAAGAAACAAATAGTGCTGTTAATGATTTATTACGTGAATGCATTATTAATGCATAAGCTTTCGTTACATCCTGAAACAATATGCTCATATGATAACAAACATTTCATGATCCAGAAATAATTACATAAATAAATAAATTTATAAAATAATTATATATGTGGGTGTCACCTCAAGGTCTCATGTCCAACAAGTAAATCTAGTATGATAAGGAAAAAGTGACAGAACTTGTTCTGATTGGTCAAGAGAGATGAAATGTATTTACACTTTGGTGGAACATCTAGCAGTGCTCATTTAATTGTTTTTCACAGCATAAAATTTTGATACAGATTTGGATTGTTACAAATCAGCAGTCCCAGACTAGATATAATATGATACATGATAAAAAAAAACTCACTTTGTAGCCCAGTAGTTTAATTAATTTGATATTTTTTGAGATTGGTGATCAGACAAGCTCAACTCTTTTGGGGAATTTGGTATATGGACATTAATGAGTTCACTCTGAGTATGAGTTTGCTGATGCTGCCACTAGTCCTACCTTTAAAATGTATTTCTCAAAATGAAGACTACAGCAGGAATCTGACACTAATCTGCAGTAGCATGGCTTATTGCGCCACTCTCAATGTGTACACACTGTGTGTGTGAGTGTGCGTTTGTCATTAGAAATTGTTGTCCAGATCATTTTGTGTCCGTTAGTGTGTGTGTGGGTGTGCATGCTCTGAATACTCTGATGTTAATTTAGCGCTATATAATACAGCCTAGACATCATGCTGGGTTTGAATTAAGAGTCTAATTATTGTGTTTAATTGTGACGTGCTCCCCACCAAATGTGACTGTTTGCCAATATTCTCTCAGGAAACTGTCTGTACCGCTACTGGACTACAGAACTCCAGCTAGCAGCACTAATAGTAGAGCGAGTGATGCTAGCAAAGTTAAAGCTTGCGCAGCTACAACTAGCGACCAGGCCGTGAATGAGGACAGGTAGAGTGAGAGAGTTCACTGGATTAGCTCTCTTTTAAATCACAGGTTAGCTTAAAGGAACACTGCACTCAAATATGCTAACGTTGGTTAACTTTGAATGGAAGTTAATGAGCCATCGTTAGCATTCGTGTATTAGAATTTGAGTGAAGAATTTCTTTAACCTCTGGGTGGTAATGTAGGAAGGGGTAAGGAAGGAGCTGGGCCTCTTTTTTGGTGAAATGTGGATCTTCTTGGACATCGTTTTAAGAGTGCTTTGTGGGTAAGGGGTTTCTTGGGTGTCATTTCAACTAACCCCAGAGTTACCCTTTTTTTGTGAAGTTTGTTTTGAAGAAGTCATGTGATTAAGATGGAACATTTTTACTGGTTTACGAATGTTTTACCTTTCACGTCTGATTTTGGGAGAACATATAACACCTTTTGATGTTTACTTATATTTCCTTTTTCTTTTTCGAATTGCCTCCTTACAAGCTGACCCAGCTTTTTTGAGAACTTTTAAGACATTTTCAGATTTCTAGCTGATGCAGCTTGTGAGGACACAATACTGTTCTCTCAGCTTCTCCTGAGACAAGTGCCTGTACTGGCCATGCTGTTTAATAACGCTATATGTGTGTTTGTGTATGTTTGTTGGGCTCTCAGAATGTCCTTCTCGTCCAACCTGAACCACTATGGGATGGTTCATGTGGCCAGTGTGAGTGATGTTTTACTGGACGCTTCCTTCACCCCACCCTGCCAGCGCATGGGAGCCATGGTGTCTTTCCGCTCTTTCCAGGAGTTCACCAGGTGCGTGTATGTGTGCATCTAGGTTGGTATTAGGAAAGTGTTGTTTCCCTGTTGAAGTCTCCCTAAATAAGCTGTAATAAAGACTGAGGGTAGACACACTAAGTACTAAAAAATATGTGGGATTTAGTTGTTGAGACTTCTGTGTCATTTTCTGTTGAATACATTTTCCGCATTTGCAACATGAATGACTTGTTCTTAATGAGTGTTTTGGCTGAAAATGAAATAAATGAATGAGTGGTGTCCAAGTTTCGCATAGCACTATGGGTAAACATTGTAAATCAACAAACAAAGTAAAAGATGTGTAGTGGGTGTTGTATACAGTCACACTGAACATATTGAAGATGTGAAATATCTGAACATGTGAAATAATTACTGTTTTTATTTATAAAAAATATAATATATATATATATATATATATATATATATATATATATATATATATATATATATATATATATATATACATGGCTTTATTTTATAGACTTAATAAACAGTTAAGAGAGCAAAACACCTCATTTCCGTGAGTTAACATTAGATTAAGCATTACTGGAGGTAATGGAAAGTAAGTAGAGTGATGAATAGTGTGTGTGTGTGTGTGTGTGTGCGCGCGCACTTGTTAGCTCCTTATCACTTACAAACTTGATTTTGTATATTGTCTGTTTTTTCTCTCTCAGGAACATTAAAGATGTCCTCAGTTGTTTTTCAGACTCTCCCCCCACCAGCCCCTCCTTCCCTGAAGGGGGAAACCCTGTGCTGTATGGTGAAGAAGACAACAAGGTGAGACACCTTCAACTCTAGCTTTGATGCACAGCATCTAAAGAATCCCCTAATGTCGGATGCCCAAACCAAAGAATGCCCAAATGTCAAATGCCTGAAAGCAAAAAAATGGCCAAATGGCACAAATCAGGGAGTGCCCGAACATCAGACACCCAAACTAAAGAATGCCCAAACATCAGACACCAAAACTAAAGAATGTCCAAACATCAGACACCAAACTAAAGAATGCCCAAACATCAGACACCAAACTAAAGAATGCCCAAATGTTAAACTTCCAAACCAAAGAGTTCTCGAACTAATGAGTGCCCAAATGTCAGTAGCCCGAACCAAATAATGCCCAAACATCAGACTGCCAAACCAAAGGGTTCCCAAACATCAGGAACATGCCCAAAGAATGTTCAAACCAGCGAATGCCCAAATGAACTTATGCAAAAAATAACCGAACATTAGATGCCCAAACCAAAGAACATCCAATACCAATACAAAGTGTGGTTTCTGTGTATTTTTAGAGCACTCTGGAGGAGCCAATCCACATTCTGAATGTGGCTATTAAGACGGACAGTGACATTGATGATGATGGCCTGGCTGCCATGTTCCGGGATTTCACCCAGTCAAAGGTGAGGCTTCTGACTAAGCAAAATATCCAGTTAAATACACTGACTGTCAAATGTTTTTGTGAACACCATGCCTTAGTGAAGTTTTTTTGAGTGAAGTTTTTTTTAAACAGTATTTTTCCTGTTACTTTTCAATTAAGTAAGGAAAATACTATTATTTAATCATTTGGGTACATTTGCCTTCAACACTCATGTTCAGCATGCTTCATGTTCAGAGTGTCTTCTTTGGTATGAAAAGAGCAGGCCTAAATAATGATTTGACAGTTTTCTTTTCCACACTGTTGTTAAAAGCATATATTTGCACTCTTTTTGGCCCAAAGGTGTTTTAAAAGTTTGACTGTCAGGAGTGCTGACATCCCAACAAGTAAAGAAAAATGGCAATATCTGATTAGATGTGTATTTAGTTTGTTATGTTACTGCAAAAAAGAGTTTGCTAGGGGTCTCCAAATCTTTGTAGGCTCAGTGTTTTCACTACCTGCCAGATATAAAGTCCTTGAGTGGAATTTTTTCTCTGCTCCACAGAAATCACTGCTGTTTGAGCACGGCATCCGAAGGCTTACATTCCTTGTGGCTCAAAAGGTACGGCTATCGTTTCCATCAGATGTTTTAGCATGTTTTTTCTCTCACTGTTCATTCTTTGACCAATGTCCAACCTTTACTAAAGTAATGCAGTAATGTCCAGAATTCAGACTGAAATTCCCAAATGTAGCTGTTCCACTGCATGTCTCTCTTTCTCTCCCCTCCCATTTTGCTCTCGATGCCATTACTAACAGGATTTCAGGAAACAAATCAACTGTGAGGTGGACCAGAGATTCCATGTAAGTATTCCGGCTCTCCAAGTAAGGAACAGCTCACTCCTATCCCCAGCTTGACGTCCAGATTGTCTTGATTGTCTCAAATGGTCTCAAATTATTTAAATGGATTTTTAGACAAGCTGCCACATGAACCACATGTATATGCCATGTAACAAAGTCAGCTCCTGACATTCTATTTTGCCCCCACACAGAGGGAGTTTCCCAAATTTTTCACCTTCCGTGCAAGAGACAAGGTGAGTAAATTCAATTCCATCATGATTCTGTAGCGAGCAATTCATGCATTGCCAAATCTCAAATATTGTCGTTAATGAATTCAGTTAGATGATTTTGCTCCAATTTAGAATTATTTAAACAAAACAACTTTGAACCATTTACACTATTATGTAGGGTGAACTCCCATTTCACATTTTGCGGGACATTCTCAAAATGTCCACTGCACTAACAAAACACTGTCCGTCTTCAAAGCTCCTTTTAAATTGACCTTTTTAAATATGTATAAAATATGCGTACATTCAAAATCATGTCTCACTCCAACTGTTGTGGTGATGGAGCCAAATAGAGGAAACTCCTAAGAAATAAGGAGAAATTGTAGAATTATATAGCTTTTCAAAAGTAGCCTATAGGTTAATATAACCAAATAACATAGCATCTTCAGTGTTTTAATTTAATGCAAATCTGTGCACTGCTTGTTTATATCCTCCCTTTTCCTACATGAGATGTATTCTAAGCTGTTCTCTATAGGCCTGCACTTAATAGATAATATCCCATACTGGCAATTTACAGCAAGTTCATAACAAAGTGCTGTGAGTACTGTCTACATCAGTACCCTGCATTGTCCTGCAAAAGCGGCTATGCTGTCCTTCAATTGAACCATTCTTATCTGGACACCTTACTGCAGTGGAGTATACACAGTAAAAATGACAACACACCAAGCTTTTTACAATTGGAAATCACCCAAGAAAATGAGCCAATACTTATTGTTTATTATTAAAATTGGTTATTAATTGATTCTCCCATGCTAAAATCTATTTTGTTGAATTGCAGCATACAGACTGACACATTATGATGCATCAGTGCATTGTATACCCCAACTGCCTTACATTTAGATTTTAAATTACTTGGTGTATACACTCATATGACCCTCCCCTGCACAGCTTTTCTTTGTTCAAATAGAAATAATAAACCCCTGTAGAAGTTAGAATAGGCTGGCATGTTCTTCAGATGCTTAGACTTTCTCTGATAGGCTCTCGATCATGATCAGTGATGGCTCTCTTTCGTCTCCCGGCTCTGATAGTTTTCTAAAATGGTTCCACCAAAGCTCATTACTTTAATGAACTTTTTAATTATTTTGCCCATTTGAGAGAGATGACATCCATTAGCTAGCTGTGATTACCTACATTTACTAAATCTAGCCTGCTATTAGTGCTGGGGGCCACTTTCTGCTCCTGTAGACTCACTTTCTTCGAATTTAAAATAACCAATTTCACCCTCTTCTGCTTAATTTTTTTTTTATCCCCTTTACTCATGTTTTCACTATAGTTGAACATATTCCGTTGCACAATTTGACGCTTTTTTGCTCTTGTGTATGTGTCCAGTTTGAGGAGGATCGTATCTACAGGCACTTGGAACCTGCCCTAGCCTTCCAGCTGGAGTTGAATCGCATGCGGAACTTTGCACTGACTGCCATTCCATGCGCCAACCACAAGATGCATCTGTACCTGGGAGCGGCTCGCGTGGAGGTGGGCACTGAGGTGACGGACTATCGCTTCTTCGTACGCGCAATCATTCGCCACTCTGACCTCGTCACGAAGGTGAGCACACGGCAGGATCTTATAAACAAATTTAAATGTATAGTAATGTAAATGAATTATATAGTCGCTGTTGTGACAAAACCTCACATCTAAAATAATAACTTCACAGGAGAAGGAAAAAACATGCTTAACTTTGAAAGGAATTTATAGAACTTTTTTTTTTGCAGAATTTGTATTACTGTAAGTTTTAGCCATTGTAAATAAGATTTTTTTCAAATACAAAAAAAGACTTGGGGATCCAAGATTTTTTTCTGACAATGACAGTGCAGTGGAGGTTAGGTTAGGTTTAAGTGTAAACATAGCAGTATCTGTCTATTATAATATACTAGTAAATGAGAAAACCCCTACATATAACATACACATGCTTTAACTGCTCTGCTCTGTAGGAAGCCTCTTTTGAATACCTGCACAATGAGGCTGAGCGTCTGCTGTTGGAGGCCATGGATGAGCTGGAGGTGGCCTTTAATAACACCACCGTACGCACAGACTGCAACCACATCTTCCTCAACTTCGTCCCCACCGTCATCATGGACCCCTCTAAGGTTATAAACTACAGTCCTTTACAAACTTCTTCTTGCCTGTTCTGCTTTTGCAGCTGTTATAATGATTGTAGCTATTGTATATTTTTTGCTGAGTCTCTTCAGTTACATATTCAATATGTGAACTTATTGAGATGAACATATGTATAATTTGTTAATAATAATTGTTATTTTAGTTAATATTAACTTACATAGTTATTAAAACATCTAAAACAATGTTTGGTATTTAAATCGTATTTCAATGTAAATTATAGAATACAATAAAAAGTGTCTAATTTAGATTTCAATATAAATTAGAAGCTGAACATATTAGAGGTGTTTTCTTTCAAATATTCCAAGAACAGTTTTTTTTAATAAGAGGATATTTAAAAATAATGTACCTTGTTATTTGCATTATTTTTATCAGTATATCTCCTTCAAAAATTGATCAGCACAGTGCAAGCATTCTTGATGCTTCACAGCTTTCTCAGTCATAGGTTGTTGAAATATATTATATTTTATTTACAGTTTCTTTGTTGTTATTTGAAACCTAGCACCATAATCATGCACAGTTATCTGCAACCAATTTAGTTTATATTATTGAAAACAGTAATTGAAAAGTGATTTAGTGACTGACTTTTAAATACTAGTTTATATAAATATATGTGTGGATGTGTATTTGTGTTCCCTCAGATTGAAGAGTCTGTTCGCTCGATGGTGATGCGGTACGGTAGCCGGCTGTGGAAGCTGCGAGTTCTCCAGGCTGAGCTGAAGATAAACATTCGTTTGACCCCTACAGGCAAGCAGATTCCCATCCGCCTCTTTTTGACCAACGAGAGTGGCTACTACCTGGACATCAGCTTGTACAAGGAGGTCACCGACTCTCGCACGGGACAGGTGGGGCCCAAAGACCGACAGGTGGGGCTCATGCGTCTCTCATCCCATTAAAACCCATACATACAAACCATCCAATAAAGACTGTGGGACAGAGCTAGTTGCCTCTAATAGAGTGCTGACCGTTACCCTACTGTTCAAAAGTTTGGAATTATGCATCATATCAGTAATGTTTTGTTGTATATACTGTAATAGCTGAATAATTAATTAGCTAGTAGCTTAAAATATTACTACACACTAACAGGCTTTTATTCCATAATTCAAGAATTTGTCAATAATATTGTAATTATTTATAATATACTTTTTTAACTAATAATTTTTTATTAAATAAATGTTTTTTTAAGATCACCATTTTTGAGATTTGATCACTGCTTAAAATCAGTTATAGCTATATGCATCATTCTGGATACAGAGTTTTCCTTCAATGATTACCGCAAATTATTTGAAACCTGTAAAGTTGCATGTGATTTGCATATTGTGAATCTACAAACAAATTGGTTTATATAATTCCAAATGTTTTAATGATGTACACTAGTGTTCAGAAGTTTGTAATCAGCTTTCAGTTATATATTGAAATAATAAAAATTAAGAAATTAAAAATTACATGTCCAGAATTATTAATTATTGTAGAATGATTGACAAAGCTGTATAGAATCATGAATGAAGTTATTAAAATGTAATTTGAATTCATCACATTTTAAAAGCTGAGATCAAATATCAAGGCAAATAATTTGACAAAAAAAATAGGTAGAGGGATAATTACAGTATAATATTTTTCATTTTACTCTTGAAATATTCTTGAAATATTCATGAAATATTTAGTTAAATATATCCATCCATTAAATCCACACACAACCAGTTATTATTGTGTATAAAATAAGAAAACTTGTAAGTATGGCAAATGATTCCAAGCTTTTGTACAGTGATGTAAATGTCCAAATAGTCATTGCCCTGCAACTGTGTTACTGTTTAGTTTGTGGCCATAGTGTAGTTTTGTCTATGTCTGAATGGAGCTTAGGGGGGTGACTAGGTGACTGTCCTTCAGTCTGATATCATAGTTTGCATCCTCATTTCTTTTTCTGCAGGAGACAGGGTAGGTTTCATCATCATGTTGCGTCATGTCTTTTATGTTAGAATGCGCCCTGTTATATTTAAACTTAACTAACTTAACGTCAAGCAGAAAAAGTGACTGTTTTTTTGACTGTTGGAAATCTTGCTAAGAGCTTAAACACTTGCATCCATACAGGAATACCACGTTGTTCCAACTCAGCCACTGTGGTTCCTGATCATGCACTGCGTGTTTGTGTATAAGGGAGGGGTATTGTATGTTTATTCTTTTTCCAGCTTTAAGACTTGTCTCCTTGTCTGCTCTTCTAGATCATGTTCCAGGCCTATGGAGATAAGCAGGGTCCTCTGCATGGGATGCTAATAAACACTCCCTACGTCACCAAAGACCTGCTGCAGTCCAAACGCTTCCAGGCGCAGAGTCTGGGCACCACCTACGTCTACGACCTCCCTGAAATGTTCAGACAGGTACAGTGTAAACTCATCAGGCTTGACATGGACATTTTAGCTGTTTGAATATCGTCACTGTCCAAAGAAAAACATGTTTCTTCAGTTTTTCTGATTTGTATTTTTCTGCATCAATCAAACACACAACCTTGATTTACATTGTGTGACAATTTCAGAATGAATGGACCAATAGAAATGCTCCAGAATCACTTGGGATAAAATCTCTTTACATTAACTTACATTAGTAAAAAGTAAAGAACGTTGTTGTCTTCTCCTGAAAAGTTATCATTTTGCAGATGCTTGTTTGTCTTTGGACGACCATGAAATCCACATTGATAGTATTTGAATATTTCAGTGACGAAATATATTGTGTTGTTATTAGGCATGCACTAATATGGGAGTTGGGGGCTGATGCTGATGTCCACCATCTTTCACACCTTTCATATATATATATACATGTGTATATATATATATATATATATATATATATATATATAATATATATATATATATATATATATATATATATATATATATATATATATTGTGTGTGTGTGTGTATGCGTAAATCATATGTACAGCATCGGCAGATATATGAAAGATGGTGGACATCAGCATCAGCCCCAAACTACCATATATATCCCAAATATATTTAATACATTTGTAAAATAAAGGAATATAACACATCTAAATACAACTCACCATCTCTCTCTCTCTCTCTCTCTCTCTCTCTCTCTCTCTCTCTCTCTCTCTCTCTCTCTCTCTCTCTCTCTCTCTCTCACATCCATACAGGCCCTGAAGAAGCTTTGGCAGTCTGTGGACACATATGCCCACCTTCCAAAGTGCCCACTGCCCTCTGAGCTGCTGACATTTACTGAGCTGGTGCTGGACCCACAGGGACAGCTGGTGCAGATGAACCGCCTACCCGGGGGCAATGAGGTCAGAGCAGTGTGGTTAGACAGTCTTAATAATAATAATACATTTTATTTATAGAGCAGCTCAGTGCTTTTACAGTTGAACAGTAAAATTTAAATAAAACAAAAACACAACAAAAATAGGAAAAAAAAAAATGAAATTAATTAGGTTATAGAGATACATTTTCAAATGAATTTAAAAATGTAAACTGAGATGGTCATCATTATTTTGAACCTTTTCAGTATTGCTTTTTAGGGCATAAAGGGAAATTCCACAGAATTTTCAAAATTTCCACATAATTAAAATAACTAAGGTGCAGACAGTCACTTAGAGTGATTTAATAGTAAGTGCTCCATTCTAAAGAAACAGACGCAGTTTTGCTGGCTGGTGGTGATGGGAACTAGGTGTTCAAAGCGATTATTGCCTCTAAAAGTTACCTCTCAGAATGCTATTACAATGAATGGTTATGACCACACTGCCTAATGACATACATTTTTTACAATCATTTTATGATAAAAAAAAAATGATCAAAATTATACTTACTATTAGCCAACAGATGTCTTATGGTAACAAAACCTTTTCAGCTATTTCTTTCTTACTTAACTGAAAATTACCACTGAGAAAAGCCAAATTTCAAAAAAAAGAAGTGTCCTCAAGCTTTTGTCAGGCATATAAAGTGTTTAATTATATGTTTTTTTTTTTCTGTACTGCAGATTGGAATGGTGGCATGGCGGATGACCCTGCGGACTCCAGAGTACCCTGCAGGCCGTGAGATCATCGTGATCAGTAACGACATCACGCACAAGATCGGCTCGTTTGGGCCGCAGGAGGATGTGCTGTTCCAGCAAGCCTCAGAGATGGCACGTGAAAGTGGCATCCCACGCATCTACATCGCCGCCAACAGCGGCGCACGCATCGGACTAGCCGAGGAGATCAGACACATGTTCCACGTGGCCTGGCAGGACCCGGCTGACCCTTACAAGGTGAGCAGAGAGACGCAAATGTGTTTAAGCATATGGGTTGTGGGAACTGGGAGAGGAATACCAGAATCAGAGTCTGTTAGACTGATTGGAATCCAAGTCTGAATTTGTGCTTGAAGAAATCTTTCCTTCTGAGCTTATTATCCTTTTGTAGATACAACAGTGTTTTTGTACAACAGTTCTTCTAAATAGTCCTTCAGCACCCAATAGTTCACTTGATTTGCTTGTATCTTACAGGGATTTAAGTACCTCTACCTCACACCTCAGGACTACAAGAAAGTGTCAGCACTAAACTCTGTGCACTGTGAGCATGTGGAGGATGAAGGAGAATCTAGGTGAGGTCCAGTAAACATAGCTCCTATTCACCTACCGCTTACAAACACTACAAGCTCTGGTAAAGCTTAACATAGATTTTATAAAGGCTGCGTAGAGAGTATTATAGAGCTAAGTAGCAAAGTACATGTTTATAAAAGCTACGCTTTCTGTAATAAATACAGACATTTACAAAAAGAGCAGCCTCTGTATATAATATGCATGTTTATGTAGGGTGCGTTTAGAGCAGGGGTGCCCAATCTTTATCCGCAGTGGGCCAGTGTGGCTACAGGTTTTATCTCCAAGAAAGCAGGACCACACTTTAAATAACTAATCAACTTGTGGTTGAACAAGTCAAATTAAGTGTGCTTCTCTTTTGTTTGGAATGACAATCTGCAGCCACAGCCCTTTATGGCCGCCTGATTTAAAGTGTAATAAAGATGTTGTGTGTTCAGGTATAAGATCACAGATATCATTGGAAAAGAGGAGGGTTTGGGAGTAGAGAACCTAAGAGGCTCAGGAATGATTGCTGGAGAATCTTCACTGGCCTATGAAGAGATCATCACAATGAACCTGGTACAGTAGAAATACACCCACACACAGCAGCTGAATGTTTTGCCGCCTTCCTGAAATGCTTATAATTTCAGCCTTTATTCCTCATGTTGTCATTTTCAGAATGTTTAGTATTTTTGTTTGTTTTTAATGTATTTGTTCGTTTGCAATGCACTTAAATAAAAGAACAGTTAAATGAAAGGAGAACAAATAAGCAGAATAATTTATTATAACTGTGTTACTCATTCTGTGTCTGTACTGGTGTGCAGGTGACGTGCAGGGCTATAGGAATAGGAGCTTACCTGGTACGTCTTGGCCAGAGGACCATCCAGGTGGAGAACTCCCACATCATCCTTACTGGGGCTGGAGCTCTTAACAAGGTCAGTGTGACTGGCCTGAGTCGTTTCAGACTGACCAACGGCAATGTTTGTTGGACGTGTGCTGTAACTTTGAAGGGCCCATATTGTTGAAGACTGACTTTGCTTAATTTGAAATAAGAGTTCAATATAGTACATAAACACTGTTAAAGTTTCAAAACATACCACTCATTCCCCAGTCCATACTGTCCATATATGGAAACTAAGCTGCGAAAACAGCCTGTTTTAAATGTATTGTTGCTGTGAAAACCAACACATTTACATATTTCCACATATACATATATCTGTCTATTTAGCTTACAGCAGTTTAGCTTTGCCCACTCATGCTGAAGTTAGGAGTGTTTGGACTGCTCTTTGAATGCAGCACAATACAGGACAATTCACAATACAGCCAATGAGAACAGAGGTCATTGACATATATCCGTCTAAAAGGCTCAGTAACAGAAACAGCCTGGTTAATTGTAATAGACAAAGAGAGGTTGGAAAATTATGAATTATGGCTGTTTTTGGTACATAAAACTGCACAAATATTACAAGTAGACCCAAAGGGAAGAAATAAAATGCAAGACAAATTAGGATATGGTCCCTTAAACATATTAAACATTTCCAGACCTGGTAAAATAAACAAACACGTAATCATTTAACTCAAAATTACAATTAAATAGCAAAATTTCCAAACAGACCTGTATGTTTAAATTTTCTCTTTTCAAGCAGTTGTTTGTAAAAACAATCTAATGTCCACTATTTTTCGCTTAAATATGGTCAGGAAATCAAGATATGTTTGGTGTCTGAAAAGTGCTTTTTTAGTTTTGCACCAGAACTATGAGTCTAATTTAGCTAACAAATAATGGAAGCTTGTTAGCACTGTAAGAACTGCATGCCTGAATCATCATACGCTTGCATACTAACCAGCCATGTTGTTGAGAAATCTCTCATAGACTTTTGTGGTTCCTGACACTGTATTACATACTGTTAGCTGTGAAAATGGACAAAAGTACACTGCATAGCTAACAACAGTAGTGGCAGCTGCCTAGACTGAATTTTGACCATATGTTTGTCCACTTTTTTGCAAGGCTATTTCTTTAATATACTCCTGACTAGCATTGAGATGGAAATGTATTCTAATTGGTTTTGGTCTTGGATCAACTTGCATAGCAATTGACATAGCAAAATCATTTTCCCATTAAGTCTCTTCTCATACAAATGGCCTCATAACTGTTTGCTCTGAAAGAGAGCACACATGCATAAATTACGTCGCTGGCCGCCTGATAAGGACAGTTTAATTTGCTCCTGTTTTAATTGTGTCAGTAAATTCGGTCTGCAGCGTGGTGACAGTGTTGAGTTTTTTTTCCCCCCCATCAAGCTCTCTCATCTATGACCCAGATAGATTGCTGTTTAATTCATGCAATTAGAGTGTCTGCATTTTGATAGTAATATCAAGGATTGTTATGAATTGGTCAGGAATATTATGAAATTAGTTTCTGTTGGACAGTGTCTGGGTGTGTCTTTGTTTGTATTTTTTTTTATTTTTTTATATAGAGACATTCCATTATTGTAGTAGGGAAGAGGCCATAAAGGACAGGCAAATTGGACAGTATGAAGACGACTGATATTATTGTTTGCATCAATTAGCAAAAAGCAGCTTGTTATAAAGAAAGCTATGCATCATGTATAGTGGACCAGCAACAAAGTGTACATTTTCATGATCTCATTAAGCCCCAACCTGCCTTCCTTGTCCATTCCTGGTCCAATGATACTAATAAAATGAGAAGCATTTGCACACAAGTATTTGTTTGCTGTGTTGGGCTAGGCAGAAAAAAAACAAAACAGTCTGAAATAGACCTGATCAGTAAAACACTATCAAATACGATTGAAAGGAGTTGTTTTCTGATATCTATAATGCATGGTTGAGGTGTGTTTGTTTTTTTTGTTTGTTTTTTTTTCTTTCAAACAGATTATTTGTTCTTGAGGCAAAGCATTATAATTAGCAGTAAAGCAGTTTTGTACCTAGGTGGCAGTCTGTACATTTTAATGCTTTCAGTGTTGAATTTATGGAGAGGAAAGAAGGCAGTCAATTTAGGAAAAAACTCAGAACAAAAGGAGGTCGTGGCCAAACAAGTCATATGTCCACTGCAGCATGGTCTCTGTTTTACTTAAATCAGATGCCTTTTGTTTTCTTCAGGGTTCCAAATACAATTCAAGCTTAAAATTGAGAATTATAATAGCTAGCAATAACTATGGCTGTGCAACACATTAATATATATTGTGATTAGATTTTTGCCAAGCTCTAGAACAAAATGTGCATTTTTGTTCATGAACACTTTCTTTTTATGTATCGTTCACATCTCCGTGATTACTGTAAGGCCCAACTCTCACACGTCTGTGTGGCGTGAGCGACGCGGAAAGTCATGCTTTTCATTTTGGTGCCCATGTTAACTTTCCAGCGATGTCAGCGGCAGAGCGTCCCAGATGCCACATTGAAGCAGCACTGCCTTTAGAGAATAGACCCAGTGCTATTTTTTTCTGTGCTCGTCACGCAGTAATATACACTAAAATAAGCCATGAAAATCTGGGAAAATTAAATAGAAAACTGTATACAAACTTCAAAACACTATTCATTAGTTTAATTTAATTCATGATGAAATACTAGTTGAACATTCTGTGCTGCAGAAAGATTTCCCGGTTGGTCTACCAGGCTTGAAACTTTTGCTTAATGACAAGTCAGAATGCTGTCAAGGACAAACAAATACACCGTGTACTTTAATAAATTATGTTTTTATTGAGCAAAGCGACTGATTTGGCCATTTACCCGTCTGGAAACAGGAATGTCTATAACTTTCTTGCTGCTTCGCTCTGCAGCACAAACGCTATACGTATGAAAGGCCAGCACGTTCGAGCTGTAGCGCTCACGCTGCCGCATCGCTCACACCACGCAGAAGCAGTATGTGTAAATAAGGCCTAAGCCCCCTCCTTCTTTCTTTCTTGAGTCGTAAAGGTGCCATAGCACAAATAAAAACAGCCGTGTTGGCATTGAATTTGCTTGATGCCTCAGGCAGGTGGAAAAAGACATCATTATTAAATCACATTCTGCATTTGTCCTGTTCCTATTTTCCTGTTTCCTTTCCCATTTAATGTAAGCAGTGCCAAGTGCCTAGTCCACTGTCTACTGATCATACCACTGTGTGTTCTGAGCCACAGTAGAGCATGACTAGGGTGATTCTTGCATGATCACTGGATCTTCATGGTATTAAAAGAGTAAAAGATGGAGAAATGCATACAGTACTGTGCAAAGGACAGACAAGACTCTTCATTTAGTTAATTTCCAGTTAAAACTGTCATTAAGTACAAGTTATTCATGTTTCAGAGTCAGGAAAAAAGCACGAAACTTTTATTTAATTAAAATTACACAGAAGCCTGAACAACTAATATAATATCAGTTTTTTTCAGTATTTAATGTGTCCACACTTTACCTTTATTACAGCTTCTATTCTTGCTGGGAGACCTGCTTGCAGTTTTTGAAAGAAATCTGCAAGGATCTTTTTCTACACCCTTCCAAAGTTCAGTCTTAGAAGTTAGTTTCATTTTCTGCTTCTTACAATCCAAGTAATCCCAAACACTTTCAGTGATGATTTGGACTCTGGGGTGGTCAGTCCATTGTTCTGAGAACAGCGGCAGCTTCTTTGTTTGGTTTGCAAGCGTTTTCCCTTTTTGTCTATTTCATTTTCTCAGTGAGGGCTTCTTGGCAGCTACACATCCTTTCAGACCCAGAGATTGTGTTTTTTTTTCGATCTGAAGCAAATGAGGATCTTGATTTCTCCCTAGCTTTAAGTGTTGTTTGCCTGATTGTCACAGGTTTGGTTGTCTGCCAGGTCCCCTTTTCACTGGATCTTGCATCATTTTTGAGCTCTGGTTTTGGAAACTCCTGTTTTTTTACTTTTATACTTTCCTTTTCCTTATGCAAGTGAATTACCTTCTAGATAATCTTCTCAGAAACATCTGAAAAATGTGTAACTTAATAGGGGGTTTGACCGAAATTGAAATAACTGAAGGGTGGTACATTTAATGTAAGTGTATTTATTGTATGTAAATGGGCAAAAATACTTGATGTTATTTATATTCTGTAATTTCTTAAGTTTACATTTTACGAATAATCAAAGGTTCTCTCCTACTGCAACTTGCATAGCATTGTATCGTTGCACTTCGTCCTTCACCACTACAGCATAAACATACACTCCCTAGACATGAACTCTCTTTGCTGTTCTCTCCCTGCAGCAAAATAGTGTTTGGAAATTGACCTCTATGTCTCTTTAGAGAAGTTAGTGTGTTGATGTGCTCTGTTTTGCTCCTCCTTTGTAGGTGTTGGGCCGTGAGGTGTACACCTCTAATAACCAGCTAGGAGGAGTGCAGATCATGCATAACAACGGAGTCACACACACAACAGTCTGTGATGACTTTGAAGGCGTTTACACTCTGCTGCAGTGGCTCTCCTACATGCCCAAGGTGAACACCTAACCAATCTGCTCCTTTTGCTATGTTATTACACATATTTATGTGTCTCTGTTTATGTAAATTATAATTCTTGTATATTATGATTCCTAATAAAGTATGAAGGTTAATCTTTAGAAATCTAGAGGTACTGACATTTTGCCTTACGTTCAGTTTACTGTACATAATGATTTAAATGTAATCAAATATTTATTTATTTATTTATTTAATCACATAGAGAGGTAATGGTTTATATAACTAATTATGTTGTCTGCATTTCCAGCTTTTTCATGTGGAAAAAAATCATTCTAAAAATTGGTCTAGAATGTGTTTTGGAGTAAAATGTTTCATATAAGAAAATAATCTTCCACCAACTGAGCTGTAAGTGATCCTGGAAGTTCGCAGTATTCCTGCCTTAGCAGAGCAGGGTACTTTGGATGGGCTATAATGTTTCATCAGACGGAAAAGATATGCCGGAGCTAGACCATTAAGATAATAATAAATTATCTCCTCTTCTATTTACAAACATAGTCGGATTTATGGTTTAGAGTATGTAATTGTGACTGAATTAGTCTTTTTTTGAAGATACTTCATGAACTATACATCATAAGGGACCTACTATGGGATGGTTAACGTCTTGTCAGTTTTAAATGGCTTTCAGTATTGCATAATTAAGTGATTTAAAATGAACTGCGGTTTTGTCATAAGGCTAATCTAAATAAATGTTTCATAGCAGTTTGATTAGTGTCCAATACTGAATGGAGATTGTTGAAATAACCTACTGGCTGTTTCCTTTCAGAACACGTCAAGCCCCGTGCCGTTGCTGGCGGCCAAGGACCCCATCGACCGGCCAGTGGAGTTCGTGCCCACCAAAACACCCTATGATCCCCGCTGGATGCTGGCAGGACGGCCCAGCCAGAGTAAGTGCACACACATTTTAGTAGTGCTTTGTCAAAGGTTTCGGGGTAATTCGTCTTCTTTTAAAATTCGGTAACACTTTATTTGAACCCTGCTACATAACACTGACATAGCCATGCCATAAAAATTTTATGGCAGATGTCATATGCTGTCATGGGTTGTAGTGTCATGTTACTGGTATTTATGACAGATTCCATGATGTCTGATGTCATGACAGCCGATATCACATGCTAATTTTTACCATGTACTCTAGTGAGCCATCATGATCTCAAACATTTATGATTTCTGTCATGACAACTGTAAAGACCCTGTTATGTTATTAGACATAACCTGTCATGACAACTCAGGACACATGTTTATGGCATGGTTATGTCAGTGTTATGTTGCAAGTAAAGTGTTGCTGATATTCGCCTTTTTCTTTTCAATGAACAAAGCATAAAGCAGCTGTGTGCCAGTAGTTTGGGTATGTTTTACCTTCAATACCTAAACCTTACGTTCATCAAAGAGGCTTCCTTGGTCTGAAGACCAGAACGATTTTTTTTCCAGACTATTGATAAAGTACATAATGAAACTCTCTTGGCCCAAAGGAGGTTGTGATATTGTTTTGTTGGTTAGTTTCTGCAAACCGACAAAGAAAACATGCTCATCTGTATTAAAAATGTTATGAGAAGCCAGCTGGCCCAAGCATATGAGGGGAACTGTTCAATCACATTGAATGCATAGTGCACATTCAATTTTTTTGCTTTAATCCTGTAGAATTTATAGCATTCGTTATTGAATTTTATTAAGTGGGGCAGTTTTCCCAATTACTTTCTGTAGGAAATGTTAAAGCATTTGCTTGTGAATCTGCTATTTAACTGATTCACTTTGGAAGCAAAGCAGTTACTTATGTGGCAGTATTTATTATAGGATGGTGTATATAGCCTTTGTTGTAGGGCAGGAGTTATACACAGTCTGCAGCCATCTACAAGTACATGTTGTTGAAGCTGGGCTCCAGGTTCACAGAGATAAGTCTGCGATGGATGGCCCACATTTACCACAGAGAGTTTCCATGTCTGTATAGTTACGGCAGAGGGGAAGGCTTTGGCTAGAACTGAGCCCATACACAGCATATTTGAATGGTGATTTCAGTGTTTATTTTGTAGATGAAAATAATGATGAAACAGTTTATGACTAAGATGACAAAAAAGGCAACAAAAAAGCTGTACAGACATAAATATGATGACCCACACTCTCACACGCTCTCTCTGTCTCTAATTGCAGATCCTAAAGGAGCCTGGGTGAGTGGTTTCTTTGATCACGGATCCTTCATGGAGATCATGCAGCCATGGGCTCAGAGTGTGGTGGTGGGCAGGGCCAGGTGAGCTCCAGCTCATTCCTTCATCACTGTATACCAGGGATGCGCAACCATAATTGGCAGATTTTTGTTTCAAACACAAAATTGGCCAGTTTATTATTTTTTATTTTGGCTGATCTGTATTGGAATTTTGTGGTGTAAATGACTCAGTTATGCATAATTATGCATGACTCATTGTGCTAAATAGCCAGTTTCCTCTTTCTTTCAGTAAGCATGCTGTGTGATTCATGGCATTATTTAAATAGGCATTTTTGGTTTACAAATTTGGAATGCCAGTTTGGCCCGTTAAAAAGCAAATAATGTCATTTTTGTTGGCCAATTAGGTCGTAATGAAAGTGGTACTGGAATCGGCCATAAAACCTCATGACTGATGCATCCCTACCATTAAAAAACTACATAAGCTTCACATTGTATATAGAAGTTACACATACAGATCCATTTGTCTATATTCACTGTTATGATCAGTTGTCTGGGGGATACTGGTTTTATTATCCTTGGGAACATAATATGTGCTTATTTATTAGATGCTACAGCCAGTATGTCAAAAATATGGGCCAATTACAGCTATGTGTCACCTGACCTCAGTGGCCTCTGACCTCAGTGCCTCGAGGAAGTCATATTTTAAAAGCCAGTCATCAGTCTCAGGCAGAATAGCCTTAGGTTCAAATGCATTGGCTTTTGAAATAAGCACTATTTACCTACACTGGGTTTTTATTTTTCTGTGGTACCTTCAGATTTGATTGTAAACTTTGCTTCTCAGTAAAATATGTAGCCTTTTTTATAAAGACAGTTTAAAATCAAAAAACGTTCTTGAGTGCAAGTAGTAACTGGGCTACAGTAATGTGTGAACATCTAATCAATGTTATTGATAAAGTTTCATAATCATTCATTTAAGAAAGACATCCTTTCAGACAAATGACTGTTTTGGGAATACAGTGACAACAAGTGTTTATTTGGTGTGCTTCACATGCTTCAGTGTAGGGTGATCACAACCCACTCAGACAAGTAAAAATTGGTTGATCACCAGAAATCCATACTATAGTTTCAAGAATTACCCTGACTGAGCAAAACAAGCTCTAGTTATGATAAGGCATATTGTATATCTATTGAAAATATAATGAACAAATTAGTCAATTATTCATTTCCTGTGGCTCCAGCAAATAGTATTCTGTTGCGTGGGCTTCTGTTTATTACATGTTAGTCTTTTTGGTTTTCAGGTTGGGCGGGATCCCAACTGGAGTGGTTGCCGTGGAGACCAGATCTGTTGAGCTGTCCATCCCCGCAGACCCAGCAAATCTGGACTCAGAGGCCAAAGTAAGACACACAGACTCACTTTTTGGAAATTGCGGTCAATTATGATTAATTATAATAATAAACACTTAAATAAGTGTTTGGCCAAATAATCTTATTTTGGCCAAACAAAAATCCTCAGACAATTTTTGAATCTAAAAAGACATATTGGAATATTGTTTGTATTGTCTGTAAAAAAAAATGAGAATTATTTTTTTTGTGCTAATGAATTTTGCCTGCTTGCACCATCTGTATTTCACTACTGAGTGAACAGTTCCTCCACTCACATTTGTGAATTTAGTGTTTTTCTAAGAATAATTCTGAATTATACCAAAAAAAAGGTTAATCTCATCATACGGAATCATGGTGAAATTTCAGATTTGTATCATTTCCAAGAGAATCATAATCAATCTGAACTGTGAGGTCAGAAATTTACACCTCTGCACTGTGCTGAAAATAAGTGACTTGTCCCACTATAGATCATCCAGCAGGCCGGCCAGGTGTGGTTCCCCGACTCTGCTTTTAAAACAGCTCAAGCCATTAAAGATCTGAACCGGGAGGGTCTTCCACTCATGGTGTTTGCCAACTGGAGAGGCTTTTCTGGAGGCATGAAGGGTGAGTCAGTTAACAAGTAAATACGAAAAGAAGAAAATCACATGGTTTATTAACTGTTCAAATGCCTAGTGTTTTCCTGGAGCGCCTCCAGCTCTGTATATTTTGGTGTTGAAGTTATACTTTATTGATTTGCTTGCACAGGAGATTGGTAATTTTGCTGCCTAATAATACCCAGTCTGGGGCAGTGGGTGGTTAAGTGCCTTGCCCAAGGGCACAACCACTAATATACCCCATCAGTCCTGGGATTTGAACCCGTGACCTTTTGATTCCCAGCTCACTTCTCTCACCTCTCTGCTCTGGTCTAATCACACCTGTTCCAACTAATCAGCTAATTAATACTAAAATGCGCAGGACATGCATGCTCCAACCCCTGGTATAGACAATTTTGGTCAAAACGAAGACAATAAGGCTTTATAGTGTAGCTGGAGTCACCTAGAGGTTTTATGGATTCTGCAATCGATTGTGTCATGCATGAACTTAACCCCTGCTGTCACCCACAGACATGTATGACCAGGTGCTGAAGTTTGGGGCATATATTGTGGATGGGCTGAGGGAGTATAGGCAGCCTGTGCTGGTCTACATCCCGCCACAGGCAGAACTGCGTGGAGGATCATGGGTAGTGATCGACCCCACCATCAACCCACGCCACATGGAGATGTACGCTGACAAAGACAGCCGGTAAGAGCCATTTATGTGTGTGTGGAAACTTTAGAGCTTTGCACGGGTGCTTGAGTATTTCATTTAACCATTCGAGGTGCCAGAACTCAAATACTAAAATCACTGTTTGTGTATTTGTTATGTTCTAATACAGACAGACAGAGAAAATGCAAATGTTTTGAATATCTCTGGTCAAATTGCATGCATTGCTGATTAACACATCCTCTACAGAGAACAAACTTAATTATGGCATTTTCTGCTCATTTTAGTGCACAATCTTTATTTATTTGATGAGTTTCATTTTGGAAACAATTAAACATAAAAAATAAAATGTGCCTTAAGTTTTGAACAAGTTTAGTTTTAAGTTTTTTTTTGTTTGTTTGTTTTTTTACATTAAAATGTGCATAAATGTGTTCTCACTTAGAAAATCAACAAAAGATATAATTTGATGAGGGGCGCCCAAACCTTTGCATACACATCAACACTTATTATATTAGAACAAAACATGAGAAACACAAGCAGATGTAACTCAGTGTAACTCAAGCTGTTGTTAGCTAGAATCAGATCCATTATCTAACTTAGATGGATGTAACTTTTTGAAAGTTTTGAAAGCTGTTTTTTATGGTGTTTCTAAAAATGGAGTTATAAAGATTTTACATTTTTATGACTGCGTCAAAATCTGCCCTTTGTCTAATTGTTATGGAAGCCCTCAAGGGCCATGGATTTGCATGTTTTTTTACTCAGTTTTTCCGTGATAAGAAATTTTCATGTATTTTCTCAAGAACTCAAGATATATGCCATTATCATGACATAAAAAAGTTTGAGAAACCAACATTCATTTTAATGTGATGACAAATATCGCAAGATCTTGAGAAAACAAATGAAGACTCGTATGAAAGTATGTGAGTAAAACAAAAAAAAAAGGTAAATCCATGGCCCTTTAGGACTTCTGTAAATTGTACACATCAAATGCTAAAATATAGTTTGCTGTTACATAGTTATTCTAAGTTTATAGCTAGTTATTACTCTTTAATTACATGGGAATTAAGTCTACATGACTAGTTGTAAATAAGGACCGCATGTTGTGCAGTGGTGGAGTGTTGGAGCCAGAGGGCACAGTGGAGATTAAGTTCCGCAAGAAGGATCTGGTGAAAACCATGAGACGTGTGGACCCTGTTTACATGGGCCTGGCTGAGAGACTGGGTGAGTACAAATAAAGATTCATGTGTTTATCAAAACTCAAGGCCATATAAGATAATATATATAAATAGTCATTTGTGGAGTTGTAGATTTAAAGAGTTAGGAACACAAACACAATAAATGCAGTAAAAGAAAGCGGTTCATGACAGAAATGTATTTAAAATAATGAATAAGGGATGCTGAAAGAGAGACAGACACTGTTTTCTGTAACATTCTTCCTCTTAACCCTTAAGTCACTGGACAGGACACACTACATAGCACAAAACATAGCTTCCAAAAATTCAAAACCATCGCTTTTAATGAGGCGCAAAAAAATGCTGCTAATATTCTGTGTTGACGTGTGCCGCCGCTCAGCGTCTTCCGGCATGTAGTAGGTGACATGTAACTTGAAAGTTACATTTGAAAAAGGCAATCAATCTAATGTCTTTAAGATAAACAGACAAATGCTAAACATCTGTTGCCTCAGCTAACATTACAAGTGTAGTCATGTTGTAAGTTTGAAAACAGTGATTTTGTGGGGTTAGATAGTTGATACCAAATATGGTAAGACTTTCAGCATAATTTAGTTTATTTATCCTACTAAATCTATATGAGTAGCTTAAGATTCATTTAATCATTTAATGACCCTCACTTTGATGCCTTCTTACAGCTGCTACATGATGCACCATCTGGCTCATCTGGTGTGCAATCATTCATTCATTCATTTATTCATTCATCTTCTTAAACCACTTGATCCAGCTAGGGTTGCGATAGCAATAGGGAAAGCAGAGAATTGTAGACAACCCTGTCCCCCTCATTCTGGGCATCCCGAGCCGCTCCCAGGCCAATTTGGAGATAAAATCCCTCCAGCGGGTTCTGGGACAACCTCGGGGTCACGTCGTAGTCGGCCGTGCCTGGTAAATCTACCAATGGGAGGCGGCCAGGGGGCGTCCTAATTAGATGCCCGAACCACCTCAACTGGCTCCTCTTAATGTGGAGGAATGGAAACTCTACGTTGAGCATCCTCCCGGATGACTGAGCTCCTCACTCTATCAAGCCCGCCAACCTGCAAAGAAGGCTCATTTCCGCCACTTGTTACCGTAATCTCTTTCTTTCGGTCATTACCCAAAGCTAATGACCATATGTGAGGGTGGGGATGTAGACTGACCGGTAAACAGAGAGCTTTGCCTTATTGCTCAGCTCCCTCTTCACCAATACAGTACGGTACAGTGACCGCATTACTGCTGCTGCCTGTCCCAGCCTGCGGCCAATCTCACAATCCCTCTTCCCATCACTTGTGAACAAGACCCTGAGATACTTAAACTCCTCCTACCTGGGGCAGGTCCTTTCCCCTTACCTGGAGGGGGCATGCCATCCTTTTCTGGGTGAGGACCATGGACTTAGACTTGGAGGTGTTGATTTGCATACCAACCATTTCACACGCTGCAAACTGCTCTGGTGCACGCTGGAGGCATCCATGCAATGTATCCAGAAGGACAACACCATCTGCAAAACGCACAAACACCACCTTCTGGCCTCCACACGTAATGCCCTCCTGACCTCGGCCACGCCTTTACACCCTGTCCATGAATATCACGAACAGGAGTGGAGACAACGCACAACCTTAGTAGAGTCCAATACCCACACTGAACGAGACTGACTTAAAAATAGGGACCACCAACCTGGTCTGCCAGTCCAAGGGTACTGTTTCCGAGGTCCATGCGACATTGCAGAGGCGTGTCAGCCATGACAGCCCCGAAACATCCAGAGCCTTAAGCATTTCCGTGCGAATCTGATCCATCCCGTTGCCACCAAAGGGCTTGCCAACTACCACAGTGACCTCCACCAGGGAAATGGACTCTGACACCCCAGAAGCCTCTGGCCCTGAGGCATGCATGTCTCTTGGGTTTAGGAGTTCCCAAGTGCTCCTTCCACCGACCAACAATATCCTGATTCAAAGTAAGAGTTTCTCCTCCCCTGCTGAGTACAGCTTGTGCAAAGCCACTCTGACCACTCCTGAGTCACCGAACATTTGTCCAGAACCTCCTTGAAGCCAACTGAAAGTCTTTCCATGGCCTCTTCAAACTCCTCACATGCTCTAGAGTTTGCTTCTGCCACCACTGCTGTTGCCCATCTGTACCTATCTACTGAGTCGGGAGTTCTCCTGGCCAACCAGCCTCTAAAGTCCTCCTTCTTCAGCTTGGCATCCTCCCTCACAACTGGTGTCCACCAGGGGGTTCTTGGGTTGCCACCCTGACAAGCACCAACAAGCCTATGCCTGGCGGCTTCCACAATAGAGGTTTTGAGCAGGGTCCATTCGGACTCCATGTCCCCTCCAGCACATGAGAAAAATTCTCATAGAGGTGGGAGTTAAAATCATTCCAAAACAGGGGCCACTGCCAGTCATTCCCAGCACACCCTCACTGTTCGCTTGGGTCTGCCCAGCCACCAGGCACTCGTCATTGAACACTACCCTCAGGCCTGGCTCCAGGGGTAGATCCCGGTAACCCTCTCCTGGGGCAGGGTACACGAGATATTGTGTCCATTTTGGATCATCTTAGTCTGTCTCTTCACTCCAGATGTGTTTGCCTAACTAATTACATAGTTTATCACATACTGAATTACATTTATGCTGCTCAAAATGTAAAGAATGTTTTTTCCTTCCACAAAACAAGACTGTGCACACAACAACAGCTTGTCGTCAAATTCAAAAACACAATTAAGTATATCTTCTCCTACTTACAAATATACAGGTCGTGTTAAGTTTAGAATGAGCACTGTCAGAACAACCGCCTTGTAATAACAAGCTGCAGGAGAGAAATAATAAGTTTAAAATTACATAATTTCTTTGTTATCATTGGAAAAAAAAACATGATTTTTAAGAGATAAATACACTTAGAGATACTCTTTTTGCCCATAATGACTGTGCTGCTTGTTATCACTCGCTGTGCATGTGTGCAATGCCATCACCTGTTTTGGACCTTGAACCCCCATCTCCTCAGAGACACCTGTCAATCACGCTGTCCGCAAGTCGATCTCATTGCCATAACGCTTGGAGCTTCTCCTCACCCCCTCAGTCAGCCGTGTACAACCAGAGCAGCCCATTGACCAGCAGGCAGCCTCAATGATCAACTCTGACACAGATCAATTTCTAACAGGAGCCTAGAGCAAATCACATGAGCCTGTAGCCACTGCAGGGTCCAGAAGAAGGCCTGTCCAATATTATGCCTCAAGCGAATGTATGACACTGTCATCTCTGGCATTTAGTAAAAGGCCCATATTTAACTCTGTTGAGATCATTTTACATTTTAGCTGACAATTAAATGCAAAAAACAATTAAATAAAATTCATTTATTCACTGTATGCAGCTATTAAAGTAAAGCCTGAAGTGGTCAAGTTGGCTGGTTAGCTATTTTGCTTCCTAGCAGTCAATATAAATAAACATACGTCACTTACGGCTGTCTTCAACTTCTGTTGCATTGTCTGCTTCCTACTAACTGATGAAGATACACCCAATTCACATTCTGTTTAGTGTGACATAAATTGTCACAGTGTTACTGGAGTGCAAGATGTACTGTTCCTGAAAGTCAGAGAGCAAATACATTGCAGTTTATTCAGTATATGTCAGCCCAATCAGATCAGAGGTCCTTTACACATAAAAATAATGAAGTTGGACTATCAGGATTTGTCTTATCTGTATGTGTATCTGCTTATCCAGGCACCCCAGAGCTGAGTGCGTCAGATCGGAAGGAGCTGGAGACCAAACTAAAGGAGAGAGAGGAGTTTCTTCTTCCCATCTACCATCAGGTGGCAGTGCAGTTTGCTGACCTTCATGACACACCAGGACGCATGCAGGAGAAAGGAGTCATTACTGTGAGCATTTGGTTCTTTTCCATTCAGATCCATTCTGTCCACACCGAGCATCTTAAAATCCTTTAAATAAATTAGTATATATATATATTAGAAAGTTTAGATCTTGCTATTAATCACAGTTCATCCACTTGTTGTGATGTCAGCACTCACCAACACTCAAGCAGTTTAGTTATTTAAACCACAGTTGGGTCAAAAGAGTTTTAATATGTGCTTTAAATCAATCTTAAACCAACATTGACATTGTTTTACCTTTTTAGTTTCCTGGTCAGTGTAAGCACAATTTATCATCTCATTTAAAGACAGAATTTCTGCCACCTCTAAAAGGTCTTGTGGATTTTAATTACATTACTGTATACCAGGGAGCAAGAAAAATAACCAGTAATATTATGTTTAAAATCTAACCCTCGACCAACCATCACTGAGTGAAAACGCACAGCTTCCTTAGAAACCTTCCCTGATGCTGTTACACTCAGAAATACATCATAGTACAGAAGAAAATGCTTTATGAATGCTCCAAAATATTTGCTGTTTTATGTTAACAGTTTGTATTGCAGGTTTTTTTTTTTTACTTAATTGGAAAATAACATGGAATATGAAACATTACCAGGAAAATTTCACAAGAAGACAAGGTGTCCCCAAACTTTTAACAGGCAGTGCACCTGGAGAACATAAACAACACAGTTGGCTTGTCTTTGCTTGATCGGCCTCACTCTAGCTGTGTGTGTGCTGTTGACAGGACGTCCTGGAGTGGCGAACGTCGCGGCAGTTCTTCTACTGGCGCTTACGCCGCCTCCTGCTGGAGGACACAGTGCAGAGGAAGATCCAGAGGGCCAACAGTGAGCTGACCGACGGCCAGGTGCAGGCCATGCTCCGCCGCTGGTTTGTGGAAGCCGAGGGTGCCGTTAAGGTACGGAAAAACGGTTTTAAAGGGTGGGTAATTTGAGCAACGGTGAAATGAATTGTGGTAGGGACCAACTAGTATGATCTTAATGGCATGATGCAAACTAGTATGTCATAGTGTTGACCATGATTATTAATATATACGGATATCCAAACTTGTTCGTATTTGTTTACTTAATTATATTTACATTTATGGCATTTGGTAGATAGTCGAATTCTAATTTTATCTAGTTACAGAGAAGGTGAATGTTGCGTTAGGAGTGTTGCCCAAGGATTCTATTAGGTGTAGCTCCTGCCCAGGCAGGGAATCAAACCCTATTCTGCTGCATGGAGGGCAGTGGTGTTACTCGCTTACTGTAAGTGTAATGTTATTGCATCTGATATCTTGTGATAAGCGATACAGTAACATCTAAAACGTTATAATGGAAAATCATTTCAAACAAATAATGACAAATATATAAATTTGCTTAGTCTGCTGTTCTAAAATAAACAGCCTTATAGCATAATACCAGTGGTAAAATGCTAATTGTGCCCTACTAGATTTCATTTAATATTAGCAATGTTAGCCTATTGGGCCTTTATGTGGAAACTGAGAGTCCGTTTAGTTTTTCTACCTCCATATACATTCAATTAATCTGATATAGCAAACTGCCTATAATAAAGGCTATTATAAGCTCCTGTGTTTCAGTCCAGCTAGGCCTGGGCAGGAGGCACACAGGGACGCATGAAGAGGTCCTGGAGCATTGCCAAGCCCTCGAGGCAGCTCCAAAGTATCTGTGGAAGACTGTGGCTGAAGCAGCTAATGCATTAACCCAATCAGAGGCGACTATCTTAAGCCGCAATTAATCTCCTCCCTGGCATGCGCAGATAGGAGAGCAACATGCTGTTTCTTAATTAAAAGCAAACGGATTAAAAATGATTAATAAAGGCTGTTAAATGTTCCCGCCGACTAAGAGTGCAGGCGCTTTTTTTTTCATAAGGGACCATTAACGGGCCGACAAATCTTCCTGAGTCCGGCTTTGTTTCAGATCAGCCTGGTTTTATCTGTAAAGCGCTAATGATTTTTTTTTAAGCACAGGGAAGAGATTGTGATGGGCTTTTTTCCAATACAAACATTCTTCAAAAGGGGTTTTATGCTGGAGAATATGACAGTTTGAAGACGTGTTTGACTCAGTGTTTATAATTGCTTTTCACTCTCTCAGGCCTATTTATGGGACAGCAATGAGGATGTGGTGGAGTGGCTGGAGAAGCAGCTGACAGAGGAGGAAGGTGCCAGATCAGTCATTGATGAGAACATTAAATACATCCGCAGGGACCACATTCTCAAGCAGATCCGCAGGTAAAAGCCTGTTCCTCCTGTGTAGTCGCCGATGGCTTTCTAAATTGTGCTTTGATTGATTCGTTTAAGGTGTCTGTTAAATTTTTTTTTCTTATCTGTCTTTCTCTTTATATCAGGGAATAGAAAAATGAAAACCAAAAAAATTTTTTTTTCTCTGAAGTATTTGACTAATTCCACTTAGATTATTATTACAGAGAAATCTAACATTTCAGGGTTACAGATGCAGAAACCTGGATAAAATGCAGACTTTTTAGCGTAGTAGCCAAGCGTCACTTAGTGTTCTGCTCTAAAAGAATAAAGTGAGTATCAGGAAAAACAGCATCAGACATTTTCAACAGAAAACTACACAAATATATATAACAAATAAAAAAAATATATATATATATATATATATATATATATATATATATATATATATATATATATATATATGTATATGTGTGTGTGTGTGTGTGTGTGTGTGTGTGTGTGTATTTTTTTTTTCTTTGTATTTAATGTGTCCACCTTTTATCTTTTATTGCAGCTTCCATTCTTCTTAGTAGACTTGGTTGTAGTTTCTCAAAGAAATCTGTAGGGCTGTTTTTCCACACCTCCAACGTTCAGTCTTCAGATCATTTTATGAAATGTACAATTAAGTACATTTACAGTACAAATTACACTACAAATTACAATTACAGTACAAAGTACAAATTTAGTACAATTTTTAGTACAAACTCCAGATTTCCATACTTACTTTTTGACTTGATTTGTTGACATTCCCCTTCCTTATGCAAGGGGTTTATCTTTTATCAGAATTTCTCAGAAATATCTTCCGAATAACCTGTACTAAAAGGCTGTTTGACTGGAAATTAAATAAATGAAGGGTGGTCTCTGACACTTGTGCAGTACTGTATCTTCATTTCTGTGGATACACACTACGTCTATTTAGTTATCTGTCATGCTGTGTTATGGTAATGACTCTCTCTCTCTCTCTCTCTCTCTCTCTCACTCTCACTCTCTCAGCCTGGTTCAAGCCAATCCCGAGGTTGCTATGGATTCCATCGTCTACATGACCCAGCACATCTCCCCAACTCAGCGGGCCGAAGTGGTGCGCATCCTCTCCACCATGGATGCCCCTGCGTCCTCTTGAACACACTACACACACGCCGGGGCTTTTTTTTTTTATGGAGCTGCTGGAAACTGGACAAGAGGAGCCAACATGGACTACTGGAACTTTAGATGCGACTCTGTTGGCTATGATTCTGAACAAAACAGCTGTGTAAAATCATGTAAAGGCGTTTTTGTGGCACTCGTCTCAGTGCTAATACATCAATATGATGTACATTTTGAGGGACAAAGTCTTAAGTATGTTCGAATTTGTGTGATTAAGCTTTGCATTTATTAAAATAAGTGCAATTTAAATAGACAAAACAAAAAGAAATTCTATGTGAAAGTCAATCATTGGTGATATAAAGTATTTAGTTTCATAGAGTTTCATATTCACATTGTAGAAACGCACATACTGAAGAGAGAGGATTCCTGTCAAGAGTAGCTTTTCATATCTTTTCCTTAAAAATAGCAATTTGACATTGCTGTTATCTTAGCTAACGCACTTAACAGCTTACACAATGGCCAAAACATGGCCAGTTGAGGGCCACTGCTCTTATACTCTGATCTAAGTACAGCAGTGTGCTTTCTGTCTGATAGTCTCACGGGGCCAGATGTGATCTTGTAATGAGAGCCTCTGAGGATGACCATGAGAAGTTCTGGGCTAAAGGCGTGTGGGAAAGAGCCCAGACTAGAGGAGTTTTGGGGGTGTGTTTACCCTTTTTAGAGGCTGATTTTGCTGCGATCCGGCACCAGAAGTTTAAGTTGTCCCCAGATGTTACAAAATCACATCTGGCCCTGTAATGATGAATGAATGAGGTCAGAAAAAACAATCTCAGATCAGAGCAAAAGAGCAAGTTCCTTTAACTGGGGCCAAACTGGGTGCACATGTAGCAACCCTTAACTTCCACACACACTACTTTTCAAGCTTATTACAATCGTAACCCAACACACCCGTGAGTGCACCTTACCCCACCTCCCCAACCCCAAATCTAGTTACACACTGGTCACACAGTGTTTTTTAGTGTTATTCAGCAGAAGCAACTTGTATTGCTTGTTTGCTTATTTGTTGTTTTGGCCTCCTTGGTAACCACCAAAATCGTGTTTTTTTTTTTGTTTTTTTTTATGTGTAATACTACACGCACAATAAGGTGTTTTTTTTTAAATATAGCTAATTTATTAATGAAAAGTTATGGTTTAAAAATAATAAAAACAGATAAACCATATGGGATGCTGTAGTTAGATGCTAAACTAAAACTGGGTAAGTGTGCTTTGACCTTCGCACTAGAAACATAGGACCAAAGCGAAGGTCATTATTGTCTAAAACAAAATATAAAAGTGACTTTTTTGTGAGTTACATGCTGTACACTTTGTGATAAAACATTCTTCTGTTAGAGAGAAGTGATGGGGGGAAATGGAGTAATCAGTGATATGAGGTGAGTGATGTAGGTCATGTGTGCTGATGGAGGGAATGAGTGCTGGGGTCAGTCCACTGTTGTGTACGGCATTGTGAAGGTGGCAGATGCTGCTGGAGCGTCTTTAAGTTCAGCACTCGTGTAGTAACTACTTAATGGTGTGAAAGGTCAGAGGAGACGCGTTTGTCTGAAGTTTGCTTTGACCTGGATTGATGGTGAAACTGCTGAGCCTGTCTTACCTGTCTGAGACCCTCGACTAACGTGTTACTGAAGAGAGCAGGGGCTGGTGTATGTTTACTGTGGCTAACTGGAGTTGCCTCTCAATATAACTGAATAAAACCAGTTTATTAAACCTCTGAAGTGTTACTTTTTTGGGGGCTTCTAATGAATTGCTATTCTGGCCCACCAGTGCCATTTAATGAGAAATAATACATTTCACAAATGTAACATCTATAAAAAACATGAGCTGAGTATTTCACTGCCTACATTTTTCTAGAATTTTCTTTTACTCCTCTATTGATCTGTGTGCTTTTATGTACCAAAACACATCAGATTTTTGCTAAATTAATTATTAGATGACCATTTTCCATTCTTTGTTTATCCTTTGAAATTAGATTGTTTCAGTTACTCAGGCCTTTAGAACTGATATGTAAATGACCTCTGTTCTGATTGGCTGTCCTGTGTTGGGCCTCATTTAAGAAGCAGTCCAGACTGAAACACACCGTATAACCTTTGTGACTGGGTGGAGCTGAACTACTGTAGACTGAGTTGAAAAAAAAAAATGTGTGGCTTGGTTTTCATTTATGGACTGTATGGACCAGAGTGAAAGGTGCACTTTTGACACTTTAAAGCTGTTCAAATACTGCTTCAAACTATTATTACAAAAAGCCAAGGAAATTTAGATTTTCTGACAAAGTTAAATAAAATTAAAAGTGTGCAACTGTGAAAAAAGTTTAAACATTCCCTGAATAGATTTTACACTGTTCATTTAAGGTAAATATCCACTTTCTTGGCTTGAGGCTTGCACACAGTGTAGTGCACCAGACAGCAAGTTAGCTGTGGTTTTGAGGTCACAGCACAGGTGTGTTTGGTTGCTTTTGATTGGTCTGACTCATCTGCAGGCTGTTCACAAGCTCAGTGTTATTAGATTAAATCTCTGCACTTAAACCTTAAGACAATGTTATTTATAATACAGGCTAAAATTGATATCACAGCGCTCGTGATTTAAAAATTGCACTCTTTCAAATAACGATTTTGATATAAACAATCAAATTTACAGCCCTAATTTAGGAATGCAATCTGCACGATAATTATGCTGTGTTCTAACTCGGAATTTCCAACCTCAGACTAGGAAAAAACAAACAAAACAACCTCAATGGGGAATTCCTACTTGGAAAGTGAGGAAGAAAGTACCACTTCTTTACCTGCAAATGAGATTCAAGTAGGATTTGCTTTAGATCAATCAACATTAAATACAGTAGCCGATTAACTCCATAATACTGACCATAATGTTGGCTATTTTGAGAAGGTGAGTACATCATGAATATTCATCAGTCAATTCAGTCAGTCCCCAGTTTGTAGCCTGAATGTGCTGTGACTCACTTCCAAGGTAAATGCAGATTAGCTTCCAATACTTTTTAGCTACATTAGCCTCGTAGCATCAATGCAAAAGAAAAGAAACAAACATGGCTTGGCTGATTAACTACATTTGGGTTAAGCAGGGATTTTTGCAAGTTTGAATATTTTTTGCTGATCAATTCCCTCAAGTTCAGTCTTAAATGGCTTTAAATTAACTAACACTAGTAACTGACTGTAAGAAATAAGGCATTGCTAAAAAAAACTCCTGCATGCTTTCATTCAATTTTAGCCACATTAGCATTTATGAGGCAAAACTTTATAAATGCTAATGTGAAAAACCTTAGCTCCTCACCACATCTGTCGCTCTCATGCTGTTCCTCAGAGCCCCCTACTCCTTCACAGACCCACCAACAAATCAGGAAGCCAAATTGAATTGCACCCACCCAATACCCATCACAATTATTGCTGCTACAATAAGTACTGCAGTAATTCGGGTGGAGTAATTGGAGATGTGGTTTTCTCCGGATTCTGCAGCACCCCAGGAGAACTCGCCTCAATCGTGGAGAACAGAGCGTATTGAGGCCACCGTGATCTAGAAGCCTCACGGAGTTTGCTCAGCTCATAAGCTGTCAGTTACGCTTGGCCTGAAGTTTACCGTGAGGAATTAGAGGTTTCATATTTGCTGACAAAACAGCACTTTTAATACAAAGACATATTCAAAAAGTGACGTTCTGCGGATCAGCAAAAGTACAAAGGTATTTTCACAGAATAACAATTACATATCAAACAAAACAAGCAAAGTCATTTTCTCTGAGTCCCAATAATTCCGCCAGCTCACAGCAGACAGCAGCAGAGACGTGACAGTCCAAACCAACATGTTCACGCATAAACGCATCCAGGGGAGGGAGGCGCACGCACAAACTAGCGGACCTGTCCCGGGTGCAGGAAAGCTCCTGAAGAGAAGATTCTCCATCGCTGCTTAGGGGTGACATCAGTGGACAGTCTGAGATCCAAACAGAGATCGATACAGCTCTGACCTAAACACACAGCAGACGGAACAAAACTCATGTTCAGGTTTCAGAAAGATTTTAGTGTTTCACAGCAGCACAACAGCAACATTATTAACATGGATGGCAACACTTTGTTTTAACGAACACATTTCAAGGTCTAGTTCTTTGTTCAGTGAAGCCCATATTAGTCATAACTGTTTATTAACTGTGCATTAAGCTTTATTCATAATGATCTGTATCAGTTGTATTATACGTAACTATTCGTTTTATATATATATATATATATATATATATATATACACACACACACACACACACACTTTACACATATATTCCTTAAGTTTCTAGTTCTATGGACCACATCTTAAAATATTAGTGAATAAACTCTAGAAGTCACCTGATGCTATCTAGAACCTCCAAGAAAAAAGGAATAATGTTGAAAATTATGCAATAATAAGAATTTAGATTATTAATTTATGCTAAATAACTTGCATAACAATCGACAATTACCATCCTTAATGTTGTGTATCGTTACAACTAATAATGCAACAGCTACAGACTTTCACATAACACACCTCAAATACAGATACAGGTAATAATGAATACAGTGAATAAACCATTTAGAAGTGTCTAAAATTGAACAAATAATTCTTTAATAAAGCAGATGTTCAACTTGCATTTAACTAAGCATCTATTATCATTTTCCTAAACTTGACCCCAACACTAGCATTAGCCTCAACCCGAAACCTAAACCTAACCCTGGTCTTAAACGTTACCTTATATAACAAATTCATATAACACTGTAGAGAATCTGAGTTTTATTTGGTAGGTGGTTGGTAGGGTATCTATAGGGGGGGCTATCCAAACAAGGCAGAACCAAAACTGGCAATATAACACATTCAATTTAGGCCCACTAGATCAAAAATGAAACATAATTGACTTTTAATAGCCTTATTAGGCAAATTAGCATTAGCCTCTATTAAAATGAATGTGTTGTGACCATTAAGATAAAGTGCAAGCATTCAGTTACCACTTCTATGTCACATGGAAACATCAAGCTTTCATTTTTCTTATCACAATTCAGTCCAACCAATCCAATAACCAGTATGTTGCAGATAACATGAAGAAGAATGAATCCGATCAGATTCTAACACATCTAGCTTTAAATCGCAGCACAGCTTGTAGCTCAATTTTACAACGTGAATGAAAGTAAAGTAGAAGCCAAATGTAGCCTAAAATTAATAAGAACAATGACAACAATGAGGAACTAACTGATTATTTTAACAGTCTTGTACACAATACCGTTATATCGTCCAGCCCTACGTACAAGTCATGTTGTTGACTATGTGCATCAGTATCAGCTGATACTTTTTCGTATCGGAAAACAAAAAGTGGGTACATCTCTACCCATAACCCAACCTCAGAATGTAGCACTACAATCATAATCCGGTATTTTCTCCATATCTGGCAACCCTGGAGTGCAGTGGTAATGAAATTTGCCCAGCACAACAGGTTTATTAAGAAGAAAAAAAAAAGTCTTACAACACTCAAAGTTGAAGGTTAACACTAAATGCCTCCCACCTTCTGATCCGATTTGCAAACCAGATTTAATGAAAGCTGGGATTTCTCTTATATCTCTTCATCCAATCATAATGTGCCCCGACACCATTCCAATCCAAGCTGCACTGAATAACACTAAGACTGACCAAAGCTCAAAAGGCTAATCTTAATCCCAAACCCCCTCACTTTCACTCACACAATACAAAGACACAGAGCTACACAGCTTTTTGTCTGAATTCGTGCATCAGGGCTGTCTCCTCTAAGGCAACTATTAGACCAATCAGGTCACAGCTCTAGTTCAACTAAGATTCTTTCAGTCGACTGCATTTAAATCTTCCCTTATGTATTTAGACTTTTATTTATTTGTACACATGAATAACTGCTGAAACTACAGTTTGACCAATATATCGATTGGCCAATAATATTGGCCGGTGTTAGCGTGCAAATAGCTATGTTTGTATCCAAAGGTACTTTTTTTTTGTTTAAATGCTTCAATGCTTTGCAGATGTGTCCTATGTACATGGAAATCAGTGGTAATATTTTCTGAATGTCAACAAAACGTTTTTCTGTTCAACTTTAGGGGAAACATTTTTAATGATACTGAAATGTGAAAAACCTACGTTGGAAATTCTTTTTTTTTTATTTTTGAGGAAAACAATTTAGTGTCATGTGACAGATTTCCTCGAATGCCTTTTACGTCACATTATCTCTCATATAACAGTCCAAATGACCAATGTCTTCATCAGTAAGTTATGTGTCAGGGAAGCCAAAGGTACACAAACTGTGACAAACATAAGCTAACAGATGGAAACACATCAAACACTACTATCAATAAACTAATTGATTATTTTTCACTGCTAAAAGTCAGTTTGATGAAAAGAAAAAAAAAAGCTGCTGGGCAGCAAAAAGCACATTTTATTAATAATACTTTTTCTCTTTTATCGCTACCAATTTGCTCAGAAAGTCGATGGAAAAAGAGCATTGACATTAGGCTGAAACCTTACACAAGTAAAGCAAAATAGGAGTCACCCTGATTTAACTGTATGGAATTAATATAGTCAGAACTGATCAATCGGGATTACAAAAGTGCTAGTGCTGCAATAGTCATCTTATTTAAAACTGAGTTTGTGCTGTTTTATAAAAGACACACAGCCATTGACAGTCATTTTTAAAAAGTTACAGCTGAAAACTGACATTCACACAAGTCAGTAAAGCACGTCGTGGACGGGGAGAATATAATTAAAATCTAAAATATATCAACTTATTTCAGTTATAGGAATTTTTACCCTCTTAAAAACTGCAACCAGTGTTGTCCACAAAATTTCCACATCAGTCATTCCCTGAAACTCCAGACGTGTCATCAGACAAAAGTTTGGACCATGGGAAAAATAAAAAAATCGTGCTTTCTGGACAACTAAGAAAATCCTTAGTCAAGCACAGGCCCAGAATGATTGTATTCATGATGAAGCCACTAGGTGGCAACGCACCATCTACCAGCACCAGGTCATACAAGGAATCATACCAGGAGTCGCTTTAGGATCCTTCCACTAACCTTTAACTCCTAAACAACTGCAGCTACGTCCACACTCTCCATTCTAAATTATATTCAGACCGTGAAGACCGTGTGTAGTCTGCTGCTTCTGCCCTTGTTCTCTCTTTCTCTCGCACACACACGCACACAGGTGGGCCTTAATGTCCCGAGGGGTCTTGGGCCAGGCTAGCAGACAGCGTTTAATCCTCAATCCCTGTTTGAAATGCACCAGCAGTGGCAAGGATTACAGAAGCCTTCTGATTATCATATAATGCATACATTCTTATTCTGACAGAGCACAGCAAACGGCACAGAGCGAGAGAGAGAGAGAGAGGGAGAGGAGAGAGAGAGAGAGAGAGAGCACTAAAGAGAAAAAGATAGAATGAAAAAGACAGACAAGGTTGAGAGAGAAACAAGGGAGAAAGAAAGAGAATAAGCTCTAAAAAAGGAAAAGAACGAGAAATATCGAGAGTTGTAGCTTCCACTGAACTGCTGAATTCTATAGGAAAACTGAAGCAAAAAACTATGCAAATAAGCTGAGTTTCCATTGGCTCAACAAAAATAAAACTCCACATCACCTTAAAAATAGGGAGCGAGTTTACAGACACATTTTTAACGTAGAGCTTCTTGTTTTGTTTAATTTATGACTGTATTATATATAATAAGAGCAGGAACATAAAACACTCACAAATATAACGATGCAAGATCAGCTTTTACTGTCTAACATCAGTGTGATTTTTTTATAAAAGGTATGTTTTATTTCTTCATTAGTTCAATGGTACCTGCTGTCTTCTCTCATGTTTTGTAGCTAATGAGATACAAAAACGCAAATAACTAATCAATAAAGTCACTTCATTCTATATTCATTTACATGATTGTGCTTCCGTTGTAATTTATTATTCCTTACGAATGTTTGTCAGTTCTAGTGATTATCAGATTTTTTTTCCAACACAGTTTCGATCAAGTCTTTGTTTTTATTCAATATGTCAAAATATACTGAATAAATACAAACACATGGACAGAAACCCTACTAGAGACAGAGTGGAACAGGAACACATGCAAAAACCAGTCAGAAAGAAAACAAGTAACAGTGCACGACTCAAAACCCAGCCCAATGTTCAGCATCCGTACTAAACGCTGAAGGATGATCTGAAACCCCCCCTATGGAATACCTATAAAGAGAGAGGACCTCCCCTCCCCTACACCGCACATTAACATTCATGGGGCCAGTGGTGCGTGTCGAGGGGGGGGGCGACTCACAGCCGCTGTTCGGATACACTGATGGGGGAGCATAGAGTGTGTGTGTGTGTGTGTGTGTGTGTGTGTGTGTGTGTGTGTGTGTGTGTGTGTGTAAAAGGTCACACAGAATCCCACTCCTGAAAAGGTCAGTGGTCAGCTATATCAGACAATCACCATACATCATTGTTATTACAGTACTTCATTGATAACTATGTGAGAGAGAGAGAGAGAGAGAGAGAGAGAGAGAGAGAGAGAGAGAGAGAGAGAAAAGAGATAGGAAAAGAAAGAGTGAAAGAAAAGAAAGAAAAAGAGATACAGAATGAAAAAGCAGAAAGAGAGAGAAAGAAAAACAAAGGAGAGGGAAAACGAGAGAGAGAAGACAGGAAAAAATGAGAGAAAAGAAAAAAGAACGAGAGAGAAAAAGAAGAGGGAGGAGGAGAGAGAACAAGCATAAGAGAGTGAGAGAGAAAGTAAGAATGAGTGAGTATAAAAGTGAGAGAGAGAACGAGAGAAATAGAGAATGAGAGAATCTTTGGATTTTTTTCATATAAATCACTGTATGCAATTTTGAATATTTACTAAACTAATTACTGCCCTTTTCCTGTCCCAATTTATTAATAATTCATAATAGACTGATTAACTGATTGTGGAAGTAATCATTAGTTGCAGCCCTAACAAAATACGAATATCATCTTAGACTTGATATTAGCTGATACTCGATATTAAAGCACTGAAACAGGAAACAGAGGAAATAAACTGGATCAATATCTTCCTTCAAAACACTGTTTTCAGCACAACAGGAGAACTAGTTATCTAGCCTACAGATGAAGGTAACATGTAAGCTAGATACAAATACACACATATACACTACACATTCTGCTGTCTTTGTTGAGATCTTTCTCTCTACATGTTTTCTCTCTCGCTCGCTCGCTCTCTCTCTCTCGCTGGATGAGTGTGCTATGACCGTGACCACCAGGCCAGATCTATCAGTCACCTGGGCCTCTTCATAAATCCTCTCAGCTCCGGCACCCGTCCTCTCTTCCTAATCCCCCTCTTCACTCTTCTCCTATCCTGCCTACCTCATTCATTCCTCCAGCTCTGCGTTCTCTCCTCTCGCTCCCTCGCTCACCCTCTCCAACCGCATCTCAACACATCAGTGCAACCCTTGAAAATTTCCCTTGATATAATTACAGTGAGAGAGAGAGAGTGTGCATAGAGAAGTAGCGAGTAACATTTTCTGGCCACGTCTTGCCCAGCAGCAGGGGTCAATCAATCTGACGGTGTGACGGACTGATTCGGCTGGACGTCCGCGATTGGCTTGGTGTGTGGAGAACTGAGTGGTTATGCTGGAAAGCTTGGCGATGCTGCATGACTACTGGCTCAAAGAGAAGCAAACAAACTAAGAGGAAACTATAAACATATCAGGCTTAAGAAGATTTTATCGTATTGTGATTATATTATTTGACAATACGTCGCAACATGCTTTTCTGAGTGTAACGTTAGCATTTTAAAAACAATGAACAACTGTGTCGTTACAAAGGGAGCATAATTAGTCCTGTTTTAATGAAGTGAACTGCTGAATCTTTGTGCTCATACTGTTTGACAATAAGACTGTTCTTTGTTTTATTATTCTATGCTTTTTTTGTACCATTTTCACAGGTCACAGTTTTCAAGCTAGAATCAAAAACTGTACAATAGAGCCTACATTGTAATAGTGTTTTTTAGTTAGTAGACATGGTTAATAGACATTTTAAGAAAATGTGAGAAAATGCGAATCTAACCATCCACAAATGAGGACAAAAAAATGCTGGTGCATTCTGTCAGTTACAATGATGCTAAATACCATGATGCCCATCACATATCATGAAAATGTCTCTAAGTGTTGTGATACTGTATTTCTGTGACACACCCTTCAACAGAGCTCTTATTACACACTACAGAGTTCTACACAATTTCTCAAAACAGAACTTTGCCTTGTGTCAGCTGCTGGTGTCAAATAATGTTTAAAACATACATTAAAAAAAAAATACGAAATTGATTACATTTATTTTATTTCCAAGCTACACACACACTACTTGAATACCTGTTTAAGAAAATTAAATCTCCATTTTCTGCACGATCCTCCAATGCTTTGTCCAATCCTCCATCAAATTCTTATGTATGAGGAAAAGTTTTTCCATGCTCACAGACCATAAACTGCACCAGTTTCACATAAACTTTTGCCAATAAATTTGGTTTTGCTATTTCAAGTTTGTATATATAATCATTTGGGACAACAAATGACCAGGGAGTACTTGGTGATGATCAATGGAATAAGGAAGAAAAGTAACCAATACGGACCAAAAAAAATATATATAACTCATAAATAAAAGAATTTTCAAAAGTTGGCCTGACAATCAACCTTACCCAGTAGTTCACTGCTGGAGGTGCTCACTTGTAGGTCTGAAGATGTATTTGGTACAAAACAACTTCAGTATTTTTAATGGATGTCTAAGGGGAATATCTTTCTAGTGAATTCACTACTAGGTAGTGGTACCAGACTCCCCTTGTACATGTGGCTCCAGCCTGAGAGGCTAACAATGACCTGACTGTTGGTCATTTGGTATGGACACTCATTCAGGGCATAAAAGAGTGTGCAAAGAAAAGCGGATAAAGTCAAATTAAATGATATTCAAGTTTGTGTCTTTTATTATTTATTTTATTCTTTAACCATTGTACTTGTATCACAAGCTAGAAAGCAAAAGCGAATTCTTAATTCTAACCAACTTCTTATTTATTTCATTCTTATTTACTGTTTCATATGTCAAAGTGACAGCAGCAAAACTGCAAAAGTAGACTTAAATTACTTTCTTTGTGCCTCCACAAAATCAAATTAAAACCCAAATCTCAAAATTGCGAGAGGGAGCGAGTGTGTGTGTGTGTGTGTGTGGTGTGCTAATGAATGCATATCTACAGAGAGAGGGAGAGGGTGTTTGATTTGCCTGTGCTCTGTTTGAGGGGGGATTAGGGTTAGCTGACAGGCAGACACTAAAGACAGACAGAGACAGACAGAGCGCTACCATTAATTAAACACACACACGCTCCTGCCTTCGTCCTTTGCCGCGGTTCTCCTCCGTACCTCAATACAACACACTGTTAGCAAACAGCGCTGCTGAAAGAGCAGAATACAGAGCTATTCTGATAGACAGGCAATGCTTAAGGAAGTAACGCTAAAAGTACACCTGCAAAAAAGGAAATCAACGAGGTGTCACTCACCGAGCCTCATCACTCATGGTGCTGTGGTCAATAGGAGCCATAAAATTCATCAGCTTACTGTGGATGTGGAATCTGATGGAAACACATACAGTCACATAGTAAGATGAGCATGTTGGCATTATAATGAGCCTAAAAATCACTGCTAAGAAATGTTCGTTTGATTGTTTCCCTACAGAAATACATCAATAATTAATAAGGATCAGCATCACAATTCCTAACTGGATATCCCAAATATGCCTCAATATGAGTCAATATTTTGTATTTTCACAGATAACATACTTAAATGACATACTTCAGGTAAATTAAGGTTAGTAAATCTAATAAAATACTAGTTATGGACCCAAATGAACATTTCTGGCTGAAACTCAAGACACACTAGGCCAAAAAAAACAAAACTGAAAGAAAGGTGTTTGAGTGGTTTTGTCATTTTTGTGTGTTTTTTTTACTAAATGTAAAAAGATTAATGATTACAAGGTAATAAAGAAAACACATTATTGATAAAATCTACTTTCAATATAACAAAACTAAGCTGACAATCAACAAAAACAGTTGACATGAAATCAACTCAGTAAAAACGAGTGGTCATTTTTCATTCATTTTTTTTTGTAATACTTTGCACTGATCCAGTCATTCGGGATCAATAAAGTATCTAACTATCTATCTATCTATGTATCTATCTATCTATTTGTGCCGTTGTGTGCGCTGGGCCTTTTCCTTACTGCTTCTGTTTTGAGTATCGAGTAGGATGTTGTGTTTTCAAGTGGTACCAAACATGCAATGGATGAGTTGTCGTTGTACTGTCTCTGGATACTCGGGACAGACAGTCATTACAAATCTCTTGTCTAATGTCCTTCATGGTAACCGTGAAAAGGTTCCAAGCAGCCAACTTCCCCAACGCCACCCCTAAAACCACCCCAAAACCACCCCCAACCCCACTGTTGATCTGCCACTGCTCAAACTGTTTGAATGTGTCTGTGCTGACTGGTGCAGAAGAGTGAAGGTAACAAATAGTTTTTCAAAATCACTCTCACTTTCATCTTCATTCAAATGACTTGGTAAGTGTTCGCTTTTGACACTTTCTTGTAATCTTTTTTTTCCCTCTTTCAACTGAAAACCAAAAGAGCCACTTGTGACTTTCAGCCAAAATGTTTCGGTACATCCCTAGCAAACAAAGTAAAATCACTGCACAAACAAGGATTTGCTCTTGAAAGCGCTGCTTCTGGTTTCAAGCACATCTCATTGAAGAAAAAAGAAACAAAAACGGAAATAAAGGAGGCCTTGCACTCGTGTAAAGAAACATTTCAGAGTCATGCCTATCCTGAGACCAAGCCAAGCCAAAATAATGTTGCAACCATTCATTTGTGGTCTTGAGACCGGTTTTGAGTACTACAACACTAATAAAAGACACAACTGCAAGCAACTGGATGCAAATAAATGAATTACAATTAGATTCTACAATACTGCCACTCTAGACTGGATTAAGTGTGAAAAGGGTCATTCTCATATTCCATTTTACATACATGCCTTATAACGAAACATATGTACCTGATTTTCCTGCCCTTGCTGGCTTTTGTGTCTACTTTCTTTTTGATCTTACTGCGAAGTTTTTGGATCGCCAGCCACTGTCTGTGGAGAGAGAAAGTAAGTTAGACAGAAAATAGAAAGAGAGTAGCTACGTAGAAATACACGTGTACACGTCGTTTCTTTATCATGGATGTAGCTGTTCGGCAGAAACAAGTCAGAGTACTTCTTCACGCCAGTTAAGTCACTGTCGGCTACAGCTTAAGCTCAGCTTTCAGGTAAATGTTTTTTTTTTTAGTTGTTTTCCTTCCATCAGAACAAGTACTTAGTTACAAGCACCCTCCCTCCTCCTAAGGACGGGGTTTGGTCTTCAGTTTCATGCACATGCAGACATGCATGTCTCTTACCTGCCCATAGCGACTTGGTCATTAGGGTCCGCTGCACTTGTCTTGCGCTCAATCAGCTCTCGAAGAAGCTGGAACAGAAACACAAAAGAGCAAAAAGAGTGTGATCTTTAGACACAACACTTTCAAAACAGTCAGGCATATGAGGAAAGTATACAATTAGGTGGTCTTTTTTTTTTTTAAACATCACCTTCACGAAGTGAACACTTACCAGGAAAACATGTTAACACAGTTAAACCTGAACTAGGGCTGAACGATTAATCATTTTTACATCAAAATCACAATTTATAAAGACAGTAATTTTAATTGTAGCCCTTATCATCAACAGCACTCACTGTCTTAAGTGGGGAAATTTAAACTGATAACTGGCTGTAGATGAGTCAGACCAGCAGCTCTCAAACTTTTTTTTTTTTTAGACTAAGGCCTCCTTTGTAGACACTGTCACTAGAGTTGAACGATTCGAGAGAAAACACATTTTAAATCGCAATTTCGATATAAAAATAATTCATCATTCAGCCCTAAGTGCCACCGCGGCTCCTCTATGTCATTACTTTCACTGAATAAGGAGGACCATGTCTTACAGAACCCTGTCCATTTTGCTAGCCATAGCTGACCTGCACATAAATACATGGTGCTGTTCTTTGACATGACAGGTAGCTCTCTAATTTAGTGGGCGAAGCATGGCCATGGATTCTGATTGTTTGGCACACATTTCATTTTAATAGCATTTAATAACATCTACTGTTTTTAAACAAGTATCACTTATTTTAGACATAGCAGAAGCAGATTTAATATAACAACAAAATTAAAGCTTATTGAGTATAGATACAACTTCTGAGATCTTTCTGCGGCCCCCCCAGCAGACCACGGACCTCAGTTTGAGAACCACAAATCAGTCCCATCGAAACCACCCATGCGCTGTGTACCGATTTCATGGCAAAATATCAGGCCTGGACATAGATTTACACGAAATAATCACAAAATAATCACAATTTAAATTACACACTGTATAATTTAAAGTACTGGTCAGAAAAAAAGCACAACTACACATCTTCCCTCAAATCATTTAGACCAAAACAGTAAACAGCAGAAGTTTGATATAGTAAAGAAAAACGAGATGTTCAGGAAGTATCAATATAGTACCACTGGTGAGTGATTTCAGTGTGTATTAATGCTTTTTTAAAATGTTCGGTACATTTTAACAATTCAATAATAACACCAAAAATGCGCACAAAAATTTGCTCACTGACGTCATGACAAAGTTTTATTGGTGTTCATGTTAAACTGCTGGCAGCACAAGTGGCTAAGCCTGTTTTGCCCTTCTCTTTGACTTAATTCCTCTATCTGTTGTCTCCCTGAATGAGGCTGAGAGAGAGTGAGCAGCAGCACTGTCAGGATGACGCTCACTGATAAAAGCTTAGAGGAGTTTCCTCACTGCCATCCATCACTCACTGTCCCCAGAGGCCACCAACACATCCATCTCCTTTCGTGCAACACAGCCACAGCCACACCCAGCAGCTGAGGGATCTAAACTACATTTCCCAGAGTGCACCTATGCAGAAAGGGATTTCTCAGCCTCCCATGCTACACATTCTTCTTTTGCTTAAGACAGCACTACCAGGCTACACACAGACACATCGCAGGTTCAGATTGTAAATACTACTAACGAGTTTACTGCTATTGTTTCATGCGGCTGCTACAGCCATTAATGTGGCTTAAAGTTAGCAGTGTACAGCTTTCTGTACAAAGGCCTGACCGATAAACTAGCAAGACCAGTCAACATTTGACACAGATTTATTGGTATTGGCAGAAATTCCACCAATCAAACACAGATACTTAGAAGTGGCTTGTTTAATATTATAATGAAGATACTTCCCTAATATGAGGAAGCTTTTTGTGTGGATTCTAATGGTTTCAAGATTTCAAGCCAGTCTTTACAGTGACAATTAAGCTGGCAATAACTGAATTATCACCTTTATTACTGAAATATAGGCTGAACTAGTAAACATTTTGTTACAATAACAAAATATTTTGAATTCCTCCTCATCCTTAGTATAAGGAAATCATAAAAAAAAACTTTATGTGAAGGAAAAATCACAAAAAATAAGAGCTAATTATAACTAACCCAAACCAAGAAAACAGCGACCAACTCTGGGAAGCTCTGCCCCTGTGTTACAGTTTTTTAAGTTATTTAAGATCAAGTTTTTGCTGTTTGTTTTATTTCATATTTAACAATTCACAGCTGACAGCTCAATCGTATCAGTCAGTAAAGCACTGTTTAACTAAAACTATTTTTGTAATTTTTACATATTCATTTATATTGGCTGATATTATCTGTTACCAGAATTAAATTCAGCATCAGCGACAACACCGTCATGTCCGTCAGACCACAGCCTGTACATCTTCGTCAAGCACTGCTGTTTCATAAGGCATGGCAAGATCTTCCATTACTCTTTGCTTGCCTATAGACGACGGCCGCTTCAGATCCAGTCTCCACAGAGAGGAGCACTTAGTTCTAATCGTCAATAAGCCCTAACCACAGAGCCTTCATCCATCAGCCCCACTGTGAGCGGACATTAACCCCCACATCACCCCAGCATGACTAACACAGCACTGACACGATCATTTCAGACAGATAACATCCATTCTTACGCCACTATTTCTCTTCAGCTCTTTCAGAGTGAAGAGGAAATGAATGAGCATGTGCTTTTACCTGGTGATAAAAGTCATCATCGTCAAAGATCTCCTCGTCCAGATCTTTAAGATGCGCGTTAGCTTTCAGTGGTAGATCTGCTGCCTAAATGGGGAAAAAAGAGGCAATGAGACTATTTTTAATTTGTATCAATTAAAAGCGTAATTCACAGAAAAGGCTGGAAAATATACATTTAAAAGAAAATCACACAGAAGCCTCAACAACTATAATATAATGTCTTTTTCAGAATCTATGTTTCCACCATTTTCGTCCATTCTTTTTGGGAAACTTATAGCTTTTTTTAAAGAGATCCACAGGGATATTGTTCCGCACCTCCAAAGTTCAGTCTTAGAAGTTGGTTGCATTTTCGCGATCACACCCAAAGTACTCCCAAACACAAACACATTCAATGATGTTGAGGTCTATATTCCATTGTTCTGAGAAAACCAGCAGCCTCATTGTTTGATAAATACATCTTGATCTTCTCAGCAGTGTGCTTGGGGTCATTATCTTGCTGTACATTAAATGACTTCCCAATCTAGCGCAGAGGACACTGCATAAAGTATTAATATCTGTCTGTATTTATCAGCCGGAAGGATAAGCGACTTAGAAAATGTATGTCTGTGTGTGTATTTATTAGCATCCATGATGTCATGAAAACAAATCATGATTTATGATTCATGAGTCATGATTCATGAAAACAAATCACCAAATCCAGATTGTTCTACATCTCCAAACCTACACTGATCCTCCACTATGCTTGACTGATGGTTGAAGACACGGTTTAAAGAGCCTTTCATTGCCTCAGTAGTAAACTGCCTTTCTGTAAAGTTAGACTTCTGTCCATGAAACCTTACTCAGTATTTGAGATGTCCAGTTTCTGTGATCTTGTGCAACTTTTCTGTCCTTTTCTCAGTAAGAGCTTCTTGACAGCTACACATCCTTTCAGACTCATAGTGTTGACTTGTTTTCTCACAGTGGAAGGATGGACAGAAACATCTGTGGAGTTTTTTAGATCTGAAGCAAGAGTGGAGCTTGATTTTCTCCTCTCTCTCAAAGATGAAAGCTTTAAGTGCTTTTTATCGAAAGGGGACAGTTTTGGTGGTCTACCGTAATGACCAAGTGGCTATGGGCATCTGTGTCATTTTCTACTGAATATGTTTTGTACCTTTCTCCCTTCAATGACACTGAAAAACTAATTACATGAAAGGCCATTGTGACTGGAAATTAAACAAAATGCTGTGTGGTCACTGACTTTTGCACAACACTGTATATATAAAAAGACAACAGGGATCAGTCAGCGTGATCTCAATCCTAGAGTTAATGTTTTATTTGTAACATAAAATACATCTTTTATCAAAATAAAGTATTTAAAAAGCAGAACCGTTAGATCGTGCTGGTATCAGTACTGGTACTAGGTATCAGCCGATACTTAAGGATCAGATATCCCTAGTTATCAGCCAGGATAAACACAGACACAACCAGTGTAACACAACCCTTTTAAAGGGAATCTTCATCTCTAAAGACTGATTTGCAGAAATTTCCTCATTAGCCTGGGTATGACCAAGTTCTGCGGGTGTCTGTATTTTTAAAAGGAAGTCTCACCTCAGGGTCTGTGGAGTTGGGCTGTGTATTTTGAGTGGTAGGCTCTGGTTTGCCCAGCACTCTGTAGTCGGACCTGCGTGTCTGTGTGCGTTTGAGTAAGCGTTCCTTATCCATCAGCACCTGCTCCACCTGAGTCAGGATGTTCCTCTCAAAAGCTCCAAAGCCCTGAGACCGAAAAAGAAAGGGAGAGGAATGAAGAAAAGAAAGAAAGAAAGAAATCAACACACATATAGAAGCAATTAATATGAATTTCAGAGGCTCTTAATGTAATTTTTAAAAGACGTTTCTTTTTCCTTTTTATCTGCTTTTGTTTAGTTCATCCATTTTTCTGTAATTACTTCCTTTATGTTCCATTTAAATTAAATCTATTTTTTCCTGTGTTCTTCATTTTCTATATCATTTTCAATGACGTAAATCATTTTGAACTGTTCTATTGATATACAGCATTATTTTCACTATTGTTATTATTATTAATATTATATTAAAAAAATATATAGTGAAGCTGGTTTAACAAAAAGATGCTGCTGTCTTTACCTTATTTGTCTTTCCCATGGTGAGCCGCGTCTTATCGTACCATTTCTGTAGGGTGGCGTCTCGGTAGGGCCGGAAGTCTGCAAAACGCTTGGCCATGAAATCTGGATAATCTGCCATGTCCAGCTTCCGTTTAGGAGGTCTGTTTCGATTTGTGCGCCCTTCTTCATCATCACCTTCCTCATTTCCATCTTCATCACTCTTAAGCTCCTCATCATCACCTTCAGCTTTACTATTTGAGGAACACATGCAGAATGAGAGACCTATGCTACATAACCTAGCTTTAACAATGCTTAGTGAATAGAAAACCCATTATACTTGCTGATATTAATCAACATCAATACATTTCACTCAAAGGCACAGCATTCCTGGTTTAAGGAAACTTTGAATAAACATTTTTGAGAAAAAGCATACCTTAGAAGTAAGGCTGCAACAATTGGTTGACAAAAGGCCAATCATGGGGAACAAAGTCAATGTGTCATTTGTTTATCCTCTATACTGATACAACAGTTAATTCAGACTGAATGCAATGCTCTAAAGAAAGTGTAGGGGGTGATATGACCTTTCCTGTTTTACTGCATCATAAAAGAAATCGTTTGCTGCACAGACAGAACTTTGAATGATGGAGGTTCTGACTGGTGCAACATGAGAGATCAAAAAGCTTGATTAGTTCATTAATCAAATAATAGTCAACAGAGTAATTAATTCTAGAAATACGTATCAGTTGAAGCCCTAATTAGAAACACTAGAAACTGAGCAATACTGACCACAGAGCTAAACTAGAGCAGTGAGTGTTGTGTTAAAATGGCCTGCAACACTTTATTTGAAGGCAACCTATATATAGACTTCATAACACAAGCATAAGCACTGAAAAATGCATTTAAAATGTATTTACTGGAGCATTCATGAACAGCTTATGTCACTATTCTGAAGATGACATGATGTTTAATGAAGTAAATGACATTATATTGACATAAGTCACTTAGACTAAAGCCAATGGACATTGGTTCCATTCATAACATTGTTATGAAGCATCATTCCCATATAACTGAACATCTTATTTCAATTCAATAGATTTATAGGGATATAAGCAATTAATTTCATCCATGTTTTGTGAATTTCCCTGTACCACTTTATTTTGAGAGAATTTTTTTCATAAAACTGATACAGAATATGGTGATCTTGTCTAGAACCCTGCCTTTTAAGTTCTTAACAAGAGTTTTATAAATGGAACAAATGTCCATTACTTTAGTCTACGAGGATTTATGTCAATACAATGTGATTATTATTTTCAAAACTATCTTATTTTTTATTCAGCTTGCGAATACTGACATAAGCTGTCTCCACTGCCCCAGTATTACTTTTAAAATATGTTATTCAATGCTTATTCATGTGTTATGTAGTCCTTTTGTAAGTATTCTTCAAATAAAGTGTTCTGAAATGGCCACTGAATGTTGGTACAAGGAAGTGTTCCTAAACCTGGCATCCACTGTGAATATGAAAAGGATGATGATAAAGTTCTCTCATGTCTTTACCTGTCGCTTCTCCAGGTTTTGCCCTGTGAGACCGCTCTGGTGTCGGGATTCTGATAAAGCAGCAGGTCCTGCAGCTCCAGTAGAGATCTCTGGAGAGCCTTCAGGGCTTTGTGACCTGGTAGAAACACAGACAGGGCTAATGATCAATGCTCACCAACCTCAAAGGGCAGACACATGCCATTATTTGACACTTCGCATTCTCACATATCAGAAACAAAAAACAAAAGAAGCAAAAATGGCAACTAGGCACAAAACCATCCTATCTACAAAGCCTATTCCTATGTGGCTGCCAACTTGACAATTCATGTCTTGAAAAACCTGCACAAACAAACCCGCTGCACAGCTTTCACCACTCCATACATTGACGGTTATTAATTCACGTCTTAAATCCAAAAGAGAAAAAAAGCAATCCTGTAATCCATTATTATGGAAAGAGAGGGAAAAAAAGATGGGGGAGGGCACACAGATCCCATCATCTTCAACGCTAATCAAAAGTACACGCGCTCAGCAAAAGCCCCCGCCCTCCCTGCCATAGCAATGCGCTGCTCACAATTCAGGAGGACGGCCCCACATCAATCATTCGCCACCGAGAAGAGCCAGGCAATAAATATGCAAATGAGGAGCAGCCAGTCTCTGAAAGCAGGGCGCTGTGCTTAAGAAAGGAGAGGAGCGCAAATGTATTAATTGCCCATAGCTGGAAGAATCCTGAGAGAATGGCTTATGATTCTAAAGGTATGTGGGATTCTAATGCTGGTGAAATCAGTTGTGCAAAAATAAGTAGGTCTTAAACAACCATAAAGGGAAGTTTACTAGCACAACGTAAATCCCTCAGTGATTACAGATACAAAAACAAGGCAAAAAAGCTTTAATTAATTAACAGCGTAGGGGACTAAAATAGATGCAAGTGCTGCTATAGACTGATGAGCCAAAACATTATGACCTAGTATGCTGTTGATCCTCAACACGCTGCCAAAACACCTCCAACTCACGAAAGCCTGGACTCTACTAGACCTCTAAAGGTGCTCTAAGTTATCTGGCACCAAAATATTAAGCAGAACCTTAAAGTCCTGTAAGTTGCCAGGTGGAGCCGCCAAGGACTGAACTTCTTGTCCCAGCAAATCCTACAGATGCTTGATCAAAGTGGATCTGGGGAATTTGGAGGCCAGAGCAATACTTTGAACAATGTGTGCAGAGTGGCAGGGTGCATTAACCTGCTAAAAGAGGTCACTGTCATTGGAGAATACCATTGCCATAAAGAAGTCCAGCCGGTCCGCAACAATGTTTAGGTAGCTTACACTCGTCAAACTAAGGTCCACATAAATGCATGAACCCAGGGTTTCCCAGCAGAACATTACCCAGAGCATCACACTCCCTTTACCAGCTTGTCTGCTTCCCACAGTGCGTCCTGGTGCCATCACTTCCCCAGGTATACATATACCCAGCTACTAACGTGATGTAGAAGAAAACGGGACTCATCAGACCAGGTGACCTTCCATTGTTCCAAGGTCCAGTTCTGATGCTCGCATGCCCATTTTAGCTGCTTTCGACGGTGGGCAGAGGTTGACATGTGCAGCCCCATACACAGCAGGGTACGATGCACTGTGTGCTGTGACACATTCCTCCCATAAGCATCATTAAAAAATTCAATGACTTGTGCCACAGAAGCCCTTCTGTCAGCTCAGACTATATGGGATAGTCGTCAGATGAGCACTGGGCATCCTTCAGCCCAATACTGATGAATGCACTGCACTGACCAACTCTTTCATTACAAAGAGAGCATTATTAGTCCTGTTTAATTTGATTTAGTGCAGGGCAGTATGTAAAACACCGATCAAAACTTACTGTAAAGCTCATTTTTGAGCATTTTTTTTATTTGACTGAATAAATGGTGCACTCACTGTTCTTCAGTGCTCCAGCATACTCGGCCCCACCCTTGCTCTTGAACTCTGGGAAGGTGTCTGGCTGGGGAAGCTGATTGGCCATCACAAGGGCTTTCTGCATTTTGATCCGTCCTTCAAGTGATAGGTCCCAGAGGGCTGTGGAAAGGCACAAGTAAAAACATTTTACAAATAAGAATCAAGGAAACTGAGGCTTCTGCAGTCATCAAATCAATGCTACCATATTTAAAAGCAGCAGCAACACTGACAATCAATGGTTTTATTAGTACTAGCAGTATTATGATTGGCTCCACTATTTCACTGCTGTCAGAAGAAAACCTTGTATCTCCAAAATTGGAACTTTACAGGAGAAGGAAAAAATCTACTTCACTTTAAATGCAAGACAATGGAACCAGACTTTTTTCCAAGTCGTTTTGGGCCGTTTCTTTTGGTCCATTCATCATAAAATTTACACACAATGTAAAGGACAACAGGCATTTTTTTTAAAACTATGTCAAAAAACTGAAAAATTACAAAAATGGAGATACGAGGTTTTCTTCTGAGGGCAGCGATTTACATTAGTTTAAGAAGTGTGATGATGGAAAACTGACAATAATTTCTGCCAGTAAATTAGACAAACCACCACATCTGCCCCAGTATTATTATAGGTAATACAGACAATGCAGTAAACCTATTCAACAGATGTGTGAAGCTTGACACCATAACAATCGCAGAACCCTTTTTGATGCTATATAGAACCCTTTTCCAAAAGGCTCTATACAGAACCATATACAACACATTCTCCAACAATCTGAAGAAACATTTCACAATGCAAGAACCCAAGAACCTTTAAGCATGCAAAAAGTTTTTAGAGTGGTCGTGGTTCTATATAGAACCTTTGTCTTAATTTAAAGAACCCTTGAAGAACCATCTTTTTTAAGAGTGACCTTGTCATATGCAAATTTTATCACATCTACATCTGTACTGTTTTGTAACTACACAATACACAAATCTATGCCACAGTTGATACACTTACCAAGTTGATTTTTCACTGCTTTGCCTTTTTGCACCTCTTCATCCACTTTCTCCTTTGAGAACGTCATCACAGCTCCAGAGTCATCTTCATCTTCCTCAACCTCATCATCCTCATCTTCCTCCTCTGAGCCTTCATCACTCTCTTCTTCATCAGTCTCACCTTCCTCCTCATCCTCACTCTCGCCCAGGTCATCCATGCCCTCGGTAAGCTTCCTGAAGTCTGTCTCTTTAGGGAAGCCTAAGTCAGTCCCCTTCATCTTGGAGACTAAAGCAGACATCTGCGAACAGTCACCATCGTTAAGGAGGTCCTCCTCGTCGTCATCATCATCATCATCATCATCAAAATCTTCTTCTTCATCATCTTCTCCATCTTCTTCCTCATCATCCATATCTTTACCAAAATCTCCAGTTTCAATATCACTCTCCTCCTCCTCCTCATCATCATCATCTTCCTCATCATCATCATCCTCCTCAGCTGAAAAATGCAAGCACATAAGTCACGCAATCATACAAAGAAAAACTTGTCAAGAATATTTAGTTTGTTGGGTGCACAAAACATTAAAACTGGACAATATGGCAAAAGTGTAATATCACGAAACATCATGAACATGTTTCATCACAAGTTTTTACAATACATCACAATATTTATTTTACTGACATCCTGAAAGGTTGGGACAGACAATGAAGTGCCACTTTAAAAAATTACTGAAAAACATTAACAAGAACTATGATTCCAATGACTTGTATTCAACATTTCACATTCTGTGCTGCTCTAATTATGCTGTCTTCATAATCAAACAAAAGTGATTTACAATGCTAATGATAAATACATTTAATATACATATAAAACATTAAAAAAATGAGAAGAAAGAAATCAGATGCTCCTGCAGTCATTAAATCAATGCTACCACATTTAAAAGCAGCAGCAACACTGACAATCCATGGTCTTCAAAATGTGGTAAGGTTCATTGCAACCTCAATATGTGGAATTACAATCTCAATACAAGACCTTTGCTCATATTGTGCAGCTCTGAGTGTCTTTTTCCATACCTGAACCCTCTAGTTCTTTCCGCAGCTCTTTGCGTGATGTTGCCTTGCCACGGTAGCGTTTATCCGTGTCTGCCAATAAAGTGCTGGCACGCTTCCGTAGCCCACTAGATGGGAGATCATCATTATCATCATCATCATAACCTTCATCAAACTTGTCTATGACTTTGGCTTTGGTCTCTGCAAAGACAGAAGCATTGAACTGCATTTAGACCACTTGTATTTTAGACAATGTTTGGAACAACCTCGAAATGGTACCAAGGCAGATGTATAACAACTTAAGGGGGAACAGATTAGACAATTAGCTGCTTGTATGTTTCTTGAACTCCACTGCAACAAAGGCAGCAACTGTGTGAGACACCAAAAAGCATCATACATGGGTCAAGTAATTACAAATGAAGAAACAGAGTTTTAGCTGGAAAAGCTGTGATTACTAGAGCACAATGGACTCATTCTAACAAAAAGGCATCCACACTTTTTATTCAAAATCATCATCACTATATCACCTCTCCTGTTAATACTCACTGTGCAATATATCATAACCTGCTGCTGTAATGTCACTTTCACTGTGCACATTACACTGTAATATTGCTGCAACTCCAACTTATGTCTATATTCATTGTGCTTTTAGTCTACCTCATACAACTCGGTGCCTGCTATCATGTAAATACAACAAATCTGTCTCAAATGCTATGTAAATATGCAAATAGATATACTTTATTTCTACTCTTATACTTAAATGTCTATTTTTATTTCTATTTTTTATAACTACATTGTATATGTAAGTATGTGACATTATATGTCTGGCTACTGAAACACTGCGATTTCCCTTCGGGATCAATAAAAAAAAATCTATCTATCTATCTATCTATCTATCTATCTATCAAAATGCTCAGTCCAGATGGGGAACCAGAGGTGCAGCAATGCTAAATAAGACGTATGTGCTGATACTACTACTGAATAAGTGACAAAGAATCTCAGGTTTTTTGTTGCATTAAATAAATAACTTATTAATACACTAAAATGAACTGAAACATCTGCTTGAGTCCCTTTTTATTGAAACATACGGGTTTTGTTTCACGTATTCATTCAGAGACAGAGAAGCAGAATACACAGCAGTTTGTATTGATCAATGCATGGAAAGACTGAGTATTTCTTAGTTCTTCACACTAAAAATCCCAGAAAATAGTGATGAATAAAACAAAGCGTCACGGCATTGCTGAATAAACTAAACATCTCAGTGATGAATCTGCGCGTTTGGACTCCAAATTCTGACCGGCCTTGTTTCTAAAGCCGTGGCATATAAATATTTTAGCATTAAAGAGTAGAAAATAACCCACTGGCTTAAGTTTAAGCGAACAAACCTCTCAGAAAAAGGAAGTTAAAGAAGTTCCCTAGCAATGTTAGCGACCACGATCAGCGACACGAACCTGAAGTTTACTTAGTATTGCTCAGCTTCTGATTCGAACTATCCGTTCCACCTTAAATGGCTTCAGTAGTGCAGCACTTACACGTTACTGCTGCACCATTTAAGGTGGAACGGAAACTTCGATTAAAAAGCCAAGTTCAGTCTCGTCATTCAGAAATCTTTCAGCTAACAGTCTGGAGGACTACAGGGCTGCTGGGCTGTGCAGCAAACACAGTTTTGTAAAAGCAGCACTGAAGGACCGGCTAACTGTTAGCTAAAGCTAAAGAGAGCCACGCGCACTCCAAATAACAGCTACGCTGCCCTCTGAAGATTCAGTTTCAGCTTATAATAAAGCTGCCACACAAGCCAGCGGACAAACAGCGTTTGAGACACCTTCGTCGTGGTCGTCCTCGGGGTCTGCGGCAGTCGGTAGAGGGTTTAATAAATCCTCCAGCTGCTGCGATATGGACGCTGCCATGCTGCTGCTTCAGACGCTCTGCGTCATCACTGGGAGCAGCCGGGTCGCACGTAATGTACGTCACTGTTCGAGCTGTTGACGCTTGACAGTGAAATATAAACGTTTTCAGGCAAAAAGAGCGAATTTAGTCACCTTTGGAAACGAGATGGACCATTAAACTGACTTTACCTCTTATTGACCAGGGTATATTTTGGCTTGTCCATCTGAATTTACATGACTAAATCGTAAGGCAAATTATTCAGTAACTGCATGAAATAAATGTAATTTTTTATTTATTTATTAATTTTTAAAGCTCCCCTCAAATTAACAGAACGTGTTTTATGATCATACACATATTGCTATATGCTTACAATTTACTGCTGAAAGCCAAAAATCTTAGACGCTCTTTGTATTATTTTATGAAAATAATTTTTACAGAGCAGATCACTGAAGAGACGCCATCTGTTTATCGTTTATAGCCCAGATTTGTGGGAAAATGGGTCGAGTTTCAGTAGAAAAAAATTTGTGAGTTCAGCTTCTTTTATTATAAGGGTTTAAAACTACATTACCCATCTATTTGACAGGAAAGAAGACAGTTACAGCTCTCATACGACACCCACCTTTTGAACGTAGCTTATGAGATATGAAAGTTATGAAGAATATGACGAAGTGCGTGTTGGAACCACCGGTGGTCTCAAGGAGTTGAAGAGGTTAATCCAGCCCTCTTTAAAACAAAACGCTATAAAAACGGTTAAACTTTGTGTGCACGATTTTTGTGTATATCCTCCAAACAGACGTATTAATGTATGGTACACTGTTATATGTAACTTATATTTTAATATGCATCTGATGTTTGTACTATGTTTTGCTTTCGATGAGAAACAGTAAAACATGAATGAAAAAAGGTTTTTAATCTTTCTGTTAGATAAGATAAGGAACATTTATTCATTTGTTTTTCAATATGTTTTCTGAAAGGTTCTGGAAAAAAATATTTAAATCCACTGAGTATTTATTCACTCTCAGAAATGGAGACACCATCTTATTAAGTGTGGTAAACTTCTTTATTCTTTTTGCCAAATATCATCTTCATAAACAGAACTTTAGCAACTCCATCTCTGAGCTGAACTGTCTTCTTTCAGAATTAACTCACATATTAAACTTACATAAAGAGCTAAAATGTAAAAAGAGCAATTTATGTTAATAAGGTATAAATAAATTTCCAGTATTCAAGAAATGTGAACTTCTCCTTTTTTTTTGTTTTCCCTTTTTTATCTCTCATTCTTTATATGTACAAGTGATCTTCATTGTTGTTTTTCTTGCTTGTGCTCATTTTGTTCTCTAAATTAATGCTTGATATAAAGTATTGTAGAATTATCTCTATTGAATGTATTTTCAATGTTTAAACTATGATGATATGCTACTTCTGCTGTTTTTTTTATTATCCCTCAATACCATAATTACAATTTCTGGTTTTTTTTTTTAAATAAATAAATAAATAGTCCTATAACTGGAGTTCAAAAGTACTGAAAAATGTAAAAAATAAGAAAAAGTTATAATAAATGTTTTCCTTTTATTATTATTATTATTTTTTACTTATGGTTATTAACTTCTGACTGACCAAAACATGTTGTAAATTTCACTTGGCTTTTCATTGTTTGACGAGTGATAGCCATTAACTTATTAACCATTAGCCACCAACTTATTATCCATTAACATTTGAATGTGATATTTTGATTTTGACAAATGAAAAAATTTGCAAAAGTTTAATTGCGACATGTTTGATTTGATTACTAGTGAAAATTGAATTGGTATGTGTGCAAATTCAATTCTTATGCAAGAACAGAAGTTTTACTTTGACATATGAATCAAATGCAGAGAGCTTTCACACTAAAATATAATTCCTGCTAGTTAGACTTTGAGTTTTTACAGGCCAAATTTATAGTTCTTCAGATTAAATTTCTGAAAATAAGAGCCTTTGTATTTAGTTTCTGTATGCAAACCTCACATTCACCTCAAGTTCACTTGTTTGGACATTTTTTAACACTTGACTGCCAACAAGAGTTAGTGCGGAGCTCAGGCTTAGTTGTTTGCTGAAAGCTTTAAATTTGGCACATGTCCATAAAGTGCACCTGTAGCCTTTAGCCTAGTATAAGAGTAGCTTGGCTGTGGCCATGGAGTCTGCTCGAAAAATAACGGTTGATTGCAGTAATTCCACTAATTATACTGTAGAAAACATTCCATTAAAATGTAATATTTAATAAAGTCTATATTTAGCATGAAATGTGACCATAGTATTGTAGTACCAGAACTGCACCCACAGATTAGACTATTCTCACATAACCTGAAAGACCTATAGATATAGATAAGATTTCAGAAAATATGCTCAAAAAATTCTACAAACATTATACTCACAGATTATATTATGCCATTCAGGTAAAACAGCTACTCAGATGCACTCATGATAGAAAGCATCATCAAGCATGTGAATTCCTATCAGCTTATGTATTTGTTTTATTTCTTTGTGCAAACACAATATCATACAAATTAGCACAGTGAATCACAACTCAAATTGAAATAGAATGAATAGAAAAGTTTGGTTGTTCGCTTGAGAAAAAAAGAAAGTGTTCTCCATCTGCACCAAGAGGTTTTTTAAAATAATGCTGATATTCAAACCCCTGAAGAAAATAGTCGTAAACAATTGACTGCTCTTTGTTCACTACAGGTCACAGCTGAAATCGTTCTCCGAAGGTAGACTTTGTCTTCCAGTTCAAGTCATTTTTCATTTCACATAAAGGGTTCAGAACTCTGCTTTCAGGTTTTCCTTTTGAAGGCAAACTCTCTGAGATTTGGTGGGAAAATAACCGCTCAGTTACATCAATATTCAGGTTGTAAGAGTGGTGTCGATATGGCAAAGCCTCAGAAGGCAAAGACTACTGATTATGATACATAATAAACTGATACATTGCAAACGTAAACACTGTCAGCTCCAGACAGCTGTTGTTAGATGCCCACCTTCTATTATACGCCAGGACAATCAACAGTGCTGCTGCAAGGTCGATAGACCCCCTTTCGACATTCATTTAATTACACAAATATAAATGAGCAAAAAAAGCAAGTAAAGTGGTGGAATACAGTGGCCTGTTTGTGTTTGTCGACATAAATAGATAAATATAATAAATAAATAGACATAGAAAGTAACAAATAAATAAATAGATAAATACATAGATAGATTAACTCATTGAAATATCCATATTAAGATCACGAACGAAAAAAAGTACATTTCCAGGCCGTCTTTAAACCTGAGTCTGTCTATCGGTGTGTCTCGGCCTGACTGTTCGTGAAAGCCTCTCGGCTACCACACAGTGCCTTCGCTCATTTCCGAAGAGGGCTGAGAGAGCTGATTGGTGTATCCGTTGGCGCCGAGCGAGGTCACGGAGGTGAAGGGGGCGATGGGGCCGCCCATGTCCGTGGAGAGGGTGTGAATGGAGGTGGGGCCGCTGGGCTCCGGACTGGGGGAGTCCCCGGGGTGGTGTGATACCATCTCCCCAAAACACTGGCTCTCACCAGCTGGATGATGAGCCGAATGGTGATGGTCCATGCTCCCCAGAGGGGTCCCCGTGGGGCCTGACGAGGGGACATAGCCGAGATCACCTGGAGTCTGAGCCTGTGAGGATGGAGGACCCTGGGGGAAGTAGTCATAGTTGCCTCCTGGTCCATAGTATTCAGTTTGATAATCTAGAAAGACAAAGAGTTGAGTTAGAGGGACTTTGCTATAGTTTGCTAGAAAAACATTTTTCTGCTAATTTTCTGCACAATTTCTTTTCATTTGCTAACTTTTACATACTGGAATAAAAATGAAGCACACAGTATAAACTGTGCCACAGTTTTTGCACAGGCAATTTTTGCATGTTTGATTTTTTCGTAATATGTTAAATTCAGAAAATAAACAGTAACTGTGCTGTAAAATGTGCAGAAGTGTGTTTTCACTTAGAAAAATAAAACATGACTAAAAGATTGGAACAAATGTTATGATGTACATCATTCTTTTCTCTCTTTTTTTGTTGTTTTTTTTTATTAATTTATTTTTGGAATCCCTTTCTTTAAATCCTATTCAGTAAATTGTTAGAAATGTATGTACAGAAAATGGGGATGGATGGACCAGTGGGATGGGGAGGGATGGGGTGGAAAAGGGTTTTTTTTTGTTTTTGTTTTTGATTTCCTGCGGTTCTGTAATATTGCAATAAAGAGCTGCTTGATTAACAGGAAACAAAAAATTGATCACAATAAAACAAAAAAAAACCAAAGCATGTCATTTGACCAGGGGTGCCAAAACGTTTCCATGCAACTGTATATGATGAGTATTGTTTGTAGCTTTTCAAACATTTCCATTCAAAAACTGTGATTATAAGAATTAATAAATGAATTAAACTTTTCAAATAGATTTCCTATGTTGGGTGCAGGGCATTCTGTACATGTATGTGTGTGACGCAAAACATTAAAAAAAATAATAATATTGTGCAGGAAACAGCAAAAAAACACACATAACAGCTAACAAACTTGTCATCAGTGTCCAAAAAATCATTTGAAAACTGCAGCTGTCCTTTACATGATGTGTAATTTGCAAGATGAATGGACCAAAAGAAACACTTAAAAATGACATAGAATAAAATCTTTTTACATTAACTTGCTTTAGAAGTTAAGAACATGTTTGTCTTCTCCTGTTTTTTACTTTTTTCTGGGTTTATTGATTTATTTATTTATTTATTTATTTATTTTTGGACAGTGATATTTAATGAACCAAAATACATACATAAAGATCTGCTTAAAGATTAATGAAACACAACCACTGAATCACATTGTATTGTGATTTTGTATGGTGCCTAACGTTAGCTCACTAGCCAACATATTGGCTTGTGGTGTGAAACTGGTGTGCTTTAAAGCAGCGGTTCTCAAACTGGTCTCAAACTGTATGTTTTTGCTCTGAGTTGTGAGCTGGGATTAAGCAAAACTGTAGACCCATCTGGAACTTTGAGAACCACAGCTGTTTAGTGTTTATATGCCACTAAAAAACCAGTTTTTTGTATCAGGGAAGACACCAGGGGGCCAGGGGGTAATGTCTCTAATATTGTACTTTTATAATGTTAAGTGATGTAATAAACTGAAAATGGAAACACTGGAGCACTTTTTCAGCCATTTCTAATTTCTGCTGTATCGCAAAATGAGCTGAATCGACACAAAACTCTTTTTCCACTTACTACTCATGTGAGTTGTGAATCATTACACCCTTGATGTGTGTGTGTGTGTGTAACCTATGTAAGCTTTTTTAATACATGTATGAGATATATATACTATAAATATTACTTTTTCGATTTATAAAATATTACAAACCTTACATAGGTTACATGCATACATATTTGGGGGTATAACATTTGGTACTTATTTACTTATTAATGACTTTATGCTAAGTCATTTTGGACCATTTCTATAAATATGGTCCAAAATGACTTAGAATAAAGTCATTAATAAGTAAATAAGTACCAAATTTTGCACTATAATCTACTGAAAAGACGCCATATTTAGGTTTTACTGACCAGAGGTGTTCAAACTTTTTCATACGACTGTACATGTATATACATGTATATAGGTATTTATAATATCTCAGACCATTTACAGTCACAGTACAATGCGCTGCAGTGCTGCACTGCGTTGGGAATCATGAGCAGAAGGCGCTCACCTCCGTAGTAAGAGAAGTGTCCGTTAGCCATGAGCTCTGGGGGCTCCATGCGCTCCCCCAGCGCCCTCATCCTCCTCGGGCTACGGAACAGCACGTGCCTGCGGGCGCCCAGCGCGCTCAGCTGCTTCATGCGCCGCTCCTTCGAGCGCCGGTTCTGGAACCAAACCTGCAGAGAGCAGAGCAGCTCAGAACCGGCCAACCGAACCAGAGCCGAACTCAGCCTTACCGTCACAGTAACAGCCCCGCGATCAGAGCATGTGAAACGGCAGCTTAGCATACATGAATAGCGTCATTCATTCTGAACGTACAGCCCATATGCGTGAAGACTGGTATGTAAATAGTACGCCTGCACCAAAACTTGCATATATGTATAAAGAAAAAACGGCCCGTATGTTTAAGTGTAAGGGCAAGACAAGAAAATCAGAGAGAAGCGTTCAGCGGGCTCTTACAAAAGATTTAGGTCCATTATTGCTGCAGAAAAAACAAAACACTGTTTTACTAACATTTACAGATAAGCTACTACACTGTAAAATGGTTTGTCAACTTAAATAAACATTTAGTATGAAATAATGCAAAGCCAATAGTTTGTTTAGATGAAACACTCCCTATAACTTCAGTGTAAATGGGCGGAGCTAAACTGCTGTAGGCTGAATAGGACATATGTAAATCAGTTGGGTCTTGTGACATCACAGAATCAATTCATTTAAAACAGGCTGTTTTTATGGTTAAGTTCCATATTTGAAATGTATGAACTGGGTAGTGAATGGTATGTTTTGAAACATTAACAGTGTTACTTCAGCATATTACTTCAAACTTCATTTCAAAAAAGCGATGGAGAAAGTTGTTTTCCATGACATGGACCCTTTTCACTCAGCCTGAAATCAAAGTGGACCTTTTTTACCTTGTTATTTCAGGCTCTTTGTCATACAAAACATGATTCATCACATATTTAAAATAACACATTTTTGTTTTTCCGTAATCTTCCATCAACCTATAATGACTTTTGCCCCGCCTCTTAAACGTCTTCTGCGTTTTGATTACGTCACCGTGCCTATTGGGCGTATAAGCATAATATTAACCAGTAATATCGTTTTACACCTCCCCTCACAGAGAGAAAACACTCCGCTAACTCAGAGACACTCCGTTGCTGTGTCCAAAACTAATCTGGGGTTCCCCCACTACAAGACGTGTAAATCCATGTACCCTAGCAGAGAGGGGAGACCCCCCTAATGCACTGTGCTGTTTGGGTTGAAGATTCACGTTTATCTTCTCTGAGTAGGAGCCCAGCTAGAGGGGTAACGTCTCCACAGACTCTTCTTCAGACCTGTTACAGATGTAAATCAGCTCTTCTGATATGTGCAGCCAAACCACAGACTGTATATCAGACAGTATATATTCAGTCTATGAACTCTTATGTCCACTTATAGTGGACTGACGTTCATCGTGTTTATGCGACGGAACCTAATGTCGCACAGTAAAGAGCAAACCTGTATGACGTAGTATCCGAAATCGTTTACATCACGAATTCTGTTTCCTAAAACAGCGTCCCACTGATCCAGACTTTCTAATGTAGGGTACAGTAATTACGTCACGATACATTATGATTTCCGCGTCACGAAAAAATAATAGTCATAAAATATTTAAAAAAAAAAAAATAAAAATCCTAAAATAGATGCTGCAAAAGAGGCTGACGCTGTTTGGAAACCACGCCCCCATGACAACACACATACCACTAATCCTAATCTACTTAATTTCAGAAAGACTTTTCGTGCGATTTACACGCAAAAATAGTTCTTTTTTTACATGTTAAGGCAACAAATCAGGTTAATTTGAATGAACCCATTTTTAAAAAGCCTGTTGTACTTAAAATAGACTACCGAACTATTTTGAGTTAAGGGGGACTTTTAACTGATTTCGTGTGTTCAAATGGGGTCTGTGAGTCCATTCAGCGTGCTGAAATTTAGTTTAGTGCGTTTCCATTGTGAGCTGGCGAGATTGGCACAGGAGGCAAGATTTTATTGGCTCCTGACTCTCTCTATTTGCATAATGGGCGTGTCTTACCCCGTTAATTTTTCACTCGCCATCTCTGTGTTGTTTTTCGTCGTAGGCTATGTTCTATTTGGCGATTTCCAAGTTTTTAGTCATTGTTTGGTTGTCCAGCTTCATCTCTTTTGGCTTTAAGAACATCCAATAATATGTTATTTCTTGCGAAATCTATCTTTGTGCAGATGATAAAGAAAGATTGCCCGAAGAATTCAAATCAATAGTAAAAAATCAAGTTCCGCAAATCTTTGTGAGTTTGAAGTAGAATAGCAGATTAAGTTCAATCAATTTTAGTAAATTATACTGGATAAAAATTGTTTTGTTTTGAAAGGAATTTAGTTGAGTGTGGAAATCTTTCCACAATTCAGTGAAGTTCAGGTGTTTTTCAGTGCAGGTCAGAGTGAATGTTATAGCACTTTAGGAAGCAAAAACAAATTGACAGCCTTGCGAAGGCCTTTCAGTATTCTTGTAAAAACATTATTTAATTTGTATTTAATTGATGAGTTAAAAAAAAAAACGCCCAACATTATCTGAAGTGATCCTAAAGGATTCCAAGAATCTTCGGTCAAATCAGACGATTACTGTAGATTACCCCAGATCTGTTATACGATGCTTATAGATGTCTATGGTGTGCTTAGCTTCTTCGGATCACGTGATTTTCCGCACGCGCCACAGTCTGTGCCACCAGCAGCTCAGAAGCACTGAATCCAGAAGTGATCTGCACTCGCGCTCTTACCTGAATGACCCTCATGTTGAGGCCGGTCTCCTGCGCGAGCTGCTCCCGAATGTGGCGCGTGGGTTTGGGCGTGGCCGCGAACGCTGCTTTGAGCGTCTCGAGCTGTTTGGCTTTGATGGTGGTGCGCGGGCCTCTCCGCTTAGTGCCCGCAGTCTGCTCGTCATTCTCCGTGCTGCAGGTCTCCTTATCGGACAGCTGACCAGCCTCAGAGTCCTTACAGTCCTCATGGACATCCTGCGGGTCAGGAGATAAACTAGGCTCACTGCACGCGGTCACTGCGGGAGAAAAATAACAGTACAGGTTATATGTAGGTTATATGTAGACTTGTGTATATAATAATGTGTCTCTGTGCTTCATGAAGCTTGAACATGTGAAGCTCTGAGTATTTCAGGCTGGTTGTACCTGAGAGGTGTGTGGAGTCTTTGAGTGCGGTGCTGTTGTTGAGGTAATCCTCTTTGCAGAGGAACTTGCTCTCCTCCAGGATGTAGAGCTCCTCTCCCGTGGACAGCTGTTTGTTGCACATGATGCAGGTGAAGCAGTTGAGGTGAAACACTTTACTACGTGCTCTGCGTACCAGGTCAGTGGGGGAGATGACCTGTGAGCAGCCTGCGCACTTAGTGCCAAAACGCCTGCGCACAGAAACAATGAGGTCAGACATTACAGCTCAGTGGCTGTTATATTATTTTAATGTGATCTTATATGTAATAACAATGTTACAATATGGCTACTTTCAGGATGGAAAATGCAACATAAGTACCACAAGACTGACTGACCCAGTGTTGAATTAATGTCTGCAATGTTGTATTAAACTCTACAGTATAGAATTAACACCTGTAATATCAAATTAGTCTCTACAGCATATTGAATTGACATCTACAGTGTTAAACTAAACACTACAATACTGAATTAGCAGCTATAATATTGAACTGAACTCTGCAGAACTGAATTAACATCTACAGTAATTAATTAAATCCTGCAGAACAGATTTAACACATATTGTTAAATTATTCTCTTCAGTAGCCTACTGAAATAACAACTACAGTGTTGATTTTAACTGACTAACCCTAACCCTATTACAGTACTGAACTGAACTCTGCAGTACTGAATTAACTTCTATAGTGAAAAATTAAGCTCTACAGTACTGATTTAACATTTAAAATGTTTAATTAAATGGATTTAATATCTAATATGTGTAATTAAACTCTACAGTACTGCATTAACCCCTACAGTCCTGAATTAACCTCTTCAGTATTAAATTCTAAAGTGTGGAATTCTACAGTACTGAATTGACACCTATAGAATTAAGTTATACAGTAGTGCATTAAATTCTGCAGTACTGAATTAGCTTCCAGTGCTGAATTAAGCTTTACAGAACTTTACAGAACATCTAAACTGTTCACGTAAACTTTACAGTATTGAATTAACATTGAAAGTCTTCAATGAGACTTCAAAGTACTGAATTAACACCTAGAATGTTGAATTAAACTCTACAGTACTGAATTAACACCTATAGAATTAAGCTATACAGTAGTGAATTAAATTCTGCAGTATTGAATTAGCCTCTAGTGCTGAATTAAGCTTTACAGAACTTTACAGAATATCTAAACTGTTCAAGTAAACTCTACAGTACTGAATTAACATCGAAAGTCTTCAATGAGACTTCACAGTACTGAATTAACACCTACAATGTTGAATTTAATTCTACAGTACTGAATTAAACTCTGCAGTACCGAATTAACATCTAATTCAGTAATTCAGTATTTCTGAATTACTGAATTAACACCTAAAATGTTGAATTAAACTCTACAGTACTGAATTAACACCCAAAATGTTGAATTAACACCTAAAATGTTGAATTAAACTCTACAGTACTAAATTAGTCTCATGTTAAATTAAGCTTTACAGTTCTGAATTACCATCTAGTGTCTAATTAAACTCTACAGTACTGAATTAGTACCTAAAATGTTGAATTAAACTCTACAGTACTGAATTGACACCTACGTTATTGAATTAAACTTTGCAGTACTGAATTAACGCCTACATTGTTGAATTAAACTCTACATTACCGAATTAACGCCTATATTGTTGAATTAAACTCTACATTACTGAATTAATCTCTACAGTGTTGCATTAAACTGTGCAGTACTGAATTAATCTTTACAGTGTTGCATTAAACTGTGCAGTACTGAATTAGCAGCTACAGTGTTGCTAGTTAATCTCAGCAGTGCTGAACTGAACTCTACAGCAGTGAATGAACATCTACAGTGTTGAACTAATAATCTGTACTGATGAATTAACATTCAGGCTACGGTGTTCGTTCAAGCCTAAATGGAACGGAACCTTTTTAAAAAAGAGTATTTAAAGAACCACATTAGACTACAGAGGAGAACCGTTTATCCATACAGCGAACAATCATTCAAATGGTTCTTTGTGTATTTATGGTTCTATATACAATCACTGCTTTCATTTAAGGACCATTTTAAAGGGTGTTAATGACTGGATAGCATTTAAATGAATGAGGGATATTATTTAGTTCACGTTCAGCACAAATGTTTGTATTATTATTATTATTATTATTATTATTATTATTATTACCGTTGTTGTTGTTCCTTTGTTTATATTGTTCATTTTTCGTTTTATTTTCTTGTATATTGTTTATGTATTTATGCACTTATTAAATTATAATATTAACTGCTCTGTCTGCTCGAGTCTCCAGTTTATGTGCAACAAAAAGCCCCATATTCAGAGACATTATTATCCCCCGCGCGTGCAGACCCCGCTCCATTGTTTTGATGGATTCCTTTAAGAAAAATCCTTTCAGGCGCGCGCGCCCTGTAAACGAGCTTTTATGTAAACGCTTTATTTTTTACTGAAACGGTTAAGAAGCGCGTGTCGCCCGCGCGTCTGCAGCTTTCCGCTCCTTAATCCACTTATCGCGCTTTTCCCACCTCTCGCGCCGCGGCGAAGGAAACGGCAGAGCGCGCGCCCGCCCGCCCGCACGCGCCCGTCCCGCGCTCCGCCTGACACTCATACCGTGTAAACAAAGAGCAGCTTTCGGCCCCGCGTCTCAGAACAAGCTGATAAGGCCTTTAATGATATCAGCTCACTGCACGCCCCTCACACACTCACACACACAGGACTGATCAGCAGCCTGCAGCTCTGATCCACCGGGCTCAGCCGGACTCAGGGTCAGTCACAGCACACTGACCTTCACAGCGCCCGGTTCCCTCACATGACTGTGGTTTTGGTAGATTTTAAAGTCTGGATCGTCCTCAAATTTATGGTTATATAAGTGTAATTTCAGGTATAAAATCTCTCGATTCTGTAATTCTCAGAGAGAGCAAGTGTTTTTTCAGTGGTTTGTACTGAATCATCAGACTCTCACACATTTACATTAACTATCATTAAAGCTAAAACTATATATATATATATATATATATATATATATATATATATATGTATAGCTAGCTAACGCTTAAATTAGATTACATTAAACGTGACGTAGAAGTTATAGTAAAGCTAGCATTAGAGCTAAAATTATATATTACATTAAGGCTAATGTTAAAGATAAAATGAGCGATTACATTAAGGCAACATTAATGCTAATGCGGAATCTAAAATTATGTATTATATTGAAGCTAATATTAAAGCTACAATCATATATAAAGCTACCGTTATAGCTGATGTGAGAGCTGAAATTAGATATTACATAAAAGCTGAAATTAAAGCTAAAATCCATTTATAACATTAAAACTAATGTTACACCTGTTCTGTAAAAATGTCCTTTCAGTATAATTCCTTCCTGTTTATAGAGAATTTTAAAAATAAACGATTTAACGACAAATAAAATGTGAAAATAAACAAACAAATATTTACAAATAAATGAATGAATAAATTAATAAATAAAAATCCAGTTTTGTAATTAATCGGATCACGTAAACACACCAGTCAAATCTGCTCGCACACTGGATGAAGACACAGAGCCAGGCCTGCGAGGGTGGGCTAGTTTAGAGACCCAACACTGATACTGAAGAATCTCTACAAGACCCCTAATCTTACAGTGAATCAGGATAATTACTGTAGTTTGCGTCAAGTATTATAGAGGAATATTAGGAATATTATACAGAGGTGTAAATGCTTTAGATTATAGGCTCTACAGCGCTTTACAACCCTTACAGTTTTTTAAGGGTTCTTTAGTAAAGACATTGGTTCCATACAAGACCCATTTGCATGTTTAAATGGTTCTTTGCATGGTGACGTGGTTCTTTAGATTGATGGAGATTAATATACAGAACCTGTTTGAAAATGGTTTATATAGCACCAAAAAGGGTTCTTCTGTTGTTGTGACGCCAAGCTTGTTACAATAGAAGAACCCTTTTTGGTGCTATATAGAACCATCTACAGCACATTCTCCATCAATCTGAAGAACCCTTTCACCATGCAAAGAACCATTCAATCATGCAAATGGCTCTTTGAGTGCTCACGGTTCTATAGAGAACCATTTTGTTTACTAAAGAACCCTTGAAGAACCATCGTTTTTAAGCGTGTAGTATTACTGTAGCTCTTTTTGTAAGTCTGTGCAGACGAGCTTCCCGTTGCGCGCGGTGGTCGTACCTGAAGAAGTCCGTCCTACAGTAGAGTCTGCCCTCCCTGGAGAAGCACTTCTCCGTTAAATTGCATTTGCAGTCGCAGCACTGCACGCACTTTGCGTGCCACGCGCGGTCCAGCACGTTGAGCAGAAACCTGTCCAGAATGGGCCTCTCGCAACCCGCACACTGGATCATGTTCGCGAGCCCCCCGGGGGGGCAGGACCACCGTTACGGCGCCCTTCGCAGAGAGGCGGATGAGGCAGGTTGACCTGCAGCCTAGCAGAAAACAGCCGCGCTCAGAGGAAAGAGCCTCAAATCCTGCATAGCAGAGCGCCCCGAGCCTGTTTCTCCATCAGCACCAACTCAGCAGAGCAACACAAACATCCAGCCTCGTCTGCAAGACACGTGCCACGCGGTCACCTTTCATCCAGTTCACCTCCAGTCTGCTTAAGTCAATAGGAGAAAAACAGTCGCTCCTCTCAGCTCCCCTCCAGAAAACAGCCCCACTGAGATGCTCCCGGCGTTGTGTACAGGATGGGCTCCGTCCTCGCTTGCAGCGCGTCAGCAACCGGCCCGCGCGTTCGGTTTTGTTGCACCCAGCCGCGCCAATCCTTACCCGCGAACGGAGTGACGTAACTTCGGACCCTATCCAATCAGTTTAGAGTCGTCTACATGACAATGCTGCCGTTCGGACGCTTGTTTTTCCCCACCTCCACCCGTATTCCGGCAAGCCACGCCCTCTTGCGCCCTACGCCCTTCTGTATCGCGTTGAGAACCCGCCCTTGCCACGCCCCCGCGCGCGGGGATTGGCTAGTAGTCCGAATAATATTTAAAAAAAGGTGCCCTGCTCTCGAACGCGTTCCGAATTCGATAAGCCACGCCCTCACGCGCTAGGATAGGCGGGGAATTCACGCTGTAGGCTGAGGCGGACTCCGTGTAAGGAAATACTAGCCAATCCTGGCGCAGGAGGCGAGACCTAAGCCCAGGAGGGGCTTGTCGGAATACGGGTGGGAGAAAAGAAACCCAACAGACTAATGCTGTCTCTTTTCTTTTAGTAGCTTTGCTCCGGAGCTGAGGAAAGAAGGACGTTTTACGTGGGGCCTGTTTGTTTATTTATTTATTTATTTATGTATTTATTTATTTTTCGCATTTTATTTTCAGTTTGACATCGTTTCGTGCTGTTTTGAGGTGAATTAGGCTGGTTTGCGAGGGATAAATATTTCCAGAGCTCAGTATACCAGCCTCTGCAGCGATTTCAGGTTAGATAGGGGTGAAAAGCACATAAAGCTAAGTGATGTTAATGTGGGCTAATGAGTAATTTGGCTAGTTTAACGCAGCTTACGCCCATTACAGACTGAATGAAAAACAATAAAAGGAAGAAATAAACAGTTCAGACACGTGTGAAGCGATTGTGAGTCATTTCTTGCCGTTTTGTTTAGGCTAAAGCTGCTTCTGTTAAAATAGTGTCTTTAACAAATACTGTAATGCTACAGTTTTAATGGGACGATTACAATTATGTTAGGATAAAACAGCATATCATGTTTTTGGTCATTCTGTAATCAGAAAGAGGCTTTATGGAGGAAAAAAGAAAGCTCAGTTAGAAAACTCAGTACAAACGTATTTAGCCGGTACAAACTAAAGAATAAAACACACAATATGATATCGTATAATATGATAAGCTTGGGATTTTAATTGCACTGATTAGTTATTGCTGCATTGTGGTCACTTAATGTAATTATTTGAAGAAAATTTATATATATATATATATATATATATATATATATATATATATATATATATATATATATATATATATAGTGCGACTAAAATAAAAGAAGGTGCTTGTTTCCTAACTGAACATACAAATTAAACATAGAGTGATTAATGCAGAGAAGGCCTGATTATAATACAGAGTAATGATTATAGTATAGAGTAATGATTGTAATGTACAGTAATGGTTATAATATGCAGTAATGACTATAATTTGGAGTAATAATTATAATATAGCCTAGAGTAATTATTATAATACAGAGTAATGGTTATAATGTGAAGTAACACCACCGTAATGATGATTAGGGTCAGAATGGAAGATGTTATCGCTTAAATGGCGCAAGTGTGCGTCTGTGTGAGCGCCAGATAGCGGACAGTCCGCACTGTGGAGGAAAATACACAGCAGCAGGAGCTGTTTCTCACAGATATCAGTAAAGCGCAGTAAAGAGTCTTTAACAACACAAACAGAATACAAATGTGTCCACACAGCTGCACCTGAATGCCTCACATGCACAGAGCTCATAAGCTGGGCTTTAAAGTATCTATCAGTGCACTAGACCGGTGTTACTGTTTTAACAAGTGTAACGAATTCAGGACAGATGATGGGAATTGACTGTTTAATAATAAATGCGAATCTCACGTTTACAAACTTTAATACTGATGTATTTTATAGGAAAGTCGAATTACGCAAAACCTCGTCTGGACAGAAGCGATATTGGACGAATTAGTGCGGAGTATAATTCGACACTGTTATAAAATCAATGAGCACATACAGCTTCTCTATACATTTACGCTGTAGGGTTTAAAGCGTCAGCTTGTCAGTTTGGCGCAGTTTGCTTGCGTATTTTTGTGCCACGAGGACGGTGGGACTTCATCATGTCTTTTAGGCTCGAGCGCATGTAAATAAATGATGTGAGCTCTTTCTCTCTCTCTCTCTCTCTCTCTCTCTCTCTCTCTCTCTCTTTTACGCACTTGAAAGGGGAACTCCACCGATTTTTTCAAAGTGTCTGCATAATTAAATCGCTGAGATGTAAACACAGTCATTCAGAGTGGTTTGATGTGAAATGGTTCGCTGTAGCCTGGAGAAACCCTGGAAAACATAGAAACCATTAAGTGCTTCTCTTGGTTCCTGGTGGTTTTGTAGTGTTTTTTGGCTTTTTAATTGGTTGAAATCATAATGTAAAGGACCCTAATGGTTTAACAGGTGACCAATGGCTGATTCTAAATTCACTTGATGGTTTCCTGATGGGATCTAAAAGTGTTTGAAACTAGTGGTCTCCATTGGAAATCATCAAGATAAGAACCTAATTGTTTTGCTTCCTAATGGGAATAGGCCTAATTGTTTCCAGTAGAGACCACTTGTTTCCTAATGGGATCTAAAGTTGTTCCACAGAAAGCTAGTAGTCTGTTGGAAACAGTGGGCCAATTCCTTCCTTTACAGTGGTGGCAGGGGTCACACTACAAATATAGCCATTTTGTTTACTATCCAAAACCACCTCAAGTTTGAATATGTAATGCTGATAGTGGAAAATAGAGGAGCATCCAGAGAAAATGTTTTTCTTTAAGGATTTTTTTTTGCCTTACTACACCCTGCATGTACCTCTCCGCCATTAATATACAAAAACTACATTTTAGGCCAAAAGCTTTTTGCAAAACTATTCGTAACCATTCTGTGAGCATTGTCTGGTTCCTGTCACCACCACTGTGAATGATTCTGAGTCAACATGTTTCCCTAGAATGGAGCATTTCACATCAAACCACCCTGAATGACTTTATTTGTGCAGAAGTTTTGAATAACACTCATAAAATAGATTAACAGGGTTGTTGGACTTACAAGATAAAATATGTTAACATTAAATAAGTGAACTTGTCTTTGAGTAACTGGTTTATTTCAAATGGACAATAATGAACAAAAGTACATTTCATTGAATGAAACCTGTTTATTTCAATCCAAAGAGAATTCCATTCTAATGAAACCCAAATAAACGAAGCTGCTCTGTCTCAGTTTTGTTCCATCTACAATTGAGCTTTATGTTGAGGTAAAGTCTGTGTATACTGGAAATGTGTAGCCTCATACAATGACCTTTTTAAACAATCTTTTAGCATATATCTCTTCTCTAAATAGTCTGGCAAAAGTAATTTCTAGAAAGATTGATGTGTCTGAACCCATAATGTTCATCAAATACTAGATAAACAGGTGAAAAGTACTCAGATGCTGTACATACAGTCAAAATCAGAAGCAAGTGTTATCCAATACACAGTGGCTCAAAAAACACACAACACTCTTAAAAAGGTGGTTCTTCAAGGGTACTTGAAGTAAAGACAAAGGTTCTATATAGAACCATGAACACTCAAAGAACCATGTTTCCTTGCATGGTGAAATAGTTGGTCAGATTGATGGAGAATGTGTTGTATTTGGTTATATATTGAACCTTTTTGAAAATGGATCTATACAGCACCAAAAAGGGTTCTTCTACGGTTACAAGCTTGACATCGTAAAAGCAGCAGAACCCTTTTTCGTGCTATATAGAACGATTTTTAAAAATATTCTTTATAAAAACATGTATAACACATCCCATCCATCAATTTCACCATAAAAAGAAGAATTTATGAATGAAATGACTCTATATAGGACTCATGGTTCTAAATAGACCCTAAGGAACTCTTGAATCTTTTTTAGAGTGTATATAGCATCAAAAAGGGTCTTCTATTGTTACAAGCCTGACATCATAAAACGGTAGAACCCTTTTTGCTGCTATAGGATCCATTTTCAAAAAGGTTCTATATAGAACAATATACAACACCTCCATCAATCTGAAGAACGATTTCACCATGCAAAGAACCACTCAAGCATGCAAATGTTTTTTGAGTGTTCATGGTTCTATATAGAACCATTGCCTTTACTAAAGAACCCTTGAAGAACCATGTTTTTTTAAGAGTGTACTATACTATACATAGTGTACTAATGAATGCAACACTAATGTTGGTGCACTATTAATATATGATGGTAGTACACAGTTTTGAAAGCAGTCTATGTCATAATAGGTCTCTGATGTCACGTCATATTCTGTAGTCAATGTCTGGTCCGTATTAGGAACTCTGGGTCTAAGCAGTTTTCCTCTATGGGGAAAATGAATGAGATTTTTTAAAATCACTACTGTGGTAAACTAAACATTTTCTAAAGTCCTCTGAATTACAAGGTTGTTGAGGAGTAAATAATGTTACATACATGCTAAAAAGCAAGCTAACATTCTTGCGCATTGAAACGACATCACGTAAAAGCAAGTCTACTATCACGCTTTAAACTATTATATAACAACACTGGCACTGCAAACTGTGAGCTACTACTGCCAAAGCAACTTAACTACCACGTTTGGAAAGGCTTGGTGGTTTGTGTTCAGTATTTTGGTGAAGTCAGTATTATG